AAATCTTTCCGAACAGGTGCACTTGCCCCTTTTGTATGCCCCTTTTTGCATTCAGTTGCGAGAAACTGTGCCGTTAAAAATTTGTTTTGGTTTGCACTATTTATGCCTTTTGTAAATGAGTCCCACCTCCAGTTGGGGTGCCCATTCAAATGGGGGACTTCCACACGGCAAGGTTGCAAATTGGAGTTGCTTAGCTGTTAATGGAACCAAACCAAATCATGTTCCTGTACCACATTCGAATTTATAATTTGCAATTATTATTCGGTGGCAAGCCTTATTTCGGTTAGTTAAGTTTTGAGACCTCCATTTTGTGTCAAAAAATACTTTTTAAATATGTGGCTCAGTTTCTTGGCTGGTTTTACAGGAATTAAAATTGTTCTACAAAAATTGCATTAGGTATTACAATATCGCTTCATAAATGCCAAATATTAACTAGTTTCAAGCCACAACAAAAAATTTAGGTTCCGAAAAGGCACGCAATTCATTCTCAAATAAATTCTGTTGGAATTAAATTATAATGTCAATGCAATAAAATATTCATAGAATCATTTCGAACGCAATAGTTTCTTATACCTTAATTTAATAATGTAGTTGAGTTACCCTTCCACAAATCGTCAAACAAATACAATTACTGCCCTGAAATTGGAAATTACAAAACGTAGCAAATAGAACAACAACAAATAACTATGGAATAACAAAGAGTATGAAATGAGAAATTCCCGTCGAAACAATGAAAGTGCTCTAGCAACAAAACAAATATTCGGCAAACATGGCAGGAACAAAAAATGTTATTAACACAAATAGAAAATAAACAAAAACCAGGGAAATGAAAAGAGTGAGGGGAGCGACTGAGAAAGCGACATTTTTGATCTCGTGTGCTTGTTTTGTGTTTATTTTTGCGTGGGACAACCGGGTGGAAAATAAGCTACAAAAAATAAATTTGCATAATGAGGCTATTATAATTTCAATTAAAATTTCTCTATGCCAGGATTTTTTAGGGCTGTATTCCCCTATGAACAAACCCGGTGCATGACTAACGACCACAGAACTACAACAAAAACTTAAAATGTGTTTAGGCATCCCTACGCCCGTAGGTAAAACAACAAACTTAACAACAAACACCAATTGCTTTAATTACATTATAAATTATGCAAACAAAGTATGTGATAAAAACATTTTAGAAATTCGTGTTAGATGTGGAATTATAATAAATTGGGTCGAGCGTGGAGATTTTGTTATCTTATCAAAGGTGTATAAAAATGTGAGCAAAATTTGAGCATTTTATACATCGAAGAAATTAGTGTTTACTTGAATAGTTCTTTTATTGAAATTGCAAAAATATTTTTATAGGCCGATGTAAATAAACACTATTTTTTACTAGTCTTTAGAACAACTGTAAGTCTGTTTGATTTTTGAGATGTAAGGTGTGAGCACATGTGAGAAACTAACCAAAAACAGCCAAATATTAACTATTAAAAAAGTGTTATTAACTAATTTCAGATTTGAATTTATAATTAAAGAATCGTATTCATTGAAAAGATTGTGAAACTGATTGTTATAAATAAACGCAATACGACCAGTTAGCTATTAGCCATTTCAATCAAACTTTTAGCAGTAGGTCGTTGTGAAGCCTTCCTGTTTTAAGTTCAGGCTATTTTTGGGAATTGGTCCTGAATAAATAACTTTCTTTTGGTTACTCTTAAAAGTGGAACCCAACATTTAATTTGGCAAAACAAGTCATGGCAGGCCGCCACATTTGCATACCATTTCCAAATGGTACCGTTCCGCCTCTTCTTTTCGCCCCCTCCGTCGCTCGCTAGCCAAAAATAAAAATGGCCGTTGTACATGTGGCTGCCATATTTCGAGTCCTGCCAGTGTCAATGCAGGCGAATGTCATAAATTTCGCATGCAGACGACGAAGATGCAGGCCCCGCCCGTGCCCCAACCGCCTCCGCTGCAACTGCGCCGCATAAATTTTGATCCAATAAATTTAAATTAGCAGAATGTCAGGGAGCTATGGCCCCGGAACAGTGCAGCTACACGAGACAGGGCCGCCAAGTCTGCTGCACACAGTATTTATGGCACCGTCCGTGGAGGTCGCGGGGTTCGGGGGGCGGAAAATGGGGAGGGGACTAGGTGTGACATTGTAATGAGTGTGGTTCTGCGGGCAGTGTCGCCACACCTAAGCACATTACGTTGTTGCTAATTAGCGTTGTCTTTGGCCGGGAAGGGTACACTGAGAAAGATTGCTCCGTGGAATAAGATGATAGGGTAAAAAAGCGGTAGAAAAGGGAAATTAAGTACATCACGCCAAAACTAATAGACTCGTGTAAGTTAAGGTTGGAATAATTTAAAATAACCTTATTTCGTGGTGCTATTTTTAAGTGCTCGCTTTCGATCAGGATAAAGCTTCTTTTAAATTAACTAATTTTAAAAATAAAGACTGATAAGAACATACAAAATCAAAATTGAATTTGAACTACATTTTTTATTCTGTTTAAAAAACGTAATCATTTTAAAATTTATAATATGAGCAGAAACACTTTTTGCAAATTTAAAAAATTATAATAATTTATGGTTTCTTTGTTAAATTCTAATTGTAGTCAATTTCAGAAATTTTTGTTGACGTTTTACGGAAAACCGAATCAAATTACACTCGTTTGTAAATGCAAATCAAGCTTATTTATTCAACGAATCTGGCTGAGAAATTGGCTGTGAAAGTTGTTACACACTTTCTTACTAGCTCTTATCTTTTAAATTGAGTTCGTGATTTTTCATATGCCAAAACAAATCAGAAAGAATAATGAAAATGTGTTTTTATCGAGAACGAAAGGAGGAACATTTTGCAGACTGACAGAATTAAATATTAAGAGAGCAGCCTCTACGATGTCAAGCAAGTAATTTCTCAAATTGCAAATGACTTTGCAATTGTTTGCGGGTGTAAATCGTAGAGCGCAGGTCCATGGAGGTGGGCCGTGTTTCTGAATGCATCTTGTGACTAATCTCACAAAGCAAATGGTTTGAGCCCCACCAGAGTCATCAATATAAACCAACCGCAGACAACTAATGACTAACTGCATAAGTAAAACGAGATAAAAGGCAGGATTCGATACCATATCTTCCAATACTCTTATTTCGCTGGGTATAAATGAAGGAAAACATTTTGCTTTAGGGGTGTCAAATATGCGGGAGTACTTTCATGGTAAATTTTGTTCTATGATTGTTCTAAAGTTTGAACACTAGCAAAATAAATAATACAACTATAAATAAGCTGTGAAGCAAAATAAGTAACTAAACTAAACATTTCAAATTAAAATTGTTGATCATAATTTTTGTGACGAAAAATAATCAAACAATCTACGAATAAAATAAAATTTTAAAAAATTTCGCTTTGGCAAAAATATTTAAGCTTTTTGAATACACAGGAAAATTACTCTAGTGATACATTTTGGAAGAGTTTAATTAGACTGAAAAATAAGTTCTTATCGATACATAGAAAGTGTTTGTATCATTGGGCGTGTAAAAACTTTTTTTTTCGTTTTTTCCTGATAAACAGCGAGTTTTTCAAAATTAATTTTCAAAAACCTTGTTTATATCGAGATGATACACAATTAATATGATTTCAGGACCCTGAAATTTTGTTTTTAAATAACTTTTTTTTTCATAGTGGGGGTGTCATTTAACGTGTAATTTAACAAAAATACAACCAGGCGCCAACAGCTCCCACTTTCACCTCTAATTCTCCTAAATCAATTGATTTTCTTATATGTAGTTGCGATAGGTATATTGTATTTTCCTATATATGCATCACAGCAGATTTCCAGTTTTGCGTTTATATATGATAGGACTACATTGAAAATAGGTAAAGAAATAATATAATGTTAGAAAAGGGACATTTTACATTTGAATGACTACAGATGGATTATTGGGATCGAATAATAACTGCAATAGCCAGTGCAAGGGTATAATGAACCGAGCATTTCGGAGAGTTCCTCTGCTTGTGGGCCAGCAAAATAGTCCCAAATGTCCATGAGCCGAAGCCACCAGCGCAGCAGTTTATCATTGTGAGAAAGGGCCCTCAGCCCAGTCCGTCTCCCTCCCACAGAGCAGCCGTCCCTCTCGGAGATGCCGAATCAGCAGTGAAGGACAACGATGTCAGCAACAGGAACAAAGGATGACCTCCGCCGCCAGCAGTCCATAGCGTACCATGGCATTCCATTTATAAACCACCAAAACGAGACGATGACGACAACGACGAGCATTGACCAAAATGGGGGGTGTGAGGGGGACGGCATGTGGGGCACGGAAAGAGACGGAGAGAGTGGGAAAAGGATGGGCAACTGCAAGAAAATGCCACAAAACTGTTTGGTTTTCTTGCATTTTCAGATACCCCAAACAAGGGGCGAGGAAAACAACGCACCAAAACCTGACAGCTGACATCGTAAGGAAGGAGCAACTAAGAAATATTCAGGGCCCGTTGTTGGTCTGGGTTCTTTGGATTCTGAAAAGTAAAAGTTCGTCATTCAATCTATGCGTGTGCTTGAATTCGGCCACGCCAATGACAACTTTCTCTTGAAAAATGTTTCGTAAGATTCATGAACTTAAAAAATTCAAGCTTAAACTTGGAAGCATTTAAATGGGTTACTTCGCTATTCGAGATTTATGTGAATATAATTATAAATATAAAAATTAGAAACCCCTAAACGTGAGAAGTTGTAATATTTTTAGATAAATATATAATAAATGATCGAATTCCCCATTATAAGAAGTTATTTACTAGCTTACACAGTATGTTTACTTAGTAAATATCAAAATGATTAAAAATTCACAAATAATAAAATGGTCAAAATTTAAAAAAGTGGAAAAAAAAAATAGTATAAGCCAATATTTGTATTTTTAGACTTTATTTAGGAAGTGACACCTAAGCTAAAAGGATGTCCCCGCTTTAACTTTGACACTTTTGGATTCGAATATCCCTTTAAAATAATCTCTCGCTTGGGTTAACCTGACCTGGCCGCATTACTATAAATATGCATTCGTTTCAAGGATGGTTCCAAGGACCGAGACCATTGCCAACCTGACCTATTCCAAGCCCTGACAACGAGATCCAAAGCCAGCAAAGCATGAAATTTCAATTTAACCCATTAATAAACCCAGCTGAAAACTTCCAACGAATGCAATCAGAAGCAGAGAGAAAGACACAAAAATAGACAATAGTCAAAGGCGGAGGAGTCCCCCACCCCCTCCAACTATTCATATCCCACGCCCACTCCCACATCCAGTTTCCCGCCCAACTCTTTGGTTAGTCAGCTCTTGAAGCGGCAGCGGCCACAAAACAACTTTGGACTACATTTCACAGGAGCCGCACACACATAGAGACAGCGGCTGCCACGCCCACAATTTAGACGATTTCACACAACAGAATGGAACAGAGGGCAGGGCGGAGGGGGGAGGGCAGCACTTCCGTTTCCGCTAGCTTGCACTGATTGTTTTATATCCTGTCAGAGGACACGCCGTTGCCGAAATTCACAAACTTGTTTTGCGCTTTCTTGGCGACTTGACTAAGAAGCGGGCCGATGCACTCAACAAAAATTAATGAAAAGTCGCACTGCAATGGGGTCAAATTTGGGATAAAAGTTATTTATATTCCACAAGAACTATTGAGTTGGGCATTTATTTATTGGAGTCATACGTTTGCGATCAAGAAAAGGGGGAACTAAGGACTTGCCTTAGTTCGATTAAACTCCTTCGGATACAACATTTTCATATAAAATCGAAAAGATAAGCTTGATGCGCCAAGTGGAAGTTGTTTTGCTCTTTCAGATTATATGTGAATATAATAAAAAAGAAATAAAATATTTTTAAAATCGGGAGGCGACGCAATTAACGACAAGCTGAACTGCCGGAATAGTTAATGTTGCAATATTTCAGTTAGCATCTATATGACACGGCTGTCCGATTGTTTTAAAACTCTATGTAAAATGGTATAAAACGACCATATCTCGATACTGTTTTAGTACTGTTTTACATTAAATAATTCGGAATACGCCCAGCAACGATCCAATAATTTTTGAAGTGTAGTGAGATGGTGGATTGGTGGGTTTCGAGTCCCTCGGCTGTCGTTGCATTGCTGCGGCATTTGAATGCGGTCCTCGTCCAGTGGCGTCCTGCGAGAGCCCAGCATCCTTGCATATTTAATCAAAGTGAATTACAAATGCCACCAGACAATGACAGTGGCAACTTGGCAAATGACGATGGAGACGACGCCTTCTACGCCCCGTCCTTATCAATTTGAAAGTGTTATATATAACACCAGGACTAGCGCCAGGATAATGTTTCATTGTTGGCTGGGAATCGCGGGAGCGAAGGAGTCGGGGCGTTGTAGCTTGTAATTTGCGTTAGCGAGATCAAAAAGCATTCAGTTAATAATAAGACCAGCAGTCCATTATTTAGCCATTGATGGGACCCGAGCACTTGCCGACTCCCTCCGTTATAGAAATACCACTGCCTTCAAAAAAAGTTAATTTATTTCCTTTTCCCAGCTCCTTCCAGAGTACCCAAAAATAATGTATACAGAGAAAGAAGGAAAGCTAACTTTATGGTTTGCACCTTTTTCCTTGAACAGGAAAAGTACGTTTAAACTTCCCTTACCTTTGCTCTGAAGGGGCTTCCTTCCTTAACCCAATCTCAGTCCCCGGGCGACAGTTTAATAATTACTCATTTTGCTTTTTTAACCAAATTACTTTGTGAGAAATGGCAAAGTTGAATGCCAAACGGTTCGCATTTTCTATATAAACCTTTCTGATTTTAATTTTAGTAGCTTGTGGCTTGTTCATTTACCCTTTTTTTAGGGCTTGATAAGATTTTCAATTGTTTTTCAAGTTTTCCATTTTTTTGATAAATATCGTATTTAATTAAAAAGACTCGACCCCTCTGAACCGTTTCTAGGAATCATTTTAATCATAAGCACAGTTACAAAAAATGTTAGTATTTGTGGCTTCAATATGATGTGTAAAATGTAAGATACATTCTCTTTTTTATATATTTATATCCTAATTGTTAAGGGGACACTCATTTTGAATAATAAAAGTGAATAAAAATAATACCTGGAACGTGGCAAATTGAACTAGACTTTTCCACAAAAACATCACAAAGTAAACAGAAAACCATTTTTCCCCTGACACCACCCACTCCCAATTTAAATCCCCGACGAGGCACGCATAATTTTTGACGCATAGAAATTTGTCTGCAATTCAAATTCAAAATAGTTCAGTCACACAAGTGTATGAAAAATCCCTATGGGTGCAATAAGGAGAATGGATAAAAAGCGTAAGAAGACCCAAGACATGAAACTTTCCAGCCGGACCCAAGAAAAAATATTTTTATGCACTGCGGTGGGTCGGTATCGTTTTATGGACTTTGATTTTATGACTACTGCATACTTGCCATGTGTTCTCGGGAGGAGGTGTGCCCTGGAAAAGCCTCCCACGCAGTTTCCCCACTTTCCTTTTTGGGCTGACAGCTGCTGAGGCACTTTCAATTAACCCTTTTGACATTGAATTCACTTGATACCGTCGGAGTGCTCTCGCTGGCTTAAATCGAGATTAGAATGCTGGAAATTTAAGACCACACCGCACTTCTCTTACCAACCGAAGCCCCCAGTATAATTTAATAAGCTCCTCCATGTAACCAACTCGCAGAGCTTGACTTCTCCTCCTTTTCCACATCTCTCGGCTTAAGCCTATAATTTACAATGTTTCGGCTCGTCTTGACTTGGCATCCCTGCCTTGTGTTCAGGAAAGGGAAAAAATTAACATTTCTCTGCCGTCGCTTACGATTTTCGGTAAGCATTTTTTAACTGGAAATTAAAGTGCGCGCAAGTGTAATTAAGTAGCTGCTCAAGTTATACAAGCAATCCCTTTCTTGCCCATTTTTCAGCAGGCCATTCGACTGTAAATGGGTTAAACTCTTGGGATTTATGACAATTTTTTAATTAGTTGACGCTGCCGTCCATTGCCCTTCGCTTTTAAACTTATTAATCAAAATCGTTTAGGCGTAAAGAAAGTATTTCCTATGCTATGCTGGATTTTCTCTCACTTATTTTGCAATGCATATGCAAATGTAATAACTTTTAGGTGTTCTTTGGAAATATTCAGGGAAAAAGTTAGAGCGTTTTATATTCATTTCAGTGGTTCAAAGTTTGTTTGAATTTTGAGGACTACAAATTAGTAGGCATTGATGGAAAATGTTTAAAAATCTTTGGGAAGCCGATAAAGTTCGCAAAATCAAGCGTAATTGTTTAAAAGTTTCCTAAATTGTCGAAAATCCATTAGTTCCCTGAGTTCAATGAAATGTCTAAAATTTGGTTTATTTATCTAATCAACTTAAAACAAAGGAAGCAAATATTTAAAAAATTATTGGAATTAATTTAAAGTTGTTATTAGTTTGATGGTTATAACCTTGTTAACCATAATCTATTTTCGGTTAGTAGTTCAAACTGGGCGAGTTTTGGGTTTTCTTAATTCCCTTTGTTGGTGATTACTCGAACGTGGCAACAAAAATATTAAAAGCTATACGTTAGTCGAGACTTCGGCTCTGGCAAAGAAATTGGTGATTATGGAATAGATTTAAAATGATTTGCTCAGACAGTTTTTCATTGTAGGTCGTTTTTTGTTGATAGTTCTCAAGATTTTCGATTGGGCGCACCTATAGCTTGGAGCCATATGTCCCGATGGACTTGAGAGTGGAATTGTAGAGCTGGACCTTGTAGTCCAGAAATTAAGATGGAGATGCGAAAATGTGGCAATAAAGCGTATAATTGTCGGCAAAGAGTTAAAGCTGATAGAAATCACAGAGCACACCTAGGCAGAAATGATCGTTGCTTTCGTAATGCTGGAAAGGGAATTGGTTCTCCTTCATGCTCAAATAGATTCACCTTCCGGTTAAATTAATATCAATCAGCAGAAGCAAAATAGCATCTCAGTTACCAAGTTAAAAAAACTCCTGAGTCAAACCAAGCATCAACAAAAAAATCAACTTAGGCTAAAAAAGGGGAGCTACTGCTAGTTTCTGCTTTAAAGAAAAGTAGAATTGTATAAACTATGAATACATAAATAAATATAATGCATCCGAAAAATTAAGTTAAGTTAAAAAAAAAGCATACTAAAATAAAAAGTACAACAGGATTCATATAAAACTAATTAAATTAGGCTTGGGACAAGAAGTCGTGGATAGAGAGCGATGGCAAACACTTCTGCTCCAACTGTACAGAAGGTGTATATAAAATAACATATAAAAAAGTTTGTCTAATCCATAATTCGAAACTTTTTTTACACCAAACTATCAAAACTCGTCCCCAAAAACCTGGACAATTTATGTAAATATACTGCAAAATGAGCAAATTAAGTTTTTAATAGATGAACAGGAAAAAATTATTCAATAAGTAGACTTTAGATTGTGCGTCTGCTTTCAGCGTTAGCAATATAAAAGGCAGACTCATTAAACTAAGTCTACTCCGGAATGATAAACAATTTAAGCTTTTAGATAATGAACCAAGAGTATAGACAAAGACTTAGCAAGAGTTTACAAAATTATTTAATAAAGGTTATGCCATTTAATTAGCATATATGGATATCCTCAAATTCCTACAACTATGGTATTTATCCATTTTGCAATCGTTTACTCAATTACAAGAAAACGTCAGGCTTGTATAGTGACTTATTGCTGGCCCAGACTGGTGAGCATCGATTAAGGGCATTTTGGTTTGTTTTTGGCTTATGTTGGTGATATTCTCATGCACAAATTTTATCTCACATACACTTGTCGAAGCCGAAATGAAAGGGAATATCAATAAAAGGAAGAACGAATGATAGTAAGACCATTTAACATAAATCAAAATTTACTCCAAATTACAACATTATTTTAAAAGCTAATCAAAAGCTTTTAAAAATAATGGAAAATGTTATATTCTGTCCTTCCCTATACTAGAAACCGTCTGAAACTAACTTATAAGAAATATATTTTTAAGTTAAGAAGTAAAATAAAAATATAGATACTACAAAGTGGTATATATTCATTCACACCAAAAATTTTGTAATGCTTTCAAACGTTTAAAAATAATTATTCTAATAAGTATATGTATAGTCATATTAGAGTGTTATGCGATGCGTTAACAGCTAGAACTTGTGCAAGCAGTTCAAGCAGTTCATGTTAGCTGCGCGCGCAGCTTTAATTTAAATGTTAACATGATTGCTCAAAAATTAATACAAATTTTACCCGAGCTTACTATGAAACCCATTACGGTGGCAATTGCATGACCTATAACCCTGATCGTTAATGAGAATTTGCAGGTTTTAGCCCGCTCGCTGTTGACATAAAGTCCGACTTAATAATGCTTACGAGAGCACATAGAGCATCATTAAAAAGCAATTACACAGAAGACACGAAACAGCTGTCTGGGGCAAGCAGTCGGCTTATCAGTCGTGATATTCTGCTTCTATATTCTCCGCCATATGTTTCGGTGCAACTCATATTGCGATAAGCGTCTGTCGCGATTAACGCCGCAACTGAATTGGGGCTGCTGTGGGTTTTGCTGGCAGTCGAACTGATAGATCGGATCGTACGGTTCTCAGTGCTCGGTTCAGTTGTTCCACGTATATATCGCGACCTGCGGAAGTGTTGCGATCATTGCCGTCCTCGCACAGGATTGTATCGCTCGCCCTGAGCCTTCTTTTTGCTAAGTAGTAGTAGTGACACCATCCGGGATCGCGAGCCATGGAGATCCGAGTGGGAGTGGGCGATCTGCTGAAGATGGGCACCAAGTAGGTTACTAATGGGCAGTTACAGTAAAAGCTTTGACGGAAGGCCTTATATTTCAGTTGTACTTGATTAAATCAAGTAAACAAGTGAGAACGGAGTTTAATCAAAACAATCGATAAGGTTTATTGAACCTCGAAATAATCACAAATAGTTGACTGTTAAGTGCAGATTACTGTTGTAGTTCAAGTGAATTAAATATATTATCGGACAGTCCTTGAATCACTGAACTTTATTAATGGCTTATTCATATGTACATATTTGTGTATTACGAAAATTGCCTTTACCTTTTTACATCCCATATATGATTGTCATTAAAACATTTAAAAATCACATCTTATTTTGCCCTTATTTTCTTTACTTGAAAAATAGCTAAAAAAAATGTATATTTAAATATATAATTCTCATTTAATAAATTAGTAGGGAGTATCCAAATTCATATATGTACATGCGATAACATTGTCTTTAAATGTTCGTAAATATAACTGTCAGTTAAAGGTGTTTTTACTGTACTTGATCGATTGAAATGCCTCTCTAAGCGATAAGATATGAAACGCTTCAACTAAATCTCTTTTTCTCTTAACAATCTTAACCCATGTCATACAAAACTACGAGATCAAATATCAAAAATTTTAACTAAAAATAAAAATGTTTTAAATTAAAATTAGATAGCTATAGCTATTAGATTACTCGAGGTCATACGTTGGTTATATTTTAATTTCTTCTATAACACAACGTTTTTTCCACTTAACTTTCATCACACTTGCACTCACTGGGGAGTGACCCCGACTATAATAGCACTAGTTAGCTTCACAAATTATAATGATTTCAAGAAATATTATTATTATTATTATTATTATTATATTATTATTATATTTGTAATTAACAAATATTTCATTTTGTGGAGGGTTTCCGTCTTATTGATAGAAACGTCTAACAAACAAGTCTTTGTTTATACCTTTAATTTTAAAATTAATTTGAATTTCCTTCTGCACAGACTCATCGGCCACAAGATCGTCCAGTACCGCCTGGCCACGAAGCAGACGAAGGTGGTCTGCACCAGGGACGGACAGGTGCGCGGCCTGCGCCGAAGGACGCTCTACGATGATGAGCTTTACTTCGCCTTCGAAGGGATCCCCTTCGCACAGCCGCCAGTGGGGGAGCTGCGCTTCCGGGCCCCCCAGCCACCACGCCCCTGGCTGGGGGTCAGGGACTGCACCTATCCGAGGGCCAAGCCCATGCAGAAGCACTTCGTCCTCAGCATTGTCGAGGGCAGCGAGGACTGCCTGTACCTGAACGTGTATGCCAAGCGACTGAGGTCGGACAAGCCGCTGCCCGTGATCGTGTGGATTTATGGCGGTGGATTCCAGGTCGGCGAGGCCGGTCGCGATTTCTACAGTCCAGACTACTTCATGCAGCAAGATGTGGTGGTTGTCACATTTAATTACAGAGTAGGCGCGTTGGGTAAGCTATTTATTTTCAAGATGTGCTGAATAACCGAACGGATATTACACACTCTTTTCACGTACGTGTTGCCAGAAATAGGGTCACTATACTAAAATATGGGGTTCGAAGCCCGTGGGAAAACGTTGATTTAAATCAAAGTTTGTTAGATTTAATAGATTTAAGATGGCACGAAGTAAAAATAATAACTGTACACCATATCATAGCATCTGCAGGGAAAAATTGAAAACCAAATACGTATAAACTATGGTTTAGATGTTGATGCAGGAGTATTTCGAAGAAGATCACTGAAGTTAGTGAAATGTACTGCTAAAATAAGAATTATTTAATTTCGATTTCATAATCGTAAAAACATTAATATGTAAATTTCTATTTTAACAAGATTTAAATCAAAACTGTTAAAACTCAAATACATTCGTATATGTATTAAATCTGTATAAATGTAGAAATTAATGTTGGCTAAGAGAACTCTCGGTTATTAAAAAAATGTGTACTTGATTGTTGACTAAGAGAACTCTCGGTTATTAAAAAAATGTTTACTTGATTTTTGATCGGCCGCCACCCTGTACTCTACTCACATTCGAGAAAGTCTATATCAAACAAATTATACGTTGCACTTTTTATGCCGTGCTAAGTTAAATGCACTCGGAAATAATTCACAGTCTGTATAGTTTAATTGCCCCCTTCTGCCATAAAATCATTAGCATTACTATTACTGTCGTTTTAGCTGTCATTAACTCGAAGAGAGAACAACACGGTAATTATTATTACCGTAGTGATCAATTAAAATAATGTATATGTTAGCTCATTCGATGCAACTGTAACAAACCAGAAAATATCTCTTTGAATAGTTTCGTTTTACTGATTTGAATAATTTAATTTTTTTATAGTAATAAACAATAATAGTATCTCAGCTGATACAATTTGTTTAAACCGTAATTATGCCCACAAAATTAATAAATATATATTTATTTGACTTTTCCAATAGTGAATATTTTAACTCAATCCTCCTTTCTATTGTAGGATTCCTCAGCCTCTCGGATCGTGATCTGGATGTGCCCGGAAATGCTGGCCTCAAGGACCAAGTAATGGCACTGCGCTGGATCAGCCAAAACATCGCCCAGTTCAACGGAGACCCCCAGAACATAACCCTGATGGGCGAGAGTGCGGGAGCAGCCTCCGTCCACGTGATGTTGACCACGGAGCAGACGCGAGGACTCTTCCACAAGGCCATCATGCAGTCGGGGTCCATGTACTGCGAGTGGGCCAACGAACCGAGTGGCAGGTGGGCCTACCGCCTGGCCTGCCAACTGGGGTACTCGGGGAGCGAGAACGAGAAGGAGGTGTTCCGATTCCTCCAGCGAGCCAGCGCCTCCGAAATGGCCGCCCAGGGAATCGCCCTCGTCTCTCAGGCAGAACGCCGGGAATACGTCCTGTTTCCCTTTACGCCCGTGGTGGAGCCTTACGTAACCGGGGACTGCGTCTTGCCCCGATCCCACCGAGAGATGCTGCCTGCGGCCTGGGGCAACGATCTGCCCCTAATCTTGGGGGGCAACTCCTTCGAGGGCCTCTTTTCCTACCAGTCCACCTTGCACGATGAGGAGCACATGCTGAGCGTCTTCGAGGCCTTGATTCCGCGGGAGATCCGGGAGAAGAGTTCTCGATCCCAACTGAAGGACATGCTGCGTCAGTTCAAGGTGGATAACTTTGAGGATGCCACTCGGGGGCGCATGGAATTTAATGAGTGTCTGCAAATACTGTCCGCAAAACACTTCTGGCATGGCATCCATCGCACTGTATTGGCCCGCCGCAGACACGCCCCCACTACGCCCACCTATCTGTACCGCTTCGATGTAGATTCGCCCCATTTCAATCACTTCCGGCTGGTGATGTGTGGAAAACACGTCCGCGGAGTCAGTCATGCCGATGACGTTTCTTACCTTTTCTATCACATCTTGGCCAACAAGCTGGAGAAGTCCTCAGTGGAGTACCAAACTATACAGAGATTGGTGGGCATGTGGGTGGCATTCGCCCGAAACGATAATCCCAATTGTCCGCAGATCAGTCCGACCACTTGGGAAGCTTTGGATGAAAAAGGTCCTCAGATGTGTCTCAACATTGGAAAACAACTGGAGTTTATTGTGTTACCGGAGTCAAGGCAGAATGGGATTTGGGATAGGCTTTACGATAAACACGACTTGTACTAGGTGGGGGTTGGATATTTTGTAAATAAATCGCACTTGGGTGGTGCCATTGATAAAACGTACCCCAAGAAAGTATTTAAAATTATTTTATTAAATTTTATAATTTAAAATAAATCATTTTATTTTACGAAAAATAAAAATATTGTTGCAGTTGGTGTTGCTACAGGTTGGCTCAAAATGAAAGAATCACTATAACAATAACTGGTTTGGGTGCTCCCATTAATTACAATGTGAAAAGCGTTTCGCCTTTATCAGGTGTTTTTCCATCGCTTTTGACTCTAACTTGACCCAAGCAGTGACTCGCCGATGTTTTTTGTGTATAGTGAGACATATAACTTAGCGAAAAAACTTATTTAAACTAAGAAACTTAAAATCGCAATAATAAATATTAAACTACAATTGTTGATAAAATTTACTAAAAAGGAACTATTTATAAAAGTAAAAGTTTAAAATTTAATAGCCAACGTTGAAACACTAGATAAGTTTTTATAGTAAGTTTACAGTAAGTTAAAGTATGCTTAGCAACAAATAAATGAATTTGCCAAATGATGTGGAAGAATGTGCAATAAATATATATATATGTACAGGAAGTTGGCTTACAGTTAGATACAGTAACCGAAACATTAAATGAAACTACAGACAAATTCAAGTACAAGGTAACACGAAGAGAAAGCAATAGCGAAATAATTTTGCAACCGATTTGTATATATTGATTGGTTGATTCAACAAAACAAAATGTAGTAAAGTAATTAAAATTTTAGTTAATTTCCATTTTATTCCCTTGCAGAGGGTATTATAATTGCAGTCAAAAGTTTGCAACGCAGTGAAGGAGACATCTCCGACCCTATAAAGTATATATATTCTTGATCAGGATCACCTCCTGAGTTGATATAGCCATGTCCGTCTGTCCGTCTGTCTGTTTCTACGCAAGCTAGTCTCTCAGTTTTAAAGATATCGAATTGAAACTTTGCACACACCCTTCTTTCCCTTGCACGCAGTATATAAGTCGGAACGGACGGGATCGGCCGACTATATCCTATAGCTGCCATACAACTGATTGATCGGAAATGCCATAACTTTAGTGTTTGTAAAGTTAGGAAGTTGGGATTTTCTATGGGTTTTATATTTGGCCAATTAATCCGACCTACTAAATTTCATAAGGATCGGCCGACTATGATTGATCGGAAATGCCATAACTTTAGTGTTTGTAAAGTTAGGAAGTTGGGATTTTTTATGGGTTTTTTTTTGGCCAAGCTACCATAGAAACGATGACCAAATGCAGCGCAAAATCGACCTAGCCTCATTGTTTTTAGTAATGTACGCATAAATATCGAAGTGTAGTCGTTTTGTAATAACTGCAAGGGTATATAAACTTGGGCTTGACGAAGTTTGCTTCCCTTCTTGTTGTAAATTTATTTATTTATTGTCTTTTATGCCAGTGCTACAAGGTTTAACTTATTTTTCACGCACGAGTCACATATTTTTAACTAAGGTTCTGACTAGCCAATTTTGGTCTCTAAAAACTTGTTTTACCACAAATAAAGTGTTATTCGGCTTTCCCACACATATTAAATGTATTGGTTTGGTTACAAAATTGCTAGAGGAAGCCGCCACCATGAATTGCACCTTCAAAAATAATCGCATAAAGCGAAATTAATTGTATTACTTCTAAGATGGAACTTTAACAACGCTAAAAAATGTAATTTTACTCTTTGACAATTTGTTTTTAATTTTGTCTCTAAACAAACCAATAACTTATATGGAAAAGTCGAAGAACGTTTTGTTACTAGTAAAATAAATTTACCAGGAAGTTAAGCCGCACCAAAAAATACAACTTTCGTTTGAAGGGCATTTAACGAAATAATAAATAACGAAATAAATAATAATTAATTCACCGGCATAATTTTTTGTCATTAAAAAAATTATAAAGCTTTCTGTCCAGATAAGCACTAAGCAAAAACATTTTATTTATAGAATAAATACAATTAATGTCCAAATCTCTTATCTCTTATTTCTATTAATAGATTCGGTAATGAAAAATAACAATGACCTATAAACAATTCATAAATACATTCATTCTTTATTTTAGTTTTTTTTGAATACATACAGACTTTAGCCGTAAACAATAACATTTTGGTATCAAATAATGCAATTATTATGGATGAAACGGGCATTTAAAAAATGTAGCAAAGAAAGAAATTTTTGTAAGCATTCTTAAGGAATAAATTGCTATTTAAAAACTATTGTAAGAGCTATACATGAACTATCCAGAATAAACACAAATAAAAAAAATTTAAGGACTAGAAGAGAGCCCCGCTGGAATAGAATGAGTCCCACACGGCCAAGGACTTGGCCTCCGGCAATTCTCGCATTTCCAATTCATAGCTGATGTTGAAGCACCTTTCCACGTCGTGTTCCAACAGCCGGACTTGCTCCCATTTGGCAGATCCCAGTTCCGGACAGTTTGGATTGCCACTGCATGCAAACGATGTCCACATGCCCACCATCCTCTCTATGGTCTTGTACTCCTTGGACGACTTCTCCAGTTTTGTGGCAATTATGTTGTAAAAGAGATACGACAGTTCGTCCGCATGGGCCACTCCGCGGATGCGGTTGCCGCAGACCAATCCCCGGAATTGATTAAAGTGCGGGGAGTCGAAGTCGAAGCGGTATAGATAGGTGGGTGTGTCGGGGGCGTAGGTCTGACGGGCGAGAACCAGGCGATGCATGTCGTGCCAAATTTGGCGGTGGGAAAAAATATTTAGAGCCTCAAAAGTCTCCATCGATTCCTGCATCTCGTTGTTGAAGTAGAGTTTCTTGAGTCGTTGAACCAGTAGATCCTGCTCCTCCAGACTGACCTGCTTAACTTCCCTCGGCAGGATGTTGTGGAAGTTCTTCAGGCACCAAGGATCACTCCTCACCAATTGGTAGGAAAACAAGCCCTCAAAGGAATTTCCACCCATAATAACTGGTATATCGTTGCCCCAGGCCTCGGATAACAGATCCTTATGCCTCCTGGGCACCACGCAATGCTCGGTCTCATAGGGCTCCACCACCGGTCCGAATGCGAAGAGCAGGAAGCTCCGAATCTCATCCTGGGTGATTACGTCCTGATCTATGGCTGCTATCTGACGAGCGGATGCCTTGCTTAGAAAGCCTAGTACATCCGCATCCCTTTCGCCGCCCTTGTAGCCCAAGTTCTTCGCCAGCCGGAAGGCCCAATTGTGATCTGGACTTTCCACCCACTCGCTTAGGGCACATCCCGATTGCAGGATTGCCTTGTGGAAGAGGCCCCGCGTTTGTTCGGTGGTCATCATCACATGGACGGAAGCCGACCCTGCACTTTCACCCATCAATGTGATGTTGTTGGGGTCGCCGTTGAAGTGGGCGATGTTCTGGCTGATCCAGCGGAGGGCCATTACTTGGTCCTTGAGGCCAGCGTTTCCGGGAACATTTAAGTTTGGGTCTTTAAGACTGAGAAATCCTAGAAAGTGTATATGAAAAATTTAATTTTTGAAAATGTAACAACTAATTATTAGAGGTACCTCACAAAAATGCAATGAATTCTAAGAGCTTGAATTAAAATCTGAACAAATTTTAAGAGGATACTATAATTTGAATCACAAGGATGCAAAATATCTTTGCCATAATTATGTTTTTTTTGTTTTCTGATTTTGACGTAGGCCTGTGGAAAATAGTTAGAGTAATAAACTCTAATCTGTCTTCTTAATAATTACATTTGCATTACATGTTTTTAAAATGTTGACATTATTTTATTTGCTACATTTTTTTATACCCTTGCAGAGGGTATTATAATTTTGGTCAAAAGTGTGCAACGCAGTGAAGGAGACATCTCCGACCCTATAAAGTATATATATTCTTGATCAGGATCACCTCCTGAGTTGATATAGCCATGTCCGTCTGTCCGTCTGTCCATCTGTCCGTCTGTCTGTCCGTCTGTCCGTCTGTCTGTTTCTACGCAAACTAGTCTCTCAGTTTTAAAGCTATCGGATTAAAACTTTGCACACACCCTTCTTTCCTTTGCACGCAGTATATAAGTCGGAACGGATGGGATCGGCCGACTATATCCTATAGCTGCCATATAACTGATTGATCGGAAATGCCATAACTTTCGTGTTTGTAAAGTTAGGAAGTTGGGATTTTCTATGGGTTTTATATTTAGCCAATCAATCCGACCTACCAAATTTCATAAGGATCGGCCGACTATATCCTATAGCTGCCATATAACTGATTGATCGGAAATGCCATAACTTTGGTGTTTGTAAAGTTAGAAAGTTGGGATTTTCTATGGGTTTTATATATGGCCAATCAATCCGACCTACCAAATTTCATAAGGATCGGCCGACTATATCCTATAGCTGCCATATAACTGAACGATTGGAAATGCCATAACTTTGTTGTTGTTAAAGTTAGGAAGTTCGGATTTTTTATGAGTATTAAGAATGCATCATATGAATAATTTTGGAGAATATAATTTATAGAGTATTCTGCAAGGGTATATCAACTTCGGCTCCGCCCGAAGTTAGCTTTCCTTTCTTGTTCTTTTCTAAAGGAGCGGCTGGTAAATGAATTTCTTTTTGATTACATTTCCGGGTTCATGTTTCTGTATTGGGAATAATTGTACTCTTAAAATCCAATTTAGTGCTGTTATGTAAAAGTGCTATGTACTAAATCTAATAATGGATTAGATTGCTCTCAAAGCTGATAAAGAATAAATGCACGAGCTTAACTACACGTTTTGTTGTTAAAATTGCTTCCTACTACCGATTATATACATTTAAATAAGTAACAACTTACAACAAGTACACTTTTTCATCTCATCGTTGTATTATAAATATGGACGGTTTCCTTATTCCCTCGCCAATTAGGTCAAAGTATTTTGAATCAGTAGAAGCACAAGAACTTACCTAGTGCTGCCAACCTGTAGTTGATAGAGACGAACACCACCTGTTTCTTCATAAAGTAATCCGGACTGTAAACATCCCTGGAGGCCTCGCCCTTCTGGAAACCACCTCCATATATCCACACGATTACGGGCAGCGGCTTTTCCGACTTCAGGGTTTTCACATAAACATTTAGGTGCAGACAATCCTCACTGCCTTCCACGATCCCCAGGAGCATGTTCCTCTGCATGGGCTTCGATCGCCAAGTGGTGCAGTTGAGCACTCCCTGCCAGGGTTCCGGTGGCTGAGGAGCCCTGAATCGGAGCTCACCCACCGGCGGCTTGGCATAGGGTATGCCCTCGAAGGAGAAGTAAGGTTCCTCGTCGTACACCGTCTTCCGTTGGAGTCCCCGAACCTGCCCGAACTTGGTGTCCAGTGTCACGGTGTGCCCTGTGGACAGGCGGTACTGCTGAACCTTGTGGCCCACCAACCTGTGGGAAAAGTTGGGTGAGATCGGGGGTTATCGAGACTGTCTGTCCCGCGCCGTAAGCGATAAGGAGTGATAACCGCAGGCAGTGGGTCGCTGAAGGTCCGAAGGTGACCTCAGCCATACACTTTAGTCATTATGTACTCACTGGGCGCCCATCTTAAATAACTTCGGCCACCCCACTTGCACTTCCATAATTGTATAGTGGTTTTTAAATGAATGTGGTTTAAATTTTATGTGGTTATAGTTATATCTATTTTTTATTTGAAAATCTATTGGATCGTCGGGTCTTTGGATCGATCGAAGTTTGCTGAGCGACTGATCGCTGATGTTTGGCAGCAGTACCTGGAATCATCAGAGATACCGACAGCACAATTCATATACGTAGACTTCGTTCCTTATCCGTAATCGCGCACGACAACGGATGTGCAAATAATACACTTCCTGAATTTCGAAGAATTCCAGTCCCCATTTATTCAAAAACTCGAGTTTATTAGTGTTGTATCCTTGCATAACATTTCATTCAAATTAATGAAAAACAAAAGGATTAAGGAAAATTAAAACATTTAAAAAATCATTTTAAAAATTAATGAAAGTGTCTATGCGTTACCAACTCGCCTACGTAAATGTCATTTCTTATTTGTATTCAATTTATTTAATTTAAGAGGGCATTCAAATGAAATGATATTAAATTGTTCCTTTTACAGTGAATTTCAGTAAAATGTATAAGCTTAAGGGTGATAATCTATATTTTGTTAATAAATTGAAATTAATACCGTTTGAAATACAATGAAGATTCAAAAAAGTTGCCTTTAACATTATAAACGGAACTGTAATTTTAATTGCGCATTTATTACTTAGGAAAATGTGCACCCAAATGACTTCCAAATACGTTTTGCCAGTTTTTATACTCTTGCAGAGGGTATTATAATTTTGGTCAAAAGTGTGCAACGCAGTGAAGGAGACATCTCCGAACCAATAAAGTACATATGTATATTCTTGATCAGGGTCGCGTCGTGAGTTGATATAAGCATGTCCGTCTGTCTGTTTCTACGCGAACTAGTCACTCAGTTTTAAAGATATCGAATTGAAACTTTGCCCACACCCTTCTTTCCTTTGCACGCAGTATATAAGTCGGAACGGCCGGAATCGGCCGACTATATCCTATAGCTGCCATATAACTAAACGATCGGAAGTGCAATAACTTTGGTGTTTGTAAAGTTAGGATTTTCTATGGGTTTTATATTTGGCCAATTAATCCGACCTACCAAATTTCATAAGGATCGGCCGACTATATCCTATAGCCGCCATATAACTGATTGATCGGAAATGCCATAACTTTGATGTTTTTAAAGCTAGGAAGTTGGGATTTTTATAAGTATTAAGAATGCATCATATGAATAATTTTGGAGAATATAATTTACAGAATATTCTGCAAGGGTATTTCAACTTCGGCTTCGCCCGAAAATAGCTTTTCTTTCTTGTTTATATATTATATTTTATTAAAAATGTAGAAACAACAGTAAAACTATTTACACATATATAAATTTGAGATATTATTCAAAGTACAATATAAGCTTAAGATGGTGTAATAAAAGTGTTATATTACATAAAACTTACTGAAATAATTAATAATGAAAATAATATTAATTTTTTGCAGCCAAATAATATCCACACCGGAAGAGACAATTGTGCGTACCAACCAATACAAAACTATTCTGGAAATCGATAATTGTTCGGGAAAAACGACGCATACGAAGCGCTTGGCAATCCAGCAGATCGCCGCATTTGAAGCAACTTTTTAACGAGGCCACCCGCAGACTTACCAAACCCTAAAGCATGAAGAAGAGCTTGCGCAGCGCCGGTACTTTGAGAAATTATCGCCGACCAGTACAAAGCATCCTCAATGGAGAGCTTATCCAAATCTAAGCTCTTCGCTAGAATCAGTCACTTCGATTAGAAACTCCTCGGGTACCTGGGCCCGCAGCGACGAGGACAGAGCCGAAACGTTTGCTTTACACCTACGAAATGTATTTCAGCAAAACGCCGCCTCAAACTCTTTTGATCTACCGACGCTTCGCACTGAAATTGCAAGTGAGCCGATTGTGTTTCGAGCACTTGAAATTGTTAAAAAATTAAACAAAGAAGGAAAGCTAACTTCGGCCGGAGCCGAAGTTGATATACCCTTGCAGAATATTCTGTAAATTATATTCTCCAAAATTATTCATATGATGAATTCTTAATACTCATAAAAAATCCCAACTTCCTAACTTTAAAACAAGAGAGAACGCTATAGTCGAGTGCCTTGACTATTAGATACCCGTTACTCAGCTAAACAACTTTAGATTTTGCATTAACATAATGTGAATTAGAGTGACCTCAGGAAAAAAGGACAAAAAGTTCAAATTATCAATTTGAATTCGGCGATCTCTTCAGCTGGCAGCTTTACAGCACGAGCATCAGCACCAGCGCTGCTGGACAGACGGACATGGCTAGAACGACTCGGCTAGTGATCCTGAACAAGAATATATATACTTTATAGAGTCGGAAACGCTTCCTTCTACCTGTTAAATACTTTTGCACGAATACAATATACCCTTTTACTCTACGAGTAACGGGTATAAACACCAAAGTTATGGCATTTGCAATCGTTCAGTTATATGGCAGCTATAGGATATAGTCGGCCGATCCTTATGAAATTTGGAAGGTCGGATTGATTCGCCAAAAATAAAACCCATAGAAAATCCCAACTTCCTAACATTACAAACATCAAAGTTATGGCATTTTTGATCAATCAGTTATATGGCAGCTATAGGATATAGTCGTCCGATCCCGGCCGTTACGACTTATATACTGCGTGCAAAGGAAAGAAGAGTGTGTGCAAAGTTTCAATTCGATTTCTTTAAAACTGAGAGACAAGTTCGCGTAGAAACAGACAGACGGACAGACAGACGGATAGACAGACGGACTGACGGACATGGCTATATCAACTCAGGAGGTGATCCTGATCAAGAATATATATACTTTATAGGGTCGGAGATGTCTCCTTCACTACGTTGCACACTTTTGACCAAAATTATAATACCCTCTGCAAGGGTATAAAAAGGCTCAAGGAGGTGACTTAATAACCCCCAAAATGATAATTGAACTTTTAAAATGTGCAGTGGATGTTATATGCAAAATATTTAACGGGATTACAAAACTTGAATACTACCCAACAAAATGGGAAAAGCCTGTTGTCATAATGATACCGAATCCTGGGAAAGACTACACAATTCCCTCATCGTATGGGCCAATAAGTTTATTATCGTGCCTATCCAAATTATTAGAAAACTGCCTGCTCACGCGCATAACACCATATCTAAGAGACAAAATGCAATCCCGTCTCATCAATTCGGGGTTCGAAAAAGCCGGGGAACCATATAGGAACCGGATAACTTCAGAAATTCGTACAGCCTTTGAACATCGGGAATATTGTTGTGCGATATTCCGCGATGTCTCTCAAGCATTCGACCGAGTGTGTCTTAGAGGCCTTATTCATAAAATCAATTTGCTGACGACACCGCAATCCTGAGTCGCTCTGGATGCATAACTACAGCAACAGCTCAACTAGCAGATCACTTGGCGGCAGTTGAGAAGTGACTATCGGATGGCGAATCAAAATTAATAAACAAAAGTGTAACAAGAAAGGAAGCAAACTTCGGCAAGCCGATGTTTATATACCCTTGCAGTTATTACAAATCGACTCCATTTCGATTTCTATGCCTATATTACTAAAAACAAAGCAGAGGGTATTATAATTTTAGTCAAAAGTTCGTAACGCGTAAGGCGACATTTCCGACCCTATAAAGTATATATATTCTAGATCAGCATCACCAGGAGAGTCGATCTAGCCATGTCCGTTCGCCCGTCCGTCCGTTTCTACGCAAGCAAGTCCCTCAGTTTTAGAGCTATCCGCTTAAAACTTTAGCTCCCATAGGAACAATCGGCTGTTGTTCTATTTATCAAAATATACATTTGAGATATTTATACCCGTTACTCGTAGAGTAAAAGGGTATATTGTATTCGTGCAAAAGTATATAACAGGTAGAAGGAAGCGTTTGCGACCCTATAAAGTATATATATTCTTGTTCAGGATCACTAGCCGAGTCGATCTAGCCATGTCCGTCCGTCCGTATGAACGCTGAGATCTCGGAAACTATAAAAGCTAGAAGATTGGAATTTTGCATGTAGATTTTAGGAGTTTCTACGCAGCGCAAGTTTGTTTCAAAATGGTGCCACTCCCCCTCTGACGCCCACAAGCCACAAGCTGTGGCCACAGTTTTGATGCTATTATAAAAATTTAAATTGATATGTATTTGTTTCGTCAATACCTATCGATTGGCCTAACGCCCAAAAACCCATTAAACGCTAAAGCCTGGCTAGCGCCTACATTTCCGCCTTTCATGGCGCCATCTAACGGATGATTTTGGAACAGCTGGCCAAGGTGCTCAACAGAGTTAACGTTAATTCTCGATAAGGATTTCTATTAAAGGAAACGGAGTGACGGGTATCTTATAGTCGAGGCACTCGACTATAGCGTTCTCTCTTGTTTTATTATTTACTATATCAGAATTACGCTTTTAGTTTTATCAAAAAAAATAGTCGAAACAGTGGACTTCACCCGGCGAACCTTCTCCGAAGAAGGCGAAGACTGTTCCATCGGCCGTCACTCGCTGGACAGAAATTTGCGTCGAATGAGGAGGTCGTCGCCGCCACAGAGGCCTATTTCGCAGACCTCGAGAAAACGTATTTTTCAGACGGGTTAAAGAAGTTGGAGCATCGCTGGGTCAAGTGTATCGAGCTAAAATGAGATTATGTTGAGAAATAAATAGCCACTTTTCCAAAAATTTTCGTTTTTCTTTTGGAGCTAAGTACTTATCGGACCACCGTCAATGAAGTGTTTTGAGAATGGAAAAAATGTCTTATTTCGTTTTTTTATACGATAAAAAGTATGTTTTCAGTGTTTTTTTTTTCATTTTTAAAAAAATTTTTTTATGATTTTTTTTGGATCTTAGAGATGATATATGAACCAAAGAAATTCATTTCTTTAGTAACTTTCTTAAAAATAAATAAATACAAATGACATTCAGATTTCACACTGTCAAGAAAGTGTTTTTTACAAAAATTTAAAGTGTTCTTATTTTGTAATGAGTAGAATGTTAGTAATTTGTATGGTCACCTTTGGCAGCGTAAACTTCCTCCAATCGCGATTTCATTGAAGATATACATTTTTCCATGTACAATTTCTCCGGATGGCAGTTTTCCTTTACTATGGCAGTTTTAAGATCATTTTTGTTTTTGCAACTTTCTTCTTCAAATATGCCCAAACATTTTCGATTGGGCTTAAGTCCGGCCTCTGGGCTGGTGTGTCCATCACTTTTCGCCTTATACTTAGGGTCATTATCTTAATAAATTTGAATTTTGGACAGAGATGATCGAAAATTATTAAGGCAGGCCAAAAACCCGTAAGTTTCTCTTAGATCTATTGCAAGCGATCTTATGGAGACTATTAATGTCGATGTTTCCCGTCAACTCTTCTTTGATTCATCTAGGACGTAAATAAATTAATTTTTTCGTACACTTCTTCGAACAGCTTTCAGTTATTGCCACTGTCACTGTTAACGAATTAGCGCTGTTAAGGCTAGAAAGCTTTACTCTGTAGATCACTAAAGCCAGCTGATCTATAACAACAACAATAGTTTCAATACAACATCCACGGCAGCAACCTTAAACTTTTACACACACAAAGGCACAAAAAGCTACAAAAGCAAACTGAAAATCAGCTGTCTCAAAACATTTTTCTTTTTTTGATTTTTATTTTGTTTTGCGCGATAAAAAGGCCATAAATGCCTTTCCATTTCTAGATAAAAAGTGTCGAGTGTAGAGCTGGCATTCAACCGTGGAACATGGAGAGGTGAGGTCGAAGAATGGCTACTGTTCCGCAGTGAACTCACTTTTGCGGTCTCGCAGCTTGCAGGTGAGCACGAGCAGCGGCCCGGTGCGAGGAAAACTGCGCACAGGTGTGTACGGCGGCGAGTACGTCAGTTTCGAGCGGATTCCGTACGCGCAGCCGCCACAGGGACCGCTCCGCTTCAAGGCACCGCTGCCCGTAAAGAGCTGGACCCAACCGCTGGACTGCACCAAGCAGGGCGAGAAGCCCCTGCAGTTTAACCACTACACCAAACAACTGGAGGGCGTCGAGGATTGCCTGTACCTGAATGTCTTCGCTAAGCAGGTAACACTGTCGTTGCCCTAAGTACTCTGTAAGCAAAACATTACTTCAAAGTCTCCCTTAGTTCTAGGAGCAAAGGGTGTTAGACATAAAATAACAACTAAACTTTCAGTCTGTAAAGTATAGGACAAACACCTTTTATCGATAATATTTTTTTTGTAGATTATTTATTTACATTTTACTTGGAGTAACTTTTGGAGAACTGTTCCCACCAAAAAAGGGTCTTAGATACGATTATCAAATATGTATGAATAATGTGATGAGCTGAGTCATGTCAGCTTTTCAGGGTGCAAAGTTGTATATCAATTTTAAGGCTATACCCAGCTATAGAAGCGCTTTATTCAGATAAGACTTAAGATAAGACTTTTACAGCTGGTTTGGTTTCAAAAGATAGCTACAGTCGAGATTCTACAAAAAGAACCTTTATTTACTATTAAACCTAAAGCTTAAAAAACTATCTAAAGCATACATTTTTTGGAATATCGCTTACGGTGATATATTGTAATATTATTATCTATGTTTTATGTGGCAATAATATTACAATAAACGTATCATCGTAAGCGAATTTCCAAAACATTCTTCTTAATTCTGAGGGCTTAAAAATGTATAAAATCAGATTGTTTGACTTAGTATACTTCTATTAGGTTCTTAGCTAAGACATTCTAAATCTTGGTTTCGTAACTAACTGCTTTTTTATGTGCAGCTAAACTCGACGAGCCCCTTGCCGCTGATTGTCTACTTTTTTGGCGGAGGTTTCGAAAAGGGCGACCCCACCAGGGAACTGCACAGTCCAGACTACTTTATGATGCGCGATGTGGTTGTGGTGACGGTTTCCTATCGCGTGGGTCCCCTGGGATTCCTGAGCTTGAACGACCCTGCAGTTGGAGTGCCCGGGAATGCTGGACTCAAGGATCAACTCCTAGCGCTGCAATGGATCAAACAGAATGCGGCAAATTTCAATGCGGATCCCAACAACGTTACTGCGTTTGGAGAAAGTGCCGGAGCTGCGTCCGTCCATTATCTAATGCTTAATCCCAGGGCCGACGGTCTGTTCCACAAGGCCATCCTGCAGTCGGGCAATGTGCTCTGCTCCTGGGCCCTCTGTCCCATCAAGAACCTACCCCATCGGTTGGCTGCCAACCTGGGAATGGACAGTGCCGAGCATGTGACCGACATCATGGTCCTAGACTACCTGCAGAGTTTGCCGGGGGAGAAGCTCGTTCAACCGTATCTACTCAGCGAAGCGGAGCACCTGGACGATTGCGTCTTCCAATTCGGACCTATGGTGGAGCCGTATAAAACGGAGCACTGTGTGTTGCCCAAACCTCCACAGGATTTGCTGCACGAGGCCTGGGGAAACAGGATTCCGGTGCTGATGAGCGGCACTTCCTTCGAGGGACTGCTGATGTACGCCCGTGTGCAAGTGGCTCCGTATCTGCTGACCAGTTTGAAGAAGGAACCGGAGCACATGCTGCCGCTAGATGTGAAGCGGAATCTGCCCCAGGCACTGGCTCGACATCTGGGCCAGCGACTCCAGGAGACGCACTTTGGCGGTAGCGACCCCTCGTCCATGTCGCCGGAATCTTTGATTGCATATTGCGAGGTACGTTTTTATACCCTTGCAGAGGGTATTATAATTTTGGTCAAAAGTGTGCAACGCAGTGAAGGAGGCATCTCCGACCCTATAAAGTATATATATTCTTGATCAGGATCACCTCCTGAGTTGATATAGCCATGTCCGTCTGTCCGTCTGTCTGTTTCTACGCAAACTAGTCTCTCAGTTTTAAAGCTATCGAGTTGAAACTTTGCACACACCCTTCTTTCCTTTGCACGCAGTATATAAGTCGGAACGGCCGGGATCGGCCGACTATATCCTATAGCTGCCATATAACTGAACGATCGGAAATGCCATAACTCTGCTGTTTGTAAAGTTAGGAAGCTGGGATTTTCTATGTGTTTTATATTTGGCTAATCAATCCGACCTACCAAATTTCATAAGGATCGGCCGACTATATCCTATAGCTGCCATATAACTGATTGATCGGAAATGCAATAACTTTGGTGTTTGTAAAGTTAGGAAGTTTGGATTTTCTATGGGTTTTATATTTGGCCAATCAATCCGACCTACCAAATTTCATAAGGATCGGCCGACTATATCTTATAGCTGCCATATAACTGATTGATCGGAAATGCCATAACTTTGGTGTTTGTAAAGTTAGGAAGTTGGGATTTTCTATGGGTTTTATTTTTGCCCAATCAATTCGACATATTAAATTTCATAAGGATCGGCCGACTGTATCCTATAGCTGCCATATAACTGATTGATCGGAAATGAAATAACTTTGGTGTTTTTAAAGTTAGGAAGGTGGGATTTTTTATGAGTATTAAAAATGCATCATATGAATAATTTTGGAGAATATAATTTGCAGAATATTCTGCAAGGGTATTTCAACTTCGGCTCCGCCCGAAGTTAGCTTTCCTTTCTTGTTTGACTTAATTTCGAACCATTGATATTATTTATCAGTTTGATGTGCGATATTTAGCTTCTTAATAACATAGAAACACAAAATCAAACTTTTTAAAATTTTCATCAATTATTTTGTACATTTCCATGATAATTGGGTTCTTCCGAGAAATAGTTTATCACTCATAGGTTATTAAATGTTAAGTAGTTTATAAACTATGGTTGTGCAAACTTTACCTTCTTTCTATGCCAACAAGTGGTAGAGCAAAATATTTTTAGTTCGAATTATTTAATAAAACAAAAATGAAAATTTTTTTATATTTTGGTGCTTTTAAGTAAAAATCCCATACAAACTCACCCTGTGCACAGCCTTTGGCTTAAATAAACATAACATTCACTTAATGTTTTTAAAATAAATTTAAATTTTAAATAAACCATAAGACTTGCCGTTTTCTATGAAATAATTATAAAGTAGACTGATCGAATGTTTCTTTATTTATTTTAGTACGCCAGCTACAAGGTCTTTTGGCATCCTATCCTGAAAACGGTGAAGTCCCGACTCAGCAACTCGAAGGCGCCCACATATCTGTACCGCTTCGACTTCGACTCGCCCACGTTCAATCACCAGCGATTGAAGTACTGCGGGGACAAGTTGCGCGGCGTGGCCCACGTCGACGATCACTCTTACCTGTGGTACGGCGACTTTTCCTGGAAGCTGGACAAGCACACGCCCGAGTTTCTGACCATTGAGCGAATGATTGACATGTTGACAAGCTTTGCGATGACCTCGAATCCGAACTGCAAGCACATCAAGGATCAGCTTCCTCGCGCCAAGGAATGGAAGCCCTTGAGCAGCAACTCCGCTTTGGAGTGCCTCAACATATCTGAGAACATTAAGCTGATGGAACTGCCGGAGCTGCAAAAGCTCAGGGTCTGGGAGAGTGTATGCCAATCATCGGACTAGTCGAGAGTATTCGAAATCAATGTAGCTAAATTCTTAGTTTTTAAAAAATATTGTTTTTATAAAATTACGATTCATAAATAATTATTTCCTACTTGTTTTGTTTACGGGGTTACACGCGTTTCAAGCGCAAAACAAGTCTTAACTCTAAGCATTCTTAGAGTGTGCAGAGAACCCAAAAAAACGGAGAGTTTTTTTATACCCTTGCAAAGAGCATTTCAATTTGTTAGGTTCGGTAAGCCGAATTTTAAATAGAGTATTAAATATTCTATAACTAACGACTATATGCGTGCGTTATTAGAGTGATTAGAACCACAAGAATCGGTCTCACCTCCTGATCCTATATCTTTCCCTTTCTGTACTCGGTAGCGATAATTTTTACTCGATACCTAGTTGCAACGTGAGATGTCGCCTTAATATGAATAATAAATTAGTTAGGAGCGATAGTTTTTACTCGATACCTAGGTAGCAACGTGAGATGTAAATAAGGTATACCATTAAGGAGACTACGCTATTAATAATAAACTAGTTAGAAGCTAGCATATATTCTACATACAGATGTCAAGGCGTGCATGGATCAAACAAAATTTGTTCACTATCGACCTTTGGAGGCAAAATTGTTTAAAATATATATTCCACTCAGTTTTGTTCTAGTCTAAGAAAATTCGATATTCGGAAATTCGAATTTGCGTAGAGTACATGTACTTAAAAAATTGTATTTGAGCACAATTTCCTTGCCGCTTTACCTTCTCTCCTTAAACAACTATAAATATCTAAAGTAATTTTTTCAGTCAAAGTCTTCCTTGTCTTCGATATTTAGTTCGGTATCCCACTATTAAAGACTTAACGATTTTTAAAATGACTTTATCAACTTTCCCTGAGCCTTATCCATCCCCGAAACTCAAATTAAAGTGTTTCAAGATAGCATAATTTCCTTTTTGTAACCTTGTTTATGTGCAGCAAATTTACCATTGCTCGAGATACGAGAACGATGAACGTATTTTTAGGCTGATAAGCTTCGGCTATCGGTAGTTGTGGTCTTCAGTACCCATAAATGCGAGAAGGCAGTATACGCTCGTAACTGTTGCTGATCGGAGATGACGGACGACTAGTAAAATATTTTTTCCAAAAGGAATTGCATTTTTATATACTTTCAAAAATAAATATTATTTTTAGCACCGAAACTTCGCCGATAGTGCAGACGACACATGGAAAAGTGAAAGGAATTCTGCTTAAGTCGCTGTACGACGAGCAGTTCTACGCTTTCGATGGCATCCCATATGCTGTTCCTCCGCTCGGAACTCTGCGATTCAAGGAACCGCACGACCTGAAGCCGTGGCATGGTATTCGAGACTGCTCTAAGCCGTCAAACAAGTGCCTGCAAGTGAGCTCCTATACCAAGATGGTGGAGGGCTCCGAGGATTGCCTATATCTGAATATTTCAGCGAAAACTGTAAGCTAATCGCGTTAATTTAAACATGACACTAAAAGGTGATTATATTTTATACTGCATTTTAAAGCTGCTCGGCGAACCCATGCCCATTATGGTCTATATCCATGGAGGTGCTTTTAAAGGCGGCGATTCTTCGAGGCGAGCTTGGGGTCCTGACTATTTCATGAAGGAAAGGGTTCTTTATATCAGCATCGGGCACCGACTGGGACCTTTGGGTGAGTTATAATGAAAGGCTGATCGTAAGATAACTTGTTCCCTAACATTGCGAAAATTTTGTATGTAATAACAAATAATAATATTATCTCCAAGAAGTAAAAAAAGGTTGTATTAAATAACTTTGTCCACTTTCAGGCTTTCTCAGTTTTGAGGATCCCTCGCTCGAGATCCCTGGCAATGCTGGTCTAAAGGACATAATCCTGGCTCTTCAGTGGATTAGGGCGAATGCCGCCAAGTTCAATGGTGACCCGGATAGAATAACCATTTTCGGTCACAGCTCCGGCAGCATGGCAGTTCAGCTCCTGTTGGCCAGTCCCCAAACAGAAGGGCTCTTCCACAAGGCCATCCTTATGGCGGGTTATTCGATGGAACTGAATAGCCTGCCTCACTTGGAATTCCGACTGGCCAAACATTTGGGATACGAGGGAGAGAATATCGATGGCCCGGTTCTAGAGTTCCTCCTGAAGGCAGATCCGCATCTGCTTGTCTCTGCGGATTTTTTCACTCCAGCGGAGAAAGGTCAGGGTCATGTCATTGCTTTCAAGCCCAGCATTGAGAGGTATGCCACCCCAAAAGCTGTTCTCCAAGCGGAACCCGTCGACCTCCAGCGTACTGCTTGGAGCAATCGCATCCCCATTATCTTGGGCGCGAACAGTGGCGAGGGCTTGTCCACAATGAATTTCCTTAAATTGAACCCTACTTGGCTGAGGGACCTCCAGCAAAACCCGGAGCGGGCGTTGCCTTGGACTCTGCGGAATCACTGTGATCCCGGCCAGCGGCGTCAGTTGGGGCAGGCGCTGATCAATCACTTCTGCCAGGCCCATGGACATAAGCTGACTTCGAATCACACCGACGCATTGACGGACCTCTTTACTCACAGCATGGTGCATTCCATGGACCGATTAATCCAGTCCAGGTTGGTCCACGGCCAGGCATCCACTTACCTCTACCGCTTCGATTTCGATTCACCAGACTTTAACTTCTACCGGATTCGCTTTATGGGAAAGGAGCAGCGGGGGGTCTCTCATGTGGACGAGCTGGGATATATTTTTGTGATCCCAGCCACCTTTAAATTGGACAATTCTCGACCGGAGCTCACCGCCATCTGCCGAATGGTAGCCATGTTCGTGGAATTTGCCGCTACCTCGGATCCCAATGCACTCCTCACTAAACCTCTGGTGGAGTGGAAGCCAGTCACTCGATTCGGAAAACGAATGGTCCTCAACATTAGTGAGGAATTAAAATTTATTCCCCAACCAGAGATGCTTAAGCTTAAGTTTTTTGATCGGCTGTTTGAAATGGCTGGAGTTCCTTTGATTTAATTAATCTGTTACCAAATTTTAGATCAAAGAGTACAGCTAAAGAACCCTTTAATATTTTTAATACATTTTTAAAGACGAGTACTGCTGTATGTGTATAAAAAAACGCGCTTTTATAAAATATAATGTTTTGTCTAACAAACATATTTACTTGTTAATAAAAATCAATAAATTCTATACAAAAGGTCAACCAAAAACAGCACAGTACAACTTGATATCACTTTTATTAAATTGGATTTATAAAAAGGATATATTAAAAAATGTACTACACTTGTTTTTGTTTAAGCTTTTATTTGTTCGAAAGATTTAAACTTATTACAACAATACTTTTTATTTGCTTGGTTTTTGCGCTAAAATAAAAATTTGTTTGTTGCCTTTGTGGAAAAGCCTTTGACAATTCTCTTGGTTAGACGATAAGGTGTCGCCACAATTTACCTCAGATACGTGGAGAAAGCTCGAGCACCACACATGCTTTTTCAACCACCTCTGTGGGGCTTGAACTTTTTCAGTTGCTTTGGCTTTGACTTTGCAAAATTACGTTCTACTCATTTAACAGACAACACGCGCTGCAATCGGACGATGTCGGAGGGGTGAGATTTAATAAAGTGGAAGTCTTGGGGCTTATTGCTTGACGAGCTTGCTTAAAATAGCCAGGAAACTTGCGAACTTACTCTGCCCCTGGGCCAAATTAAGGGCGTTAAACGCCGCAGCCTCTACGATGACACCTACTTCAGCTTCGAGAAGATCCCCTTTGCGAAGCCCCCATTGGGAGAACTGCGGTTCAAGGCCCCAGTGCCGGCAGATGCATGGAGCGGAGTCTTGGATTGCACCCACTTTGCGGAGAAGCCAACTCAGAGGAATTTAATGACTAGAGATATCGAAGGTATTGAGGACTGCCTGTATCTAAACGTCTATTCCAAGCAGGTTAGTATATTGTCCCCACCAACATGCTCAAAAATATGAAAATATTCGAACTTGTGTATTTCCAATCAGAAGTATCTCGCGGTTTTCTCAATTTAGATTTCTTACCCAACAAGCTTACTGTTTTGTTAAAATAATTTGAATGTAGTGCCAACCCCTGTATGTTCTTATATATGTATATCCCAAAACTGCTGATCGCCTACCTAATCGATTATAATAACTGATCGCTGATTTATTTTTGCAGTTAAAGAGTGACAAGCCATTGCCGGTAATGGTCTACATTTATGGCGGGGCCTTCACCATAGGTGAGGCAACCCGCGAACTCTACGGCCCGGACTATTTTATGGCCAAAGATGTGGTTCTGGTGACTCTCAACTATCGTGTTGATTGTTTGGGTGAGTGAGTAGAAGTTGATAATGGATATCTTATCAATTGTCAAGCAGCTTGGTTGTTGCCCTATCTTCAGCTGTTTTTGGGTTTAAAATTTGAAATCTAATTATAATTTTATTGTTAAATTCTAATCCCATTTGGGAAGCTTGCTCAAAAACAAGTACAAGTTTTTTCATTTATTTATTTAATTGTATTTTTTATTGACTCCTTTAAGTATAAATAATTGATAATAGTTTGTAAAATCGCAGGATCAGTAAACTTGAGCAACACCATTTTACTTTGTGATTTCCTTCCATCCAGGATTTCTCTCCCTCAAGGATCCCAGCCTAAAGGTTCCCGGAAATGCAGGCCTTAAGGACCAGGTGCTCGCACTCAAGTGGGTCAAGCAGAACATTTCCAACTTCAATGGCGATGATAAAAATATCACGGTTTTCGGAGAAAGTGCCGGTGGCTGTTCTACTCACTTTATGATGTGCTCGGAGCAGGCCCGGGGACTGTTCCACAAGGCCATTCCCATGTCGGGCACAGTGCACAATTACTGGTCAGATAGTCCGAGAGAGGACTTCGCCTTCCGCCTGGCTCAGCAGCATGGTTTCACTGGGGAAAATAATGACGCCAAGGTGTTGGAGCACCTCCGAGGACTTCCTGCTAGAGATTTAGTAAACCACAATCTGATAAATCCTGGACATCACAGGAATGGTGTGTTGTTCGCATTTGGACCCACGGTGGAGGCGTATGTGGGTGACGACTGTGTGGTTCCCAAGCCGCCAGTGGAAATGGCACGTGATGCGTGGTCCAACAATTTGCCCACCATGCTGGGTGGAACTTCATTTGAGGGTCTCTTCATGTACCCAGCTGTATCTGCCAATCTCAAGGCATTGGATACTCTGAATCAGGATCCCACAAGGTTGGTGCCGCGGGATGTGCGGGACGTCAGTAACGAGGAGGAGAATCTTGAGTACGGTCGGCGACTGCTCAAAGCATACTTCGGAGATTCCTTACCCAGTTCAGAGCGCTTCATGAATATCCTCGATGTGAGTAGATCAGCGTTCAAAATATCTATTCATAGATATCCAATTAGAAAAATGAATTTCCTATAACGTTGACTTTCGGAAATTTCCGTTAATTGAACATATTTTATAAGTTTATTAATTAATTTATGAGTTTTAGAAATAATAGAACAGCCTACATACATAAATGTAACCCTCTACAATGTTTAATAATCTAACCGAACTCTTTTTCGTAGTTCTACTCGTATAAGGTCTTCTGGCATGGCTTCAATCGCGCTTTGAACGCAAGACTCGCCTATGCAAAGGCACCAACATACTACTACCGCTTCGATTTTGACTCTCCGAACTTCAACTTTTTTCGGGCGAAGTTCTGTGGGGACAACATTAAGACTGGTGTGGCCCATGCCGATGATTTAAGTTACTTGTTCAGGAACGCGGGATCTTGGAAACTGGAAAAGTCATCTGCTGAATACCGCACCATCGAACGGATGATTGGTATTTGGACGGCTTTCGCAGCGACCTCCAATCCCAACTGCCCTGAAATTGGTCATTTGGAGTGGAACCCTTCAACGAAGGATAATCCCAAGTCAGTTCTCAATATCAGTAACGATGTGAAGATAATTGATTTGCCCGAGTATGAAAAACTTCAAATTTGGGATGGCATCTACAAGCCGGATCAATTGATTTAACCAAGCATTTCTAAAGTCAATATTCCATAATAGGTTTTGAGAAAGGTGCTCATTAAAAAGTTGCTATGTCTAACTATATTTTGTTATTATTTAACTAGGCAGCATTGATAATAAAACGGGTTTCTCAATTTCAAAATATTGTTTTACATATTTATATAGGAATAAAATTGGTACATTTTCAAAAATATATAAAATAGCCAAAGAAAGATATTTAAGGATAGCAATATATCTATTTATTGTAGTATTAAATTGCTTTTAAAAAATCATGTTTGTCTCTCCGTATAAATCAATGAAACTTTTTATCAGTCTTAAATATGATAAGAAAATTGTGTATCTTGTTAAGATGAGTGGGTCATAGCCTAAGATAATCGTAATGACAAGTTCCAGTTGGAATTCGTACATCTCGAACGGGATTCTCCAGGCTGCTTCAAGCGCTGTTTACAAAGGGTCTCGGGGGAAAATTTAGTGGAAGCCTTACTCATAATCTACCAGTTTTCGGAAAATTTCATTATAAATCCCTTCTTGGAATCAGATCGCATCCTGCAGCGAAAGGCTCATTTTTAAGCCGGGTAGCACACAGCTAGGTAGCGAGGTCCAAGATATGACTGAAGAAAAGTATATGCCGTAGAAATATCATTTACGAGCGATGTGGCTCTGGTACTCTGCAGCTGCTACCTGTGGACTGTGAAATCACGAATAACTTGAGTTAATGACGAACTTTGACAACCAAATAAAAGCAGCTTACATTTAACTAAATAAGAAAAACTATTTTTTGCCAGGAAACTTAGTAGTGTGTATAGAGAAAAACTATATACATATATAACACTCTTAAAAATTCAGAGGTGGTTAACATTTACTTTATTAATATTTTCCGCTAAATGAAAATACTATCTGTGTTTCTTGTGTTTTTTTATTTTCTTCTTTTTCGCTTTACAGTGTCGCAGTGAATTTATGTTTGCGAGTGGGAGCGTATGAAAACAAACAGCGTTTAGGGGGATGCATCTACCCACTCCTAGTACTCCTCAGCACCTTCGCCCTCGCCGTCACCAGAGTCCATGCCGACCTCCTCGTAGTCCTTCTCCAAGGCAGCCAGATCCTCGCGGGCCTCCGAGAACTCGCCCTCCTCCATGCCCTCGCCGACGTACCAGTGGACAAACGCCCTCTTGGCGTACATCAGGTCGAACTTGTGGTCCAGACGGGCCCAGGCCTCGGCGATGGCCGTGGTGTTGGACAGCATGCACACGGCGCGCTGCACCTTGGCCAGATCTCCGCCAGGCACCACGGTGGGTGGCTGGTAGTTGATGCCCACCTTGAAGCCGGTGGGGCACCAGTCCACGAACTGTATGGTGCGCTTGGTCTTGATGGTGGCGATGGCTGCGTTCACGTCCTTGGGCACCACATCTCCGCGGTACAGCATGCAGCAGGCCATGTACTTGCCGTGTCTCGGGTCCACCTTGACCATCTGGTTGGCCGGCTCGAAGCAGGCGTTGGTGATCTCGGCCACCGACAGCTGCTCGTGGTAGGCCTTCTCCGCCGAGATGACCGGGGCGTATGTGACCAGCGGGAAGTGGATGCGGGGGTAGGGCACCAGGTTGGTCTGGAACTCGGTGAGGTCCACGTTGAGAGCCCCATCGAATCGCAGCGAGGCGGTGATCGAGGACACTATCTGCCCGATCAGGCGGTTAAGGTTGGTGTACGTGGGCCGCTCGATGTCTAGGTTGCGGCGGCAGATGTCGTAGATGGCCTCGTTGTCGACCATAAAGGCGCAGTCCGAGTGCTCCAGGGTGGTGTGCGTGGTCAGGATGGAGTTGTAGGGCTCCACCACGGCGGTGGACACCTGGGGAGCCGGGTAGATGGCGAACTCCAGCTTGGACTTCTTTCCGTAGTCCACCGAGAGGCGCTCCATGAGCAGCGAGGTGAAGCCGGAGCCAGTGCCCCCGCCGAAGGAGTGGAAGATGAGGAATCCCTGCAGCCCGGTGCACTGGTCGGCCAGCTTGCGGATCCTGTCCAGCACCAAGTCGACGATCTCCTTGCCGATGGTGTAGTGCCCGCGGGCGTAGTTGTTGGCCGCGTCCTCCTTGCCGGTGATCAGCTGCTCCGGGTGGAACAGCTGCCGGTAGGTGCCGGTGCGCACCTCGTCCACCACGGTGGGCTCCAGGTCCACGAACACGGCGCGCGGCACGTGCTTGCCGGCGCCCGTCTCGCTGAAGAAGGTGTTGAATGAGTCATCGCCACCGCCCACGGTCTTGTCGGAGGGCATCTGGCCATCGGGCTGGATGCCGTGCTCCAGGCAGTACAACTCCCAGCAGGCGTTGCCAATCTGGACGCCGGCCTGGCCCACGTGGATAGAGATGCATTCACGCATATTGATTTTTTACCGGGACTCGGTTTCTCACACGCGGCTACGAAAAATTCACGGAAAAGTGTGGAGCTACGATTTTGGGGTCTGACTCTGCGAGCGTATACGTTGGAATGCCCGAATACGGGGATTTGGCTAACGCAAATCTCACTGAGCTCTGGGATTCACAGAAAACTTCACTAATTCGTTCGGAGATTATTAGATAATAAACGCGTTTAACAATCGATTTTGCTCTGGTGGCACGGAAAACTCTGTCAGGCCTGTTTTTGGAAAGTTTGTTCGAATTCGGCTTGAGTTTGACTTTGCTTTCTACACAACATTGCTAGCTCTTGGCCAAAATTGATTTACCATCGGCAGGGGTGTGTGGATGCGACTATTCTGGCGGTATTTACCCAATTTAAAGATCAGTAAATTTGGTTTTTTACACAAACACGCTTGTTTGGTAGATTCAGAGTGGCCGTTTCTCGTCCGTTTAAATATACCAACTAGCAAAAGAAAATACCAAAAAATGTTGAGATATCAAATATTACCAAACATAATACCCGTACAATATATAAATAAGTTTTATAGATTTGTATACTGAAACAACTTAATCGCTACCTTATGTATTTCTTTTGGAAGAAAATCTCACTGTAGCGGAGTTTAGTCATTGTTGCAAAATCGCCGACTGTGTAAATAGGGTTTTAATAGGGGTATTGTTTGTTTTTCAACGTATTTCATGGCAATTATTTGTTACAGAAAACTAGCATCAATATTCTATAATTATAATATAATTTCATTATTGAAATAATACAATAATAATTAATATAATATTTTTATAACCGCATCAGTCGCTTGTTTTTGTGGGCATTTCTTGAGTATGGTATTTTTTAATATTGTGCAGTACTGCGCAGTTATCGATCCACTTTGCGCACTTATCGATTGACCGCCCGCGAAAACTGAATAAATTCAAAATTAATATTTGTTTGATTCAATGTGTTGAGATCTTGGTAGGCAAGTACATAAAATAGTTTCGATAAAACCCTAGTAGTCCAGGCCATTTATGTTTTTTTCTGTGTATAATCGTCAAGAGATTAAAATGTTTTTTGAATCCTGCTTAATATTATGGACTATTCTTAGTTTTATACAAAGTTCTGAAAAATCGTAAGTTAAACAAGATGTTTATTATTTTGTTATGCTAACTCTAACTTAATTCTAACTATAAGTTAACGGTAAAAGATAAGAAACCCAAAATTTAACAATAATTAAGAACCCGAACCGTAACGGAATTAGTCTTTTAATTAAAAGTTATGTTTGCTTTTTACGTATGTTCCTATCCACATTTTCCATCATGGTTTTAAGATGATTTCTCATTTATAACAAATTATTACAGCCCTTATATAAGTATACTAGCAGGGTGCCCGCAGCTTCGCTTGCGATGGATAACCCCAATATCCTACTTTTCTTATGTAATAAGTATGTGGACATGGGGCAGACCACGTTTTTGCCATTCAATAGAATACATAAAACACTGTACTTCACCAAACAATTGGCCTTTAAGCAACAGCGCCATTAATGTTTTAACTTTTAAATGAAAGACTCGAGATATCAGGTCATGACGATTCTGAGGTTTTTGGCCTGGAAACAACTCATTCGTTATTTCCTCCCATTTAGGGTTACAGGTAAATGTTATAAAAATATCAGGTCGGCCATGATGTCGAACATAAGTCATAGCATCCTGGGTCTTTTCATGCATATATCGAGGAGAGCCTGTAAAAGTGGAAGGTAAAATCACCATCTGACCAAGTTGAGTCATATCTGCATACATATGTAACTTTCTGCTCCCAACTTTTTTTGATTTTTGCACTCATATCAACCAAAAATTGATTAAACAGAGCTCTATAATAATGCAAGTGATTGACTTCAGTCTCCCTAAGAATTATTCGATAACTGTAAAAGCTTAATGCAGATACAGTCTTCTTTAGATCATTTTTTGTTAACGGATCCCGTTGGGGAATATTTATGGAATATCCATCATATCCGTGGCAAAAAATTAATGGATATTGTAGACAGTCATAAGATCGGTAAAGTTCACTTTGCTATTATGACTCTCAATAAAAATGTCCCGACTTGGAAATTGTTGATCAACTAATACCAAACCCACTTCATTTGTTTGAGGTGCATTATAACGACCTCTATGAGCATTTGCTGGCTTTTTATCAGCGTTAATGACCATTTTGAAGTCTTTGCAATCCTTTGGGTCACCAATAACTATAAACTAATGTCTACAGATATTAAAACCGTATTAAAGCTCATTTTATATTTTTAAGGAAGCGTAAGGAAATGCAAGGCAGAGAGAGAGGGAGGGAGATGGAATCATTTGTTGACAATTTGTATGAAAATGCAGAGAGAGATAGCAATATGCAGGCAGAAAACGTATGATGCTTATGGAGACACTTAAATTCGATAAGAGATCGACTTTTTGCTTAGTTTCTTTGTTTAGAAGATAGCTAGAGCTTTGGTGAAACCATCAAATGAATCGTTAAAGCTTAAGGAAAAACTTTACCGAAGGAATTTTTGATACTCAGTTTAGAAGTGCCATTTTTCGACGTTTGAAGATATTTTTGGCTAAATTGTAATTTTAGAACGGGTGTTAAAAATAGTAAAAAGCCTTAAATCTAAGCGGTCAAATTTTTTAAACATTAATAATGTCTTAAACTATTTTTGGGCGAAAACACGGATTCGATTGCTAAAACGGTTTAGCGTCCAGAATTTTTGAAAGGAAAATTTACCTTTTTTCCAATTGGAATCGATTGGGGCCACTTGGGGAGCCCCAATAAATCTTAGCAATTGTTAATTTATTGTTAAGTTAAATTTAGTTTTAAGTTTTTAATTTTAAGTTTTAACAAGAAAGGAAAGCTAACTTCGGGCGGAGCCGAAGTTGATATACCCTTGCAGAATATTCCATAAATTATATTCTCCAAAATTATTCATATGATGCATTCTTAATACTCATAAAAAGTCCCAACTTCCTAACTTTAAAAACACCAAAGTTATGACATTTCCAATCGTTCAGTTATATGGCAGCTATAAGATATAGTCGGCCGATCCTTATGAAATTTGGTGGGTCGGATTGATTGGCCAAAAATAAAACCCATAGAAAATCCCAACTTCCTAACTTTACAAACACCAAAGTTATGGCATTTCCGATCAATCAGTTATATGGCGGCTATAGGATATAGTCGTCCGATCCTTATGAAATTCGGTAGGTCAGAATGATTAGCCAAAAATAAAACCCATAGAAAATCTCAACTTCCTAACTTTAAAAACACCAAAGTTATGGCTTTTCCGATCGTTCAGTTATATGGCAGCTATATGATATAGTCGCCCGATCCGGCTCGTTCCGACTTATATACTACCTGCAATAGAAAGACAACTTTTGGGAAAGTTTCAAGCAGATAGCTTTGAAACTGAGGGACTAGTTTGCGTAGAAACGGACGGACGGACGGACAGACGGACAGACGGACAGACGGACGGACAGACGGACAGACGGACATGGCTAGATCGACTCTCCTGGTGATGCTGATCAAGAATATATATACTTTATAGGGTCGGAAATGTCTCCTTCACTGCGTTGCAAACTTTTGACTGAAATTATAATACCCTCTGCAAGGGTATAAAAAGAAATCAAGATCAGCCGCCGCACAAATATTGTACTACACAGAGTCAGAGAGAGAGAGAGAGAGAGAGACAGTGCGAGAGAATGCATTCGGTGTTCAATGCTTGTGTATAATTTGTTGGAATTATTATTCCTACTTTAGCCTAATGTAACTTTTTTTAGAATTGACCTAGAGCTTCAGTAAAACCACCATATGAATCCTTAAAGTATCAGGATTCCCTCGAAAAATTTTCATATTGCTAATTGACTTAGGTCAGTGTTTTTTGCCGTTAGGAAAAAATGAGGAAGATTCTTAGATTTTCAAAGATCGATAAAAAATAGTAAACATTAAAATATCGAATATTAAATTAAATAGAATCTTTATTATGTAGAGGACTAAATTTTGGCCAAAAATCGCATCGATTGATTAACGCGTTTAGCGTCCAGATTTTTTTATAGAAATTGGGGGTTTTTTGCCACTGGAAGAAAATGGGGGCATGTTTGTGGCCAAAATAAATCTTAGCAAATCAGTTTAGTGTTATAAGAATTGAATGGAAAAAAATTTTAATAGGGTCATTTAATTAGTTTAGGCTGTGCGTTGATTCTTAGTTTTCAATGAACAGTTTTATATATAGAGATAATTTTCCTTTGACCAGAGGCAAAAATATAAACTATAAATTTTTTTAAGCTTTCTTGATGCTCGATCCGTAGCAAAAACTTAAAAAGAAAATTAATTCGCCGTTTTCTGCCAATCGGCATTTTTATTTTGATGTGGTACTTTCTAAAGAGCTTGGTGCGACATACATGTTTCATTGCGGTATGAGGATAGTATCCTGAGATAACAGCCCGCAAAGAAACAAATGTACATTTTAGAATAACAGATCGGTAATACTATATAAAGTTAATAATAATTTTTTGTATATTTCCTGTCCATCTGGTCGGGCTTCGATATACCACTCAGTTCTGAAAGTGTAAACCAAAATTTACTTTCAGCCTATCATCCGTAACTAAAGATAGGAAATTCGAAAACATGAATTCCGAGACTTCGGAGAAGGCAGAGGACTCCAGCCGGCTGTTTGTGGAGTTGAGTGACCTTCTGCTGTGGCGCAACTTCCGAGTGACGCTGATTGTCTTCACGAGCGTCCTGCTCCTGCTGCTGGATGTTATGTCCCACTCGGTGATCAGTGTGGTTAGCATGGCAGGGATCACTGTACTCCTGGCGGCAATGGGTCATCGGTGCTTCTTGCAGTTGTGGAGGACCTGGAAAAAGGATGGCAGTAGGGATCCGATCTCACGATGGTATCCTCAAGTGAAGATCGATATTCCCCGGGAGGAGACTATGCGACTGGCCGGAACGGCAGTGACATATCTGAATAAGATGTTAAACCGACTGTTGGGATTGTTTCTGGTGGATAAGTGGGAGGACTCCCTGAAGTTTCTGGCATTACTCTGCGGCGTCAATTTGCTGGGTGATTGTCTCAACGGCTTGACCATGCTACTTTTTGGTAGGTGGATTTGTTCCAAAATTGTATTTTATATTTTTCATTCTTTTTACCTTTGCCAAAAGAAAATATTTAGCGATGCTTCATTTTTGTTTAATTTATTTATAACGTAAATAATTAAAAATTGTCATAAATTATTATTTTTCCAAGATTATTATAAGAATACCGGGACTCGATAATTACATTCCAAGGTGCTCTTATTTCGTTAAAGTTTCTAAATAACCAATGCTAACCTGTAACTTGTGTGTAACTTTTAATAATTTATAATAATAATTCCTCGCAGAATGTGATTAGCTTAAACGATGTTAAATTATATTTTTTGCTGGCCAAATTACTGATTTTATATTACTAAACTAATTTTTCATAAAATTAATTATTTCCCCTATTAGGACACTTGTTTATTTTCACCTTACCAAAACTGTACGAGTTGTACAAGCCCCTCATTGATGCCCAGGTCCGGAAATTCGGTAAATGCAAGCCACAGGAGAAGAATGAAGTCGAAAACAAGTCTGAGAAAACGGACAATTTTCAGGAGGAATATCCGACGGAGGTGCCTCAAGAAAGTCAGGAGTCGGGAGATGGCAATATACTGTATCTACTGGAGGAGGAGCACCGCAAGGGGTGTCGTTGTCGCGATTGCGAGCACCAGGATTTGCCCATTGAGGCGCACTAAACTGTAATCGGTTAACACTTTATTTTCTTTGATGTTGATGTTCAAAATTTGTTTTGTGCCATTCATTACATATCGTTTTCCCGCCTAGTTGGCAATCATAAGTACTTCGTTTCTCAACCTCGTTCGTCCAAAAATTATTCAGGGGAGCTGGAATCAAGTTAGCCGTTCTTCTTAGGTCATCCGATAATGACATGTGGAAACTCTACCAGCCGAGTAGTCGAGGTCGGCTCAAATGTTTGCCTTTTCTTAACCCGGTTTGTGGCCACTACGTCCGGCGGATAGCCTGCCCATCGGCAAGCGCGGCGGACTCCAAGATCGTTGAGCTCTCGGTGGGAAATGTGAGGGGTCGTCGGCAGTGCGGTGTCTATGGCGACGCCTTCTACAGTTTCGAGGGGATTCCCTTCGCCAAGCCCCCGCTGGGAGACCTTCGATTCATGGCCCCTCATCCGGCGGATCCATGGAACACGGAGCTGGATGCCCGCCAAGAGAGGGCAATTCCACTGCAGGTGGATAGGCAGACGGGAAAGGTCATTGGCAGCGAGGATTGCCTGTACCTAAACGTGTACACCAAACATGTAAGTAATTGTATGGCTCTTCCCAGATATGTAGGTACTTACTTACAACACAAAAACTACCTTTAACCTCATGGTTAGAAAGCCATCGTTGTTACTCCTTTGAACATTTCCTATAATATTTTAGTGTTCGAAAAAAAATTTTTTATTTCATTTCGGCTGTATTAGTACCGTTGTATACACAGGAAACAAAAATCAATCAATTTAAATGATAAAGCAGATAATTGTTGTAAATGTTACGCATTACTTTATAACCATAACTTAATAGTAAATTTACTGTACAAGTAGCACACTCTCAGTCAAATTCGTGACTGCCATCGATAGTCACTTGCATTACTTTTCAAAACGTTTCGACCCGTCAAAAGCGAGCCGTGTGGGCTTCCTAAATAAAAACAAGAGAGAACGCTATAGTCGGGTGCCCCGACTATCAGATACCCGTTACTCAGGTAAAGGGAGTGCGAGGGAGATGGAGATAGAAACTTTGATCACGCATAACTTTTTAACGAATGGTCCGATTTGAAAAATTTCTTCTACATTTCGATAGGTATTGATAAACACAATAAAACTGCATTTTTACTTTTCCGAAATATTTAAATTTTTAAAATCGTATTTAAGCGATTGTGGGCGTTAAAGGGGGCGTGGTACCTTTTTGAAACAAACTTGCGCTGCGTAGGAACTCCTAGAATCTGCATGCAAAATGCCAATCTTCTAGCTTTTATAGTTTCCGAGATCTCAGCGTTCATACGGACAGACAGACGGACAGACGGACATGGCTATATCGACTCGGCTAGTGACCCTGATCAAGAATATAAATACTTTATAGGGTCGGAAACGCTTCCTTCTAGCTGTTACGAGTAACGGGTATAACAAGAGAGAACGCTATAGTCGAGTGCCTCGACTATTAGATACCCGTTACTCAGCTAAACAACTTAATATAAATATGCCTTCTTGTGTTTTTTTTTTTTTTTTTTTTAACATAATGTGAATTATAGTGATCACAGGAAAAAAGGACAAAAAGTTCAAATTATCAATTTGAATTCGGCACTCTCTTAGTGCTAACAGCTTTACAGCACGAGCATCAGCACCAGCGCTGCTTTAGCGCAGGCAGCTTTTGTCCTGCACCAGCAGCTGTGTTTATGTATGCTTACATACATACACACATACGCCATTGTTTGACTCAGACCTCCAATTTGGCTAACTAGATTTGATTTGCATAGTTCTTGGGATATAGTTCGGTATTGACAAATGAAAACCATCGCAATTTTCTTTAATAGAAATCCTTATCGAGAATTAACGTTGACTCTGTTGAGCACCTTGGCCTGCTGTTCCAAAGTCATCCGTTAGATGGCGCCATGAAAGGCGGAAATGTAGGCGCTAGCCAGGCTTACGCGTTTAATGGGTTTTTGGGCGTTAGAGTGGGCGTGGCAAACTTTTATTAGGCCAATCGATATTTATTGACGAAACAAATACATATCAATTAAAATTTTCATAATATCATTACAACTGTGGCCACAGCTTGTGGCTTGTGGGCGTCAGAGGGGGCGTGTCACCATTTTGAAACAAACTTGCGCTGCGTAGGAACTCCTAAAATCTACATGCAAAATGCCAATCTTCTAGCTTTTATAGTTTCCGAGATCTCAGCGTTCATACGGACAGACAGACAGACGGACAGACAGACGGACAGACAGACGGACAGACAGACGGACAGACAGACGGACAGACGGACATGGCTAGATCGACTCGGCTAGTGATCCTGAACAAGAATATATATACTTTATAGGTTCGGAAACGCTTCCTTCTACCTGTTACATACTTTGGCACGAATACAATATACCCTTTTACTCTACGAGTAACGGGTATAACTATGCGATAACTTATTTAGTTCAAGCACTTTTGAAATAAACTTTCCTTCAGCCACGTTAAATTTAACGTTTGCAAAATTTTAAGATCGTTCTATATCCGATTTCGTTCGTCTGATTTTCATGAAACTATCTCAAATTGCTAAAAATACTACATTTGAAAACAAGAGAGAACGCTATAGTCGGGTGCCCCGACTATCAGATACCCGTTACTCAGGTAAAGGGAGTGCGAGGGAGATGGAGATAGAAACTTTGATCACGCATAACTTTTTAACGAATGGTCCGATTTGAAAAAATTTGTCTACATTTCGATAGGTATTGATAAACACAATAAAACTGCATTTTTACTTTTCCGAAATATTTAAATTTTTAAAATCGTATATAAGCGATTGTGGGCGTTAAAGGGGGCGTGGCACCATTTTGAAACAAACTTGCTCTGCGTAGAAACTTCTAAAATCTACATTCAAAATGCCAATCTTCTAGCTTTTATAGTTTCCGAGATCTCAGCGTTCATACGGACAGACAGACGGACAGACGGACAGACAGACGGACATGGCTAGATCGACTCGGCTAGTGATCCTGATCAAGAATATATATACTTTATAGGGTCGGAAACGCTTCCTTCTAGCTGTTACATACTTTTGCACGAATACAATATACCCTTTTACTCTACGAGTAACGGGTATAAAAAGTAAAAGCGTAATTCTGAAATCGTAGCAATGAATAAAGGTCGGTATATGGATATATAATGAGAAATAAGGGAGTTATCATATTTTTTACCTTTTCCTAATTCTTCTCATGGGATGAACATTCTTATGTTGTAGTATGCTGATCTGCCCGGATCCGGCTTATATATTACCTGAAAAGAGAATTTTATATAGCCTTAAAACTGGGGGACTAGTTTGCTTAGAAACGGATCAAGAATATACATATGTACTTTATAGGCTCGGTAGCGTGCCTATAACCCTCTGCGAGGTTATAAAAATATATAAGTTTAATAAGGATTTCGATAGCTGGCAGGTAAGCTGGCTATATGAAATAAAAATCTTTATCACAATTGTCGCTCGTGATCGTTTCTTTTTCTTCTTCATTTCAAGAATATTTCTCTATAAAAACGTTATAAAACCGAATGTTCAAGACAAGACCATTCTTTTTTCCCTATAAATTAGCTTTTCCAGTTTTTAGAACTTTTTTGTTAATATTGTACGAAATTTATTATTTTTCTTATTGAAATTTTAACCAATCATTACTTTAGTTCGATGAATCGAGGCCACCTCTTCCCGTTATGGTGTACATCTACGGCGGGGGATTTCGAACGGGCGGTGCCATAAAATTCAAGTACGGGCCGGACTATCTGATGAGCAAAGATGTTGTATTTGTGCTATTCAACTACCGGCTTTGTTCGCTCGGATTTCTTAGTATGCCGAGCCGCGAATCGAATGTGCCGGGAAATGCCGGACTCCAGGATCAGTTGATGGCACTGCGCTGGGTAAGCCAGCACATCAGGAACTTTAACGGGGACCCGCAGAATATAACGCTTTTTGGGGAGAGTGCAGGAGCTGCCTCAGTGCACTTTATGATGTGCCTCCCGCAGGCAAAATGTCTTTTCCACAAGGCCATCATGATGTCTGGATCCATGCTAAGTCCATGGGTGGATGCTCCCGAAAGCCAGAGTTTGTTCTGCCGCCTTGCCTTTGCCGCAGGATATAAAGGACCTGCGGAGGAGCCTTCCGTGCTGAGGTTCCTTCGCCGCGTGAGGGCTGAAAAGCTGGTGGGTCACGATTTCATCACAGCCCGCGATCGTTGCTTCGGGTTTCTCAACGCCTTCGTTCCTGGCGTGGCCAATCTGGAGGGAGGCCTCATTCAAGCCCCCTTTCAGCAGCTGATGAGGGAGGCGTGGTCCACACAAGTGCCCCTGCTCCTGGGCGGCACTTCCTTCGAGGGGCTGGTTTGCTACCCCTTCTGCCAGCTGAACAATGGCTATATGCTGGAGCTGCTCAAACAGGAGCCAGCGATGGTTCTGCCCCACGAGGTATACCAATCGATGAGCGTCGAGGAGCGGAACATCGCCGCCGAGGCACTGGTAAAACATCATTACGGACCGCGCGGAATCACCAAGAATAATATCACGCAGATTTTAGATGTGAGTAAAGTCGAGGCATAATAGATGGTATATTTATGTACCTTCTATGTGAATTTTGTAATTAAAAACAGACCATTTTACAAAAGGCTGTTGTTACTAAAACGAAGGTAAAACCAAATATTTTGTAAAAAGTTGTCCTCCTCTATTTCTACTTCTTTTAAGGCTAAATTACAAAAAACTAACTCAAATGTTCTTAAACAAAGCATTTCGTATTTTGTATCTATGATCCCCAGCTATTTAGTTACAAGCTATTCTGGCACGGCATGCATAGGGTGGTCCTCTCCCGATTATCCCACGCACAAGCACCCACCTATCTATACCGGTTCGACTTCGATTCGCCCAAGTTAAACCTGATGCGAAACCAGCTCTGCGGTGACGACATCAAACGTGGTGTCTGCCATGCGGACGACTTGGGCTACATTTTCCGCAAGCAGGCCCAAAAGAAGCAGCCCCTTGATTCCGCGGAATACCTAACCATCCAGCGAATGGTGAGCATACTGACGACGTTTGCCAGGACCGGCGATCCCAACTGTTCGGAGACAGGACCGGATCGGTGGCTACCCGTCACCACAAAGTCACCCTTTAAGGTACTGAACATTGGACAGGATGTGGAGTGCGTAACCCAAATCGAAAAGGAAGGCTTGGAGGTGTGGAATCAGCTTTATAGTTACGTGAAATAGTACTGGCAATTTGGATAATAATTTTATAATTTATAAATTTTATAACTATTAAATAAATTATATTATTTAATAAATACTGTTTTATCTTTTCATTATTTTTCATCTCTGAATTTTTTTATGTGCAATCTTTACATCTCTATCTCTCCAAAATATATATACCACACTACAAAATTTAAGTAATTAGGTAATCTACAGAAAATACGAACAAATACCCGATTGATGACCAGTTCCGGTATTTTTTTTCTCTGTGTGTTAGCAGCGAGGGTACATACATTTTTTATTGTGGAAGTTTGCTTTCTTTCTGTATATATTATATTTGTATATATATGTATATTATATATTTTTAATAAATTAACTTAATTATTAAAATTATAATTTTTAAAAGGTGATCACGTGTTTCTCCCACTGTTTAGCTTTTCTGTCTTAAAGCTGATCCAAAGCTTTGCGGCAACGCCCCACTCCAGTCGAAAGCTTGATGACTATGTAAACAAAAACAAATCGCAACAGTTTGTTTGTTTACAGTAGTTGCCGGCGCGATCACAATGTTGTTGACCCACTCAGTGGGCGGCCCACCCCTTTCCCCTTGATTTAATGCCAAGAAGCTTTTAGTTAGATCAGCTAATAGTTTCAGGTACTTGGCAATCTTTAAGGTAGATCAGCAACATAGTGATATACTTGGTCATATATGTAATTTAGATACTTGTCTATCTCGAAGACGATTGAGGTACTCTAAAGTTCATTTCGCTGTTTGATAAAAAGAGATTGATTTTTTGCAGTGTTTATAAATAAGGTAATAATGCAATGCTAAAGTTTCCACCCAACGGCCCACGCTCGATGATCAGTTGTTGCTATATCAGTTATTCAGTTTATCTCGACTCCGCACTTGAAATACATTGTTGTGTTCTTTTTGTGTATTTTATTCTCTCTCTGCGGCTCTCTACGCTCTTCTTTTTTAGTAATTTGTATTCTGATATTTGTGTTAATGTATTATTTTTTCTATAATAATTTTTTTCACTTGCTTTCGCCTATTTTGCGGGCTTTTTTGCTGGACGCTCCGCCGCTGGAATTCGCTGTGAAAAAGTGTGTTTTTAATTTCAGTTTCGGCTTGGCGCTGACGCGATACAGTACGCAGCCCGTGGCCATATATATATATATAGCAAGTCGATCGGATCGTGGCTGGTGAACTGGTCTATCCGATATGAACAAGAACCTCGGCTTTGTGGAGCGCCTGCGCTGGCGCCTCAAGTAAGTTTCGACGTTGACCTTAATGCCGGGAATTATTTATTAAATTATCGCCGATTAATACCGGAGAGTGTTCTATACTTTCGACTTTTGTTCTGGTAAGCTTTGTCAATTGTAGCGGTTTGTGTTTCGGGTTCTTTGTTTGGTCAGTTCTTTTTTGCCATTATATATTAGTAATTCCTGTTCTGTCGAGCATGACTAATTCTGTGGATGATAGCAATTATTAATATTTTGTGTTCTAATTGTGGCAGTTGTGCAGCGGGAAGATTAGATTTTGGAGAATTACGCCATCGTGATCAGAATACGAAGGGTAAGGTCATTAAGAATCTGATAAGATTTTGTATTATTGAGTAAAATTGCGAAATTGGCAACAAAAAAAAAGAGCAGGGTCTACTAAATATTCTAATATACTAAACTAAGTGTTTTATACTTACGTACAAAATTAATACACTTCAACTGTCTATCAATTTGTTTGTAACTGCCCATTTTGTCCTCCAAACATTATATTGTACAAGTTTTTACATTCTTCTTTAATTCGAGAAAGTTTTGTTGAGGCAATAAAACTGTCACTTGTAACCATTAAGTGATTCAATTCATAAAGTTGTATTTATTGCTTAATCAGTATTACGTTTACGATGTTTTATATTTATTGGCCAATATACCAGTAATTTCATGGCAAGCTATTTAATGGATATACAACTTTTAGTTGATGTAAGCAAATGTGTTCGAACTTTGTTGTACACTTCAGTTGACCCACTGCATATTTTCAACATAACAAAATTAATTTTTAAACAAAAGTAGCTTTTCAATAGATAATAACAATAATCAAATATTGACTTCTGATCGTTGTGGGCCCAACAATAATTATTTCATTTTCAAACTCATTGAAAGTCTCATCGGGTTGTTATCACGCATTAACCTTGATAATGAAGATGACTGTTAAAAATATTTATTTTCAACTCGTTTCACGGTATTTTGCTTTAAACTTATTACCTATAATTGGTAATTAAAATTTTATCACCATGACAGCTAAATAGGTGTGATTTTATTTGGTTGCCTTAATGTAATGCAATTAAAAGTCTCTATACGGCTCAGAATAATTATCAGCAATTTCACATATTATACATATACACAACGCTATTAATGCCCAGCTAGTGACTTAAAAAAAGGTGTATTTTTAATCGTCGATGGACCTGAAAACAAACGTATCGCGGGACCTTTCTGACAACAAGAAGCGCATATTTCAATTTAATCAAAATAATTAAGTCTATTTAAGAGCTTGGCCTGTGATAACAAGCTGATAAGACAGTACAATTGCCAATGCTTATTATATATTCACGAGATTATGAACACATTTTGATGTTCATTAACGGCAGAACTTCAAGTGATTGAAATTTTGAGTACTGCTCTACTGGCAGTTGTAGTTGTAGCAACGTACTGGGTTAATTTATCACTGACAGTCAGCAGGAGGACCACACAGACGAATGAACAACCTGAACCTGAGCCTGTAACTATAGATATACACTCAACAAAAATCAAATATTTTTTTGAATTAGATGCAATATTTTAAATCTTTATCTTGCAATAAAAATAGTCAGCCAATGTAAAAAAAATGACCAAATCTTAAAATACAAAAATGTGTCCCTTGTTTCGACTTTGGAACTCTAACTCTTGTGCTCGCAGACAATATAAAATATAACCCTTTACCGACAACAAGTTGATTTGAATTACATTAAGGTATTGAGTTTAAGATGGATTAATTATTGCATTATTGTAAAACTCCTGGAAAATATAAAAATAATACAAAATATATTATTTATTTTATTAGTTTTTTTTAAATGTCTAGACCACAATTAGACTGGTATTAAGACCAAATAACTGCCGCTTTAAATACTTTATTTTTAAAGAACGTTTTTCCAAGTGGTTGAGAAATGTATTGTGATGGATACGATGTGATGAGCACCAGCAAAACAATTCTAATGTAATGCAATGCATGCAGTCTGCCCAGTGGCGTGTGGCTTTGAAAATAAATTAAAATAAATATCAAATTATCCGGCTTCTAGTCGAGCCCAATATTGTTATGCTAATTATCTGTTCCATCGGCGATTGCAGGACCATCGAGCACAAAGTCCAGCAGTATCGTCAGACCACCAACGAGACCGTAGTCGCCGAGACCGAGTACGGCAAGGTGAGGGGTGTGAAGCGCCTGTCGCTCTACGATGTGCCCTACTTCAGCTTCGAGGGTATCCCCTACGCCCAGCCGCCGGTGGGGGAGTTGCGGTTCAAGGCCCCGCAGCGGCCCACCCCCTGGGAGGGTGTTCGCGACTGCAGCCAGCCCAAGGACAAGGCCGTCCAGGTGCAGTTCGTCTTCGATAAGGTAGAGGGCTCTGAGGACTGCCTCTACCTGAATGTTTACAGCAACAATGTGGGTATAACCAAAAAAAACTACGTAACTTTAAGATCTGTAAACTACTCAAAATAACTATATTTATAAAATGCTGATATGTATGTCCTACTCTACCCGTTTTGATACATATAAACAGTACAAGATTTTAGGGACTTTAAGCTTATCACTAACACGTACTATTGCCTTTGATGCCTTTATTTATTCTAACTAGCATTACGTGTCGTATTTTAACGGAAACTTCGATGGTCCTACAACGCTTTAATCTTAAAATAAAAATGTTCAACTACTACTTTATAAAATTTCGTCAGCAGAAATTTAATTAGCGTTGATTTTTTGTATGTCTTGGCAAAAAGATCTCATGCATTGATGACCACATTTGAGTTATTACTTAAAAAATTGGTTTTATAATTTCTTTCATCAAATGTGACAGCATGCTTAGCCTTTGTCTTTTGCCTTACTGACTAATTTTTATTTTAGGAGGCTCTAACTTACTTAATGAATGAAGCCATATTTATTCAACATGACATACAATTTTATTTATAAAGTTAATCTTTTGCTATTTTGGCTCAAAGCTCAAAAGATAAGTCTTCTCTTTTAAAACAGCAACAACAAAAAAACTTAAAAGCATTTAATTTGTTAAAAGTAAACATTTTTGTGCTAGATTTTGGTTTAGATTAGTACTGGTTATTTGACTTCTTCTTAGCAAGAAAAATATAGATCATAATTATTTTTATAGTACTATAAAAGTCAAATAAACAAGTAAGGCAGCATAATTTGGCAAGCCGAAGTTTATATACCCTTGCAGTCTTTATAACCATTGTTTCATTTCAGGTGAAGCCCGATAAGCCCCGCCCTGTTATGGTTTGGATCCACGGAGGGGGCTTTATTATTGGCGAGGCCAGTAGGGAATGGTACGGCCCGGACTATTTTATGAAGGAAGACGTCGTTCTTGTCACCATTCAATATCGTCTTGGTGCTTTGGGTAGGCTACACGTCCTTGAAAGAAATACCTATACCAACAGTTTTTTGCCAATAAAGGTTTTATGAGTCTCAAGTCACCTGAGCTGAATGTTCCTGGAAATGCTGGACTCAAGGATCAGGTTTTGGCTCTCAAGTGGATCAAGAACAATTGCGCCAGTTTTGGAGGAGATCCCAACTGCATTACCGTTTTCGGAGAAAGTGCAGGAGGAGCATCCACCCATTACATGATGATAACCGACCAGACCCAAGGACTCTTTCATCGCGGTATCCTGCAGTCGGGCAGTGCCGTGTGCCCATGGGCCTTCAATGGTGACATCACCCATAACCCCTACAGGATAGCAAAGCTGGTTGGCTACAAGGGCGAGGACAACGACAAGGATGTGCTGGAGTTCCTGCAGACCGTCAAGGCCAAAGATCTCATACGAGTCGAAGAAAATGTCCTGACTCTGGAGGACCGCATGAACAAGATAATGTTCGCCTTTGGGCCTTCTCTGGAGCCATTCACCACGCCGGAGTGCGTGATACCCAAGGCGCCTAGGGAGATGATGAAAACCGCATGGAGCAACTCAATCCCCATGATGATAGGGAACACTTCTTACGAGGGACTGCTATGGGTGCCAGGTGGGAGGAAGCCAATTTTTGATATTTAATTTGCATCCCAAGCTAAAATCCACATCGCTAACGTTTATATGTGTATTTTACAGAGGTCAAGTTGCTTCCACAAGTGGTGCAGCAAGTGGATGCTGGTACTCCTTTTATTCCAAGGGAATTGCTGGCCTTGGAGCCCAATAAAGAAAAGTTGGACTCATGGAGTGCCCGGATTCGCGATGCTCACCGAACTGGAGCAGAAAGCACCGCTGATAATTACATGGATGTAAGAAACTTGTTAGAAACCATTCAGATGATCATTTAATTATAAACGAATTTTCGTTTCCAGCTCTGTTCGATTTACTATTTTGTGTTTCCGGCCCTGAGGGTGGTTCATTCCCGTCACTCCCACGCCGCTGGAGCGCCGGTATATTTCTACCGCTTCGACTTCGACTCCGAGGAGCTCATCTTTCCGTACCGCATCATGAGGATGGGTCGAGGCGTTAAGGGAGTGAGCCATGCTGACGATTTGACGTATCAATTCTCTAGTCTGCTGGCTCGTCGACTGCCCAAGGAAAGCCGTGAGTTCCGGAACATCGAGCGAACTGTGGGGATCTGGACTCAGTTCGCTGCCACCGGAAATCCCTACAGTGAGAAGATCAACGGAATGGACACTCTGACTATTGAACCAGTTAGGAAATCTGACGAGGTCATCAAGTGTCTCAACATCAGCGATGACCTGAAATTCATCGATCTACCCGAGTGGTCCAAGGTCAAGGTCTGGGAGAGCCTATATGATGACAACAAGGATTTATTGTTTTAAAGGGATCTAAGTGTATAGCTGAATAAATCACTCTTTAGAAATTGTACATATATAGGACAAATGCTTTATAAAATATAATCCATAATTTGATTGTTCAAGAAGTTAACTGTAATACTCAGATAATCTCTGAAATTTGTATTTTCTTATTATTTATAGCATTGGGAGCTTATAAGTTATTATATTAGTCACTACAATATTCTGGTACATTATACATATATTCTAGTGTTTCATTTCAATAAACAGATTTAGACTAGATTCAGATTTCCATTAACAAAGACCAGAAGAAAGCTTGTATTGACATTTTTATACCCTTGCAGAGGGTATTATAATTTTGGTCAAAAGTGTGCAACGCAGTGAAGGACACATCTCCGACCCTATAAAGTATATATATTCTTGATCAGGATCACCTCCTGAGTTGATATAGCCATGTCCGTCTGTCTGTCCGTCTCTCTGTCCGTCTGTCTGTCCGTCTGTCTGTCCGTCTGTCTGTTTCTACGCAAACTAGTCTCTCAGTTTTAAAGCTATCGAGTTGAAACTTTGCACACAGCCTTCTTTCCTTTGCACGCAGTATATACATATGTATGTCGGAACGGCCGGGATCGGCCGACTATATCCTATAGCTGCCATATAACTGATTGATCGGAAATGCCATAACTTTGGTGTTTGTAAAGTTAGGAAGTTGGGATTTTCTATGGGTTTTATATTTGGCCAATCAATCCGACCTACCAAATTTCATAAAGATCGGCCGACTATATCCTATTGCCGCCATATAACTGATTGATAGGAAATGGCATAACTTTGGTGTTTGTAAAGTTAGGAAGTTGGGATTTTCTATGGGTTTTATTTTTAGCCAATCAATCCGACCTACCAAACTTCATAAGGATCGGCCGACTATATCCTATAGCTGCCATATAACTGAACGATTGGAAATGCCATAACTTTGGTGTTTTTAAAGTTAGAAAGTTGGGATTTTTTATGAGTATTAAGTTGCATCATATGAATAATTTTGGAGAATATAATTTACAGAGTATTCTGCAAGGGTATATCAACTTCGGCTCCGCCCGAAGTTAGCTTTCCTTTCTTGTTTGTATTTATTTAGTTTAATGCAAAAGCTTGATTAATTTTTAATTTAAATATATATATTTTTTTGTTTTTAATAACTAGATCGGAATTAAAAGAAAGGCTAAATTTTAATCAACTGTCAAGTTAAGACATCAAGCTATGGAAATGTCTTTCATAACTGTTTATTGTCTTAAAATACTAGATCGAAATCACAAATAAGGTTATAATTTAATCAAGTGTCAATTTTTAAAGCTATGTGTTTTGAAGAGTAAATTTTTTATACGTGATGTTCTTGGTATGAAAGATTGAACGAAATCGCAAGATAAAACAATTAGATCGAAATCACAAGAAAGGTTACATTTTTAAGGTAACCTCAAAAGGCAACGGGTAACGGGTTACTAATAGTCGGGGCCCTTGCTAATTTTGTTTCATTATTATACCCTTACAGAAGTTTGCAACGCAGATACTTTAAAACACAGCCATATGGTTGTAAATCTATAAAAATCGTATGTCTCTATTATTACTGTTTTTACTTTGGAAAACCTAACGGCTTATCAGATAGTTGTCAAATATTCATTGTCCAAGTGCTATAACTGCAAAGGCTGATAGATTAAGGCATGACCGATGTAGTTTCCTTTCTTCCTGGGTTTTTGACTGCTCTCCTTCAAATATGTGTAAAACAGGGTTCGACAGACCCTTTCAGCTCGGTTGTCAGTTTTCCTTTAAAGCAATAGGAAAATTACTTTTTTTAGATTTTTATAAATTGAAAAGTTCTATTTCGACACGCACGGAAACAAAGGAAAGGATCTCCGATTCCGTTCATAGAATGGCTGCCACTCGTCGTCTGACCCGGGAGCTCTCCGATTTGATTGAGGCCAAGATAAGTACTCTGCGGAACATCGAGAGCAGCGACGAGACCCTGCTGCTTTGGACGGGTCTTTTGGTTCCGGAGAAGGCGCCGTACAATAAGGGCGCCTTCCGCATCGAAATCAACTTCCCGCCACAGTATCCCTTCATGCCACCTAAGATCCTTTTTAAGACGAAAATATACCACCCGAACGTGGACGAAAAGGGTCAGGTGTGCCTGCCGATCATCAGTACAGACAACTGGAAGCCGACTACGCGCACGGAGCAGGTCCTTCAGGCCCTGATAGCGATCGTCCACGACCCGGAGCCGGAGCATCCCCTACGCTCCGACGTGGCCGAGGAGTTCGTGAAGGAGCACAATAAGTTCATGAAGACCGCCGAGGAGTTCACCAAGAAGAATGCGGAGAAACGACCGGAGTAAGGTCAGCCGGGAGCTCACATTATTTGTACATCGAAATTAATTAAAGTTTAGGCCATGCATCACAAACTGTCGCGCAGATCTTGTCCTTAATTTGAATGATAGTAGCGAAAATGATGTTTTAATATAGATGGAGCTTTAAAATACAAATCGGGGGTTTCCGTTTACTTATTTAGTATTGTAGCCGCTTACTAACTTTTGATTACAATATAAACAAGAAAGAAGGCTAACTTCGGGCGGAGCCGAAGTTGATATACCCTTGCAGAATATTCTGTAAATTATATTCTCCAAAATCGGATCGGTTATTCATATGATGCATTCTTAATACTCATAAAAAATCCCAACTTTAAAAACACCAAATTTATGTCATTTCCAATCGTTCAGTTATATGGCAGCTATAGGATATAGTCGGCCGATCCTTATGAAATTTAATAGGTCGGATTGATTGGCCAAAAATAAAACTCACAGAAAATCCCAACTTCCTAACTTAACAAACACCAAAGTTATGGCATTTCCGATCAATCAGATATATGGCGGCTATAAGATATAGTCGGCCGATCCTTAAGATATTTGGTAGGTCGGATTGATTGGCCAAATATAAAACCCATAGAAAATCCCAGCTTCCTAACTTTACAAACACCAAAGTTATGGCATTTCCGATCAATCAGTTATATGGCAGCTATAGGATATAGTCGGCCGATCCCGGCCGTTCCGACTTATATACTGCGTGCAAAGGAAAGAAGGGTGTGTGCAAAGTTTCAATTCGATAGCTTTAAAACTGAGAGACTAGTTTTCGTAGAAACAGACAGACGGACAGACAGACGGACAGACGGACATGGCTATATCAACTCAGGAGGTGATCCTGATCAAGAATATATATACTTTATAGGGTCGGAGATGTCTCCTTCACTGCGTTGCACACTTTTGACCAAAATTATAATACCCTCTGCAAGGGTATAATAATATATTTATGTTATATGTGTCAGTAGAGCGAATTTTCTTAAATTAAAGTCATCAAAACTACCAAAGGAATAGAATATAGGTAACGTTATTGATTATTTCTTTTGGCTCTTGTAATCAATATGAAACATATCCTTTCCTACGTTACAAACTTTTGACTAAACATATAATACTCCTTGCAAGGGTATAAAAACAGAAATTATTGGCAAAGAATGGACTAAGAAAATGTGGATGACACTGGTATAATTATAGTTTTCTTATCGGAGCCAACCCAGAAAGTGCTTGTGCACACGATGAGAAGTGCTTTAGGGCAAAATAGATTATAGATGAGTTAGTCGATTGCTTGAACATATAGTGTTATTACAAATTTAAATAATTAAAAGCTCATTTTAATTTGGTTATGAGGTGATCCTAATAAATTACGCGCTAAACAAGTTCAAAGCGTCGACACTTTTACTCTCGCTGACTTTAATTGACCAATTAAGTTGTAAATAAAATATGTCATATACAAAAAAAACAGCTTCTATTATCCATATTAAAAAAGCCATCAGTTGACTTATCAAATAGAAATAAACTTGATTTAAGCACGTCAGTGGGGGAAATGGCGCAGTAAGTCAATGTAATTCTCTATAATTACGCGCACTGTATGTTGCTGCTTTTTTTCCCATCGGGTGAAACTAACTCAATTAGTGGGGAGTATTTTTTCGATGGTCAACCATGTTCCTATATCGATTTCGGGTAATGCGTTTGCTCTACAATTTGAGCAAATGATGACATTTGGTAACCGTATAATACATTTTTATCATGGTCATGTCCAAGGGCAATTTAATTGTATTTCACAGCACTTAATTAAATTACTGAAATTATTTAGTAACGCGAAAACTGGTTATAAATGACTAATATGTTAATGCAATTAATAGGGTTAAGCAACCTTATATTGACTTCAATCAACAACCTTACAAAATAAAAATTCTCATACAAAATTTACGTATGAAAAGTGTCTCCTGTGATTAATGTATAGAAATTCTATAGTAAGGATTTTAATTGAAGAAAAACCTCAATTGTCAAAATAAACAATTGTGAATTTATTAAATGAAAAACCAAACTGTAAGTAATATGTAATTGTATGTATGTACAACTTTGTTATTATTTTTATGTTGAAATTAAATAGTAATGAAGATAATTTTACGAATCTGATGAAGTCGTTTAAGTCAATTTGGGTAAGTAATTAATGATTCAAAACAATAAAATGAATTGACTTTAAGTGTTAAACCAAATAACTATGTAGATTCTTTAATAGACTTTTAACATTGCAAGATTTGTTATATTTGAATGGCTCTATTACTATTAAGTCAAGCCTTACTAAATATAATTATTTTAAGAAAACACGGCAACCTGCACGGAATGCCCAAACTCCGCCTACAATATGCAATAACATTAATAACAACAGTGGGGCTGATAGGCGAATGCCGGCGCATGCTATAAACAATAAACAAAGCGGCAGCAACAAAAACGATAACGCCTAAACAAAACAACGGCGCCCAGAACGGCCAGCAAGCGGACTCACTCGAGCAGACCGAATGCCCAAGGCATTTGAGTGCACAGCGCACACAAATACGCGGCAACCTAAAGCTAGAATATCACTCATACGACCCCGTGGCCAGTGCGGAATGGGCAAACGAGTGGAAAAATCATCATCGACGCGCCGCCCGTGCTTCTGTGTGCGAGTCGAGCGTTGGCGGGCACTAAACTTAGCCGGCGCTTACCTTAAACGCTCAGTTGCCGAGCGGACCCTGAGTAAAGCGCAACGCCAGCCTTAGATTCTCAGGCGGGAATTCATTCTCCACAGCCCCGGTGCCTTTATTTCAATTGCTCCGCATCTGTGAAATCAGAGCAGTTGCGGATACAAGTGATGTGACATTGGTTTTCGTGAAACAAAATAAAAATCGAAAATATTTCCGCATAAAACAAAGAGTTACAAGGCAAACCATTTTTAAGGGCCAACACTACGCATTCGCCCTCTTGTCCAGCCGTGATTTTATATATTCCGGGTGTGCCGTCCGCGTTTATTTTCACTGGGATTTCGAGCAGCTTGCCAATTGTGTTTTGTGTACTTAATAGTTTCACATATATAGACAAATATATCCGGAAGGGAATTTATTGTGGCCGGCTGCGTGTGACCACAGCAAGATGTCATTTGATATAGCCGTGGCCGATCAGATGCGCATTGCACTGAAGTAAGTCTATTGTGGTTATCGTATTTATTGAAATTCTGGTGAAATCAAGTCAAGACATATTTATTTGAATATACATCATCTGCAAATTTTCATAAATATTATAACAATTAAAGTCCCTATATATTTAAATTACATTTTTCATTTTAAAAACATTAAGCAAATGGAATAGGCTGATTTGCTTTTTTCTCTGCATTTCGGTGACAAACAATACGCCGGCATGGAGTCTAGTTAATCCTTCAATCAATAAGGTCAATTGGCGGGTCCCACACTCTGTCATACTACTACAGCCCAGTTGCCATGACCATACGAGTCTCAAGTTGAGGCGTACTGATAAGAGAAGTCCGGCCAGCCGAGCCTTATTTCTTATCAATGGATTTCAGGCTGCTGTAGACCCGAATCCGGTTCACCATTGGGGTCTTATTAATAGTCATAAAGACAACGATAAGCTCTCGATTCTGCATCCGCATCATCGGCATCGTCGATCATTAAACAGAAGCGTCATCAAAATAAAGTCTCGCCAAAAGATTATAACGATCGGCAGACATCTGGTGTGTACCTTGTACCTTCTCAGCATTACACATCAGTTTTAGAAATCAAAATCGGGGCTTCTAAGTGCCAAAAAGTTCAAGCGAATTATGTCGAAGTACTGCACGAAATAGATAACAGACAACTTATTGTTAGTGCTGCTGTTCGAGCAAATTATCAATTATCAATTATTGGTATCGGCACACTGTCTGATAAGATTTAAAACCTCCCTGGCTTACAGCCGGTGGTGCGTCAGTCCTAAGATTACTTAACTATTTTGCGACCCTTTGGTATAAATCATTTGCGGGGCAGAAAAATGAGCTAAATAAATTCTGAAAAGAAATTCATTTTTGCTTGGTGTAATTGGGTGACAAATTTAATAAGAATCACGTTTGGCAAATGTCAAGGCAATTACATAAAGTTGCATCTTCAGCACAAACGGTTTAGCTTGAACGTCTAAAAGCAAAGAGTCAAAGTCAAAAAAGCAGCTAAAAGTTTAAACGAAGAAGTCAAGCAAGGTAAACAAGAAACGATGAAGTTCAATGGACAAATGCAAATCGTTCGACTTTTGAACAACAAACATTGACTTTTGCTTATTTCGTACACTTAAACATATTATTGCCCTTTCATTTTTAATCTTGTTAAATTGGCCTGAGAATTTAAATCAATTTAAACAAAATTATAATAAAATATGAATTCAAATTGTATATTTATTTCTACAATTTTTTATTTCGTTAGAAATCCTAACGATTATGAGTACTTAACCAGAAACTTCTGCAGATATTATTCTACGATTTTTTGTAAATAGTTTAAATTGGTTTGAAAAGAAATGCAAACACAAAAAAATCGAGAATCAAACATCAACGGCCTTTTATAACATTTTGCATCGCTTTACACACGAATGCATGAATTTGATAGATGAAAAATATGAAATAATATATTTTCTTTATTTTTCTTTTGGGGCAAAAATAATATTGAATACTGAATGCACTCAAGCAAAATGCCATTGACCTGCATGCAGCGCTTTGATGCATGGCAATATTGATTGATTTTCTGAAATTTTCCATTTTCATTTTCATTTCACATCATCTCATACGAATTTTAATTTGTAAATATTTTGAGTTGCCCTGTTGAAAGTTTATTTTTCTAAAAGAAATAAAAACGCACACAGGCAATTATGTTGGAAATGGAATTGATTTTGGATTTCCTTAATCTATTAATTTTGATTCCAAGACCATTTTTTTTCTGACAATTTTCTGTTCATGCGAGTCCAGATTATTGGGTCGCCATCCGGATATGAAATATCATATGTTCAGGGACGCGAATAATTTAATTCTGTCTCAACTGAAGACAATCAAGAAACAAGTTCGAACGCTGGAACTATATGCTATCCCACAACTGGACTTAGGGCCCGACCTCGACTGAAAACATGCAATTAGCACTTGATCTCTAATAGATCTCACCAATTGCATCTCAAAAAAGATTTATACTGGAAATTCCTCAAGGCTGCGGCTGCCAAATCATTAGAAGTAGACGCTGGGCAGCTGTTAATTAATCGTAGCCTCTGTTTACTACTCATAGACCCCTTTGCTCCCATGATTTGCGCTACCGCACTTGACTCCGCATATTCCGTCTTCTTTATTTATTTCACCGTACGGCACTAATATGGGTGTAGACATTTATGAGTTCTTCTATATTGTGGCTGCGTATGGCGGTCTGTTGTGGATCGGCTCACGCGTCGTTTAGAGCGCACGTTCCCAAATGGAATCGCACTTGAAATTTAAATGGGCCGCGCCCCCACCGATATAGGGTATTTCCGATGATACACAAGCACCCAGTCAATTGAATCAGGCAGCTTCGATTTGAAGTAAAGTATATCAATAATTTAATTGGTATACTCTTGGACATCAATATTGGGGTATTCTATTAAAATGTAAACGACTTCAAGTTTTCAAGTTTTTTATTAACAACTAATATTTTTATTACAAATAAGTGAATTTCTGTAATTTCTTGATTAAGGGAAAAAATATTCAATATATTATAAAATTTATGTTTTTTTTAGAGCATGTTGAACAAATATGATCGTAAAAATTATTCCAGCTCTTTCAAAAATTAAATATTCTATATTTCGATTTCGATGCTTAAAAATAATGAAGCTAGGTCGATTTTCCGATCAATTTTTCGATCGTTCCTATGGCAGCTATGTTAGTCTTCCGATTTTTTTCTGCAATCATTACAAATTACTCTATCTCAGAGTATACGGATATATGTTAAGAAACACCGAAGTTATCATTTTATTTACGTTTTCCTGATTGTTATTTTGGGATCTATATGTTACAGTCGTGAACTTTCTTTTTAAAACATATTTTTGAAATTGCTAAAAAAAATACCATGTATATGTCCATGTCTACTATAGTTCCTATGCCAGCTATATGATATAGTGGGCCGATCCAGCCTTACATACTATCTGCAAACAAAATCGTGTTTGCTAAGATTCATCCAAAAATCTTTGAAACTGACGGACTAATTTTACCAGACTCGCCTGGTGATGCTGATCACTTTCACCGCGTTGCTAACTTTTGACTAAAATATTATATCCTTTTGCAAGGGTATAACATGGAAAGAAACTACATGTTTCGCTTTAATATTATTTGTTTAGTTTTATCGCACTTGCATTACACACTACATCACTTCTCATACACATTCTATTTTCACTATTGGCTATTTATATTTCATTTTGTTTACGCGCTAATTGAATACTTGCAAAAAAAATACTAGAAACGCACCGTCAGGCGAGTGTTTACAAACAAAATCGAAAGCTATGTACCAAACACTTCTAGAGGTGTCTTTCCCAGCAAAGTGGTTTGACTCTACCCCTACAGCCTTATATTTACTTTGTATCCATTATTTCCTGGCAGCTACGTCAAGTTCAAGACGAACCAGCAGCGCCTGCGCAGCAACGACAAGGTCATCACCGACACAGTCTACGGCAAGGTGAAAGGGGTGAAGTGGCAGTCGATCTACGGCAACCACTACTACAGCTTCGAGGGCATTCCATTCGCCAAGCCGCCGGTGGGCGACCTCCGCTTCAAGGCGCCCGTGGAGCCCGACCACTGGCCAGAGGTCAAGCGGTGCACCCGGGTCCGCTCCAAGCCGTGCCAGGTCAACATCGTTCTGAAACAGGTGCAGGGCAGCGAGGACTGCCTGTACCTCAATGTCTACACACGGGAGGTGAGTCGGAGAAATTAGTACATTTTTTTTTATATTTAGTTTTATAAAATGTTTTTAATTTTTTTAACACCAACAACTGTGTACCACTTTGAAATATTAATTTCACATATGACTTTATACTTTATAATATATCTGAAGAAATTTCCGTGAGACTCGAGTAAATATATTACATTCCTGCTTCTATTTTGACAGCGTTAATTTAGGTCAATAAAGCTAGTCCCGTATTCTTTTTAATTATTAGTCATTAAATATCAATGATTACCAAAAGGTGAATTTTGAAATTAAACTAAGCAAAATGGCACTTATATATATTAACAAAAATCTTGTTAATTATTAAGCTCAGTACTTTTCATTCTTTGTAGAAATACTACTAGTGAAAGTAGCACTGCATCTGATGAAGAAGAGTGTTGCTATCAACTTGGTTAATCATAAGCATAATAACTGTTAGAAACAAGAAATGTATTAAAAGATAAATATTCTGGCTAGGCCAATTTTAATTTTTAATTTTTTTTATTTATTTCCCCTTAGTTACATCCTCACAGACCTTTGCCGGTTTTGGTTTGGATTTATGGCGGTGGTTTTCAAATGGGCGAAGCCTCCCGGGATCTGTACAGTCCGGACTACATCATGATGGAACACGTCGTTCTGGTGGTTATTTCGTATCGCCTCGGAGCCCTGGGCTTCCTTAGTCTTGAGGACGAAGAGCTGGATGTTCCTGGGAATGCGGGACTCAAGGATCAGGTGATGGCCTTGAGATGGGTGAAGCGAAATTGCCAGTTCTTTGGTGGCGACCCGGAGAATATTACCGTTTTTGGTGAGAGTGCCGGTGGGGCCTCCACCCATTATATGATGCTCACGGATCAGGCAAAGGGACTATTCCACAAGACTGTTATTATGTCGGGATCGGCCCTGGCGCCCTGGGCTCAGACCCCCACTCACATAAACTGGCCCTATCGCTTGGCTCAAGCCACGGGCTACACGGGTGAGCCGAACGATCGGCAGATCTTTGCTCATCTCAAGAAATGCAAGGCCAGCAGTATGCTGAAAGTGGCCGAAGATATTATCACCATGGAGGAGCGGCACCAGCGGCTGACAATGTTCTGCTTTGGTCCCACCATCGAGCCCTACGAGACCCCTCACTGTGTAATCCCCAAGGCTCCTCTGGAGATGATGCGCAATTGTTGGGGCAACAGCATTCCCATGGTCATCGGTGGCAACTCCTTCGAGGGCCTCCTCATGTTCCCCGAGGTGAACAAGTGGCCGGAACTGCTTTGCCAGCTGGGCGACTGCGAGTACCTGGCCCCCATGGATGCCCACCTGAATGACGAGCAGAGGAGAGCGTTTGGGAAGCGAGTGCGGGAGCTATACTTCGGCGATAGGACTCCTGACAGGAAGACCATATTGGAGTACAGTGATGTGAGTTGAAAGAATCGGTCTTGTGGAAAAGGTTAATTGAAATTAATTAATTTTTTACACGTAAATGTAGATGCACTTAATATAATTGGAAAAATTGGTGAAGATTTATGCAGATAGAGACTCGGTTTTTATATGTTTTAAAAATCGTTTATGAGACAAGTATTGTGCACTTAAAAGTTAATTTTAATATTCAAGCTAGATACAGACAATGAACGAAATAATACATTACATGGGCTGTCCAAATCTGTAATTGTGTATAAAAACCAGTATCCTCCACTTTCAGATTAGATTATTATAAGTAGCTTAGCTCTTTTAGTAGTTAGTTTTGAAAATTATATTTAATAAGCTTGCTCTTATAACAGCATTAAAAACGTTTCAATAATTACATAAATAGAAAATACAGAAATAATAGCAACACTCCATTGTTTCAGCTCTTCTCCTACAAGTATTTCTGGCACGGCATCCAGAGGACTTTGCTCTCGCGTGCTCATCATGCCCCATTGGCCCCAACGTTTCTATACCGATTCGATTTCGACTCAAAACACTTCAATATCATGCGAATTATCACCTGCGGACGGAAGGTTCGCGGCACATGCCACGCGGATGATCTGTCGTATTTATTCTACAACGCGGCGGCCAAGAAGCTGAAACGTCGCACAGCCGAATTCAAAACGATAAAGCGGTTGGTCTCCATGATCGTCCAGTTTGCCATTTCTGGGGATCCCAATATCCCGCTGGTCTCCCACGATGAGAAGGAAGAGGTCCAGGGGGCGTGGTTGCCCATTTCGCGTGAGGATGAGGTCTTCAAGTGCCTGAACATTTCGCACGATGTGCGTGTGATCGACTTGCCGGAGGCCGAAAAGCTGCGACTTTGGGACAGCAGTTACGACAGAGAACTCCTATACTGAAAGGCATACCAGTCTGCCTCTGTGTAGACACTCCCCATCGCAATAACATCTATCCATAGCAATATAGCCTTAGTCTTAGATATAGCCCCTAAGCTGGCCCTGAGGTGGCCTTAAAAGCACATCAATGTACACATGTAAATAGAAATTCTTTAAAGCTAGGCGTAGAATAAAATTTTTAAAATAAAAATTAACTTTAAATTTCGGTTTTAAAAAAGTCAATTTTAAAGGAAGCAAACAATATGTTAAGCGATGGAACGAAAATGGAGTTACGAATCACATTTAATCTTGAGGTCCCTATTTTTTCACTGTGTACTTCTAGATACCATTATAGCTGTTTTCAAAATCCTGTTAATTTTTTTGGCAAGCCCTTAAAGCTTCTTTTTGAAAAGTGTTATACATTTCACTTTTGTCTTGAAATAAATAAATAAAATACATTCAACATGAATTTTTGAGTCGGACAAAGAAAATTCGACTAAGTAAATACACTTTCTAAAATTATTCCATTCTGAACGCTGAAAATGAAAATCCCTTTGTAGGAAAAATGGTAAATACTTTGCTAAAGCTGGCAGACTGCGAAAAATTTAAGGGGTGTATTTATTTAGTCCCGCAAACAAAAACCTTTTTCGTCACAATAATGGATTTCAAAAATTATTTTAAAATGGAGGTGCTATCGTCACAACTTTTTACATTGTTTAGCAATGTTCGTTTGATAAAAATTTAATAGAAAATTGTAATTTCGTCAACAAACACATTGATCGGACTGTGGGTGTGTGACAGAATCACGCCCGTATTTTGTGTGGGTTAAGTCCATGCGAAAGCCTGCCATAAAGTATGCAACCTGTTATGATATTAAAAATACTTAAACGCTCAAACATGACAATATTAACACCTGGACAAAAACGAAGCACACGTACGTATACAGATGATAGCTGTCAAGTGACAAAACCAAAAGCCCTCGCACACCTGTCCGAAAATATATATAAACGTGTGTGTACTACATCCCCACCCATTTCAAAATTATATCAAGCCATGTTGTGCTTCTGTGGTAGTGCCTGCGGCAACTTCAAAGCCCGCTAAAAACACAGTGCACACACACAGCGAGTCGTTAGCCTCCGAACTCACCATCCTTCGCCCACGCCACCCAACCATTAATTGTAATTAAAAACTTACACGTGCTTCAAATTTACTGAGCTCCGTTGCGTTGACTTCCATTGACCTTTGCCCAACAACGGGATGTTTCGGTGTTTTGCTGTAATATTGTAATTATTATTTACAGGTGCTTAGCTAATTTTGGTGGCTCTCTTTGTTTAACTTTGTGCATCGTGTTAGCTTTTTGTGGATGGATACGTATTGACAGTACATTTTTGTGGCTGCCCCGAAGTATGCAATATTTTTGGTAAATTTAGACGCTAAAGATTTAAGGTTAAAGATTTCATCAGTCATAAAAATAAAAATAAATAAAATTGTAAGTCCAAAAATATAATAGATTTATTACTCTTTCATAGGTATCATTCAGTTTACACCATTGACATGCAATTATATTACTTAATGTGCAGATGTATACTTTATTCAATTTTTACTTAATTGGTTATCAAATAACAGAAAAGAATTACACTCCTAATTTACCATACGTTTTCACAACAAATATTACGTAGTACACATTTTTGCTTTAACAAAATAAATATTTTTAAATTGGAAAGTGTTATTCTTAATTAAGCTTGTAATTTTGTCAGATTTTAATCTGTTAATAAAGTTCTCTATTTTCTTCTCCACAAAGCACTTTGAAATCGAAAGTATCAATACCAATTATAGGAGATTCCTTTTAAAGAGCTATTCCACTTCATTTAGTCCCCCTCAATTTAAACGAGACGTGTGAGCTGTCTTTGCCCTTAAGTGTGTCACAAGTTTTTGTTCGAATTTTTAAAATCACAGACAATAGTTTTGTGTCACGTGCAGAACCGAAGTATGGGAATGGTGCTTTGATGGCTCGGAAAAATATTCAAGCCCAGGACCTCCCCCAATTATCCTTGCACAACGAAAACAAAAACAAGGGCGCATGTTAACCGTGCACTGTAATCAAGTCACGAAATAGCATGGGAAAGTCACGCGAACCGCCGGAAAATTATGACTTTGCCGGGGCTGAAAAGGGGACTCTGATGAGGGGCGTGGCAAAGGGTCCACTTTGATTTGATTCGCCTTTGAAAAATTCATGAGGCAATTGTTCCTCGGCGCGAAATGCTCATGATTATCATGTGCGATTTGAGCTGCGGAACTGGGACATTGCTTCGAATCAGGTCCTGGACATTTGATATTCCATTAACATTTTCTTAGATGAGTTTGTGGGAAAGAAAATACTAGAAAATACTACTAGAAAATACTACTTCTAGGAATTTTTAATTTTTTGAAAAACATAGTCCAGTCTGATAATGACCCGTAAAAACTGCATGACAATAAAAGAAGACATATGAATAAAGTTATATATTTTAAATTTGCGCTGCTTAGAAAAAATGGGCATAACCAAGTCTCGTATAGTTCCTGGATAGAACATGGTTAAATCGAGTATTCTGATCAATAATATATGTGGACGGAAACGCATTCTGTTACATACATTTTAAAGAAAAAATTTACCATTTTTTCTTGTATAAAAATAAAAAATTCTTATTTAACATTAGCTAAGATACATTACATTAAGTTTAGAAATTTCTTTAAATTAAAAAAAGTTAATAAAATTGAACAGGTTCCAAATATAAAATTAAAATTGATTAAAGTTCCGGACAACAATTTGAAAAAGAAATGTATATTTGATTAGTATAACAATTATTCCAAGACAAAGAGATAGGATATTCAATCCTTTTTTTGTGAATTTTGCAAAGCATTATACACAAGATAAACAGAGGTAAATAAAGCAACGAATGACCAAGTTAGCTCGTTAAAAAATATCCAAAATGGCAAACTTTTTCTATTATTAACTTTTTTTCTTGCTGCTGATTGAAATCAGTTTGGTTTAATTAAAATCATTTAAAATCTAACAATGTGCGACAATGTGACGGTCTGACAAAGCCAGAAATAGTCGTTGCTGAGCTGCACAAAAAACGACAACTTTATTTAAATTGATTTAAATGAATTAGAGAATCATTCGTACATATAGCGAAAAAACGTGCCAGTCCAAGAGCACGCGATCGTTCCCAGAGAGGGATATAGAGATAAATCGGGAGAGCACTTTGATCCATATAGCGAGCAGACAATATATATACAGCAAGTTTTGATTGAAAAGCTCAGCGAGCGAAAAGCGCATGGCAACATAAGCGCCAAAAGTCACGAGAGTTTATATTACCCCCAGCCAAGGTTATTTATTTAGCATATCATAAATATAAACAAATCTGTCGGCTGGGCATATAAGCATGCACAGAGAAAAATTTCTGTCTCCCAAACAATGCCGCCGTTATTAATTATTTTTCATACTTTTGGAGCTGATTATGATGGCAAGCTCCTGATTATTCAGCGACAATTACTTATAAACATGAATAACATTTTATTTGTTATTTTACTTATCGCCAAACGAAATATATATTAATATTATATATATGAGGTTAAAATTACGAGTTCATATATGTTTTTAACGATAGTTACTGTAGAGAAAAACATAAAGGTATTTATGAGATGTTTTGTGCGGTGTATAGGCTCAATGGCTCGTTTAATACCGCCAATAATTTGATTAGGTGTAATCTTCGCTGATTCCAGTCTGCAGCGGTTGCGTGTCCAGCTTAACTGGAAAATAGAACTGACCATAACTAGAGGCAATTACTTGAGGCAGACCAAATCAAATAGCACAATCATAAAAATCCAAATCATTTCATCAGTTAAAAGCTTTGAAGTGAAAAGCTTTCGTGCGGTGATTGTTTTGGCCCAACTTTAGTCGAGAAAAAGCTTTTTGCAGCAACAGGAGGCAGGTCCTTCAGTCAGCTGTGTTTATCCTGCCTTCCTTTAGTTTGTTTTCGCCACCAGGCTTTGTTTACTTGGCCTCTGTTGGCAACAAGAAAAACAAAAAGTGTGTGACACGCTCCTAATGAATGGCTCTATTCGGGGAATGTGGGCTTCCTGGTGTACATAATAATTTGGGAATACTGTTCATTAGAACATCTTAGTTAAAAACATTTTGATACTTAAATCCGAGAAAAGGTATGTTATGTTATGTTGTTATGTAGAGGTAAATACATAAGACATTTCTTTGTTTTTCATATGAACTAAAATATTGCGTCAAATAATTCATGATAACGCATAAAAGTCCCCATGATTCTTACCCGTTAACAGCTTCCTAGAAGTTCCCTACAATAAAAAATGACTCATTCGTGAAATTGATTTTACGCTTCCTTATCAAACCATGAGTGGGCCATAAAGATTACAGCCGCATGACACCCACATCAAACAAAAAAGAACCAACCGAAAAAATATTGTCGAATCAGCGCAATCACAACTTGTTACCCAGTGCAAATCAATACGATTATTGCTATCTCTGCGTTGAATTCTTGGACAGTGATAAAGTGGATATTGTGGCTATTGGCAGGACAAAGTTGAGGTTTGTGCTGTGTAATTGGCGGTGAGTCAGTTCAAAAGAAGTGCCCCAGTCCACATGAGTGCGGCACTATTAAATAGTAGATAAGGGCTCGCAGCCCGCAGTTCTCCCGCGTCTACTAAAAACGCTTTTATGTTTCGCACGCGTTCGAAAGCTTTTCGACACGCTTAGAACTTTGTGTGCCTTTGGCGGGCAGTTGACGAGCTGCCTTCACGCCAAGCGGACGCGAAACGGCAACAAATGCCGAACTACACATAACAATAAGACACCATCGCAAATTGCCCACAAAAGCCACAACTATATAACAAGACCGACGGGCAACGGCAGTGAGCAAACCAATCAAGAAAAGTTGATTCCGCGACTCCAGCAAACGTTATGTGATAAGTGTTTATTCTGGATTTTTTCGCATCCTGCGTTTTAATTTTTCAGCGTGGTTTTCGACGCGTGTGCGTGTGTTTGTGCGCAGGACAAAAAGCTCGGTTTTTTGTTGATATACGCAGTCCTTGCAAGGCCACCAAACAGCTGGCAGTTCCTCAACTCGGTTAGGGATAAAAACCAAAACAATTTTTATAAACATTTTCTAAATATTTATTAAAACACCACCGAACCCAGAAACATTTTCATATTTTATAAAAGCCAAATCTAGATTTTGGCTGCTTTAAAAAAGCGGCTGTTAATTTGTTGATTGAACACGAGCCGAAAAGGAAACAGAAGTAAAATAACAACATGTCTTCTATGGCTGCATTTGATCAGTTCAAAATTGGACTCAAGTAAGTTGAGAATTTTGCATAAGGAAGTTAAGAAATAAACTTAGCGATTCTTATTTGGTTAGATAATTAAAATGTTGCTTAAAACGTTTAATTTGCCTTGCTATGATTGGAATGAAAATCATTCCAACTATACAAGGCACATGACATCAGCGCATTGTGTCATCCCAACTGAAGCAAACTATATAATTAAACTAACTGCACACCTCCATAGGCCACGGGCTATATAAAAGCCTTGTGTAATTCTAAACTGACACATTTATGATTTATGCCCAGATCTACAGAAAAGCACAGTAGTCAATTGCAATTTCTGAATAACTCTATCGGCGATAAAGATATTTCACCAGCCCACAAGAATTTTCCTGGAACCACAAAAAACTCTACGTCAATTCCTTTCCAAAAATATTTATGCTCGGCAAACACACACTTTTATTAATTTTGTTGTACTACGCAGTTGGGAGCAATGAAATGGCTTCTATATTGCCGAGCAGCTGGTTACAATGCCCTTCCCTAGGGATTGCCTATCCTTGTGGAAAACACGCACACATATTTAATGATGTGCGAGTGAATAACACCAAACAGGAGGCAGATAGGCAGTGATGGCAGAAAAATTAACTTGAAATTAATATTTATATAAAATATATGTAAATATTTGGCTAAATTTGAATATCATATTTTGAATATCAACAATTAAATATTTTTTTTTTTAAATAAGAGCTCTGAAATTCTATTTCAATTAAAACAAATACAATCTATAAAATTACCATAAATAAATAATTATTTATTTAGGCAAGGTAAGCTGCGAAATACTTCCTACTTAGTTGTCATCAAGCAATGGTGGCTCCTTTTAGTTCTATTCAGGTGGTTTCCCTCATTAGCCTTCTATTGATTCTATGAAATTGTAGTTTGTCTCTATTAAGAGCACACATAGACACCCTAAAAACTTATAGAAACAAGTCAGCCGTCACGATTCGAGTCGATTGTGTTCGGTTCTTTGGCCCTCTCTTTTGACTGTGGGCTTTTTTGCCGACACTTAAACTGCGCAAATAATTAGGTAGCAAATTAGAAAGCCTCCGAAACCCCGCTCCCATATGGCTGCGGGATGTATGTAAATTTTTGTATTGTGTAAACCATAGTAAGCTCATCTGACTCATATCTTGGGCTGGTGTGCACAAAAAGTGTTTGACGTTTTGCGAAGAATGGGAATGGTGTTGAATGAGATCAGCTTGGTTCGGTGGCTAACTGGTTTCATTTCAGTCCCCCAAATGATGATTTCATTGAATTTCAATCGCCATAAAGACGAATTGTAGCGAATGAGAATGGTTTTTAATTTATCTTTGGTGTTGCTAAAGCATAAATCAAAAAGTTCACACATTTTATTTTTGTAAGCGATATAGGCTGTTTGTTTTTTAAATATAAAATGGCATTACTTTCAATGTCTTTATTCAAAAAAGTTTTCCATTGATACGCCTTGTATATATTTGCAATATAATGACGCCATATCACAAACAATTTTTTATGTGTTTCAGTTCTGCATTAATTTGCATATTTAAATCGTTTCTTTTTATATCTGTCAGTTTGAAATAAAATCGCACAGGCCACTCTCAATCAATTTGGCATATATAAATTGTCAATTCACATACAATATATTTTCGACTTTCATTTATAAATGGCTTGCCTTTAAGTATTTCACATTAAAATTTGGTAAATTTCAATTCGTTATTTATTGGCTGATATCAATCTTCGTCATCGGTTTGATCAATTGACACAAAAATGGCATAGCTTGGCCGCCAATTAACCTTCAATTACCTACAATCTTTGCTGGGAATTTTCAGTGCTTCTTGGCACGTGCAAAAATTTCTTTGTGAGATAACTACATATTTCTTGGAAATTCTTTGTGCTACCATCTCGGTTTGCCTATATAGATCTGGTTCAAAGCAGTATCACTTTTTTATTTTCTTCAGTTACGTAGTTAACAACAATTGGATAATAAAATTATATATACAAAGAGCAATAAATAAAAAAACTTGAAAATATTTTATGACTAGAACAACAAAACTTTTTAATAAGCTTCCAACACAGTTACCCTTACAAAATAAATCTACTGAGCATAATTAAATTTCAAAATTTGCTTAGCTAAATTGGTTACCCAAAATCTTGGCCTCTGAAACACACAACTCATAGGGCTTTTCTCATCGATATCCTATTTATGTTATGCAAGACGTTCCGTTGAAAATTTAAAAACGCTTGTAAAGCTAAAAAAATTATTCTCCAATAAGGATTAGATAGACAAATCAGTTGGCTCTCGATCTTCGAAATGTTGTTGGCCCGTTTAGCCCATCTGCTGCCAGGAAGATCGCTGCGTCTTTTGGGCCACACTGGAGGTCCTCGACTGTGGAGCTCCGCACAGTCCCAGATCAGGAGTAATCCTCGGACGACGCCAGCCCTGGGTCAAGTTAGGTCCGTAGTGCCCAAGAGGGATGTGCAGGGACTGGGAATGAGAAAGTATTCCAGGGAGTCCAGGGATCGCGACCGCTCCCACTTGGAGAGTCGGACCAGAGGACCCTCTCTCAAGGACCGCATGATGGGACCTCCCAGCGAAAACGCCTACTCCATGGGCAAGGGAGCCGCCGCGGGAGCGGCCTTGATGGGCATTGTGGGTCTGTGCTACTACGGCCTGGGTCTCTCCAACCAGCCCAGCATCTACGATCACTCGGTGGTGTGGCCCCAGTACGTGAGGGACCGTATCCACGCCACCTACGCCTACTTCGGGGCATCCTGCGGCGTGACAGCAGCGTCAGCCGTTGCCATCTTCCAGTCGGACGCCATGATGGCCCTGCTGACGCGCTCCGGGTGGATCGCCTCACTGGTCACCCTGGGGCTGGTGATGCTCAGTGGGGGCGTCGCCCAGGGAATGGACTACCAGCCCGGATTCGGGGCCAAGCAGCTGGCCTGGCTGGTCCACTGCGCCATCCTTGGGGCGGTCCTGGCACCCATATGCCTGCTGGGCGGACCGATCCTGACCAAGGCCCTGCTCTACACCAGTGGAATCGTGGGCGCCCTATCCACGGTGGCCGCCTGTGCGCCCAGCGAAAAGTTCCTGCACATGGGCGGACCCCTGGCCATCGGACTGGGCGTGGTCTTCGCCTCGTCGCTGGCCTCCATGTGGCTGCCGCCCACCACTGCGGTGGGGGCGGGGCTGGCCAGCATGTCCTTGTACGGCGGACTGATCCTGTTCAGCGGGTTCCTGCTTTACGACACCCAGAGGATCGTAAAGTCGGCGGAGCTGCACCCGCAGTACAATAGCTCACTGTACGACCCAATTAATCACGCACTGGCCATTTACATGGATGCACTGAACATCTTCATCCGCATTGCCATTATTTTGGCAGGAGACCAAAAGCGGAAGTAACGGCGATTCCATCAAATTGCTCAATGGTCCAAGGTGCTCAAAGAGTATACATCGTTCGGTTAAAATTTAAAAAAAAATAGTTTCAAGTACACACATAGAATTTCTAAGGGCTGATTCAGTATTGTACATATACCTTCAATTCTTTTGATTGGGATTTTAAAAATCTTTACCTCTAAATTAAATAAACTTTTGCTGGCACTGGTTCAAAATAACAAGACAAAAAATACGTTTATTAATTTTATTTTTATATAGTATAGTTGATCTGGAAAAAATGGTTTTTATTATACATAGGCTTACTTGGCCTAAATAAATTTAGGTATCAGACAATTTCGGTAACTTGATTTAAATACAATTCTATTGTAGAATAGATAGATAGAACGCGTATATTGATTAGCTGATTTTCCCGTCTCGAGGAATTTATTGTTTTAAGATTTCTGTGCTTGTCAGCATTCTTTTGTTCTATATGCTTTATTTCTGACGTTTGCGCCTACGTCGGCTATAGCCGCATACAAATTCGCCTGTGTAGTATGTGAAATTCTGTGGCAGCCGTTCGTGCTCGTCTTCTATCTACCGCCCACACACACCAACACTCGGTCGACTTGTCAATTTCATTTAATTTTGCAGCATTTTCTTTTTCTCTATTATTTTTTTACCGAATGCTTTTCTACGGCGAAAACAATTTTTTTAAATGAATAAAGTATGAAAGAATTGCCTCGACAAAAGCAAGCACTCTGATAAATTTATATGTATGCATAATATGTATTATAAAGATTTTTCAATGAATGGTTTTAAGTTTTAAATCATTTATCATCAAATTAAGATACGCAAATCAGTTGGAGTTATTCGTTATATATATTTATAAGGTTAATAAATCCAAGAAGTGGCGATTGCTTTTAATATTTACCCTTCATAAAAAAAAAGTATATGTTTTAAGTGAATGTTAGATTCTTTATTAAACTATATTATCCAATATGTTGATATGCCTTGTAATATTTATTTGTTTTCTTGTTTACTTCTCCAAATTCGATTTATTTAGAACTGCCTTTAAAATTTTTTTTTTAATTTTTAAATAAAAGATTCTAGTTAAAATTTTTTTTTAAAATTTTTTAGAAAGAACTTCGTTTAAATATTTAATAAACTATTTGTTATTGTTAAATCAAACAAGAAAGGAAGCAAACTTAGGCAAGCCGAAGTTTATATGTCCTTACAGTTAATACAAATCGACCACATTTCGATTTCTATGCCAATACTACTAAAAACAATGAAGCTATTTCGATTTTGCGCTGCATCGTTTCTATGGCAATCTAATTGTTGTTCGATTTTAATTTAATTAAAACCGTAATTCAATAATATTAAAATAATACCAAAGACAAAAAAAAAGTTATAATTTTTTTCCCATTGTTCCGAATTATATACTACCTGCAATAGAAAGACAACTTTTGGGAAAGTTTCAAGCAGATAGCTTTAAAACTAAGGGACTAGTTTGCGTAGAAATGGACAGAAGGACGGACAGAATAACGGATATACGGACATGGCGAGATCGACTCTCCTGGTGATGCTGATCAAGAATATATAGACTTTATAGGGTCGGAAATGTTTCCTGCACTGCGTTGCAAACTTTTGACTTAAATTATAATACCCTCTGCAAGGGTATAAAAATATAATAAAGAATGTCTACTGATTTCGGCCCGTGATTCCAGGTAACCCATTAAAAGATTTAAGTATTGCCTTGTAAATGTTGTTTAAATTAAATTGTCAACCCACCAATCGTTCTGAAGACTCCTTGACCTGTAGCTAGACCAACCCCTCCCCAGCAGAGCTTTTCCCTCTTTAGGCTTTTGGGTTCCTTGCCAACCGATTCATTCATGGCGCCTAAGCTTTCATTCTGCAATCCACGAATAGAGCTTTTGCAGCCTTGCCAAGGTCATAGTATGTCCCCTTGACGCTTGTGTAAATTTATAGAACTAGAAGCCAACTTTTTATGGGTACTCCGAGACGGAAATTAAATTCTCGCTGTTTAATGTCTCTAATTTTATATAGACACTAGTCATAATTTTTGTTAGTTGTCATCTTTTCAAGAAACTAACATGACCATGAATGTCTGTCAGTCTGTCCCTCAGACAACATTTGATGTAGCTCTAGATTATACGGTCTTACATTTCCATCTATCGCATACCGGATTTGTTCTACGTCTAGCTGATACCGCGCAGCCAAAGAGATTACGGAGTGTGTATGGGAAAATAATTGAATCATATATGACATAAGCCGAGCTTATCTCTTTTGTGAGTGCATAAGACAAAAACAATCTCACAAATATTCCTTGTATTTTATTGATAAGGTGATCTAAATTATACATTTTCTTCAGGTCTTATTGCTCCAATTATTTCACTTGTCTTTATTTTTAGGAATTTTGTTTGTGAACTTTATTTCATACGCTTTTTAAAATTTTGTTTAGTCTACTCATTATTAAGAAAAAAACTTTTAAAATATATTTTTTTTAATTAAATATAATGTACTTAAGTATTTATGATTGAAAATTTCAAGTATTTTGTCCAATTATCGCAGAACTCGTAAAAAAACATTTCTAATCGTGAATACTAAAATATAGTCATTCTAATTTTTGCGGTTTTTGAAACTGCGTCTTTAATTTAAAAATTTAAAAATTTAATCGTTGTTTTTTTTAAGACTGCTGTCGTTCCTAATAAGTAGCTGAATATTTACCATCTTAGTGTAAGCAAAATGTTCTTATTTATTTTGCTTAAAATTTACTGCTGCAGCAGCCAAAAATAGCACATAAATCAGTTGTGACACACAAGATCGTTCAACAGATACATTCTTAACAGGAGCAAAGAAAAAGAAACGTAAAATAAAAATTTAAGCAGCACCAAATGAGTTTGCATTTCATTTTAATAAGAGCATTCTTTGTAATTTGTTTATTTTGTGTCTCATATAAAAAAAAAAAAACCATGGACAAAGTGATATATGTAGGTTCCATGAGCTTTCAGAATTTTAAAAATTGCTCAGTGGTCAGTCCGCCCCGTTTGGGTGCGTTTGAGGACCTCCAATTGAGAAATGACCCTGCTACACGCAAGCCCGGCATTAGGACTAAACTGTTATGGACGAGGCAGAACCGCCATAAACATTATTTATATTGACTTTCCGTCTTTTTATAGGTGCCGACCATTAGCTTAAGCGCTCCTGTACCATAACAATTTCCATGGCTAAGTTCAAGGCCACGTTTTGAGATAGTCGCAACCAAATCGCTCCGGATGTGTTATTCGCATCATGCGTTGGGGCTTTGGCTTCCATCTCGACCGAAAAATGCTCGTTGCGGCTATTAATAAACATACATTTTGATATATTTTAGCTGCCCTTGGGGTTGCTTCAGCTGCTGATGGCATTTGCAAACAACGGCAACGGGAGGAAAACAAAGACTGGGACAGATCTCTTAGATATAGCTCAGTTTTTGTTTTGTCTCTTCTTATTATGACATATTAAGGCTTACGAAGCAACTGATTGAAAGTTAATACACGTTCCTTTCAACGGGTAAGCTCGTGAATTGCGGTTGAAACTATTCTGCTGTGCCTCACACAGACGAAAAATGAAAATAATGATAGAATCGGATTTGTTCTGTATACATGAACTGGACAGTATGTGAAACTATAAGCAGAAGCCGACGCATGGTGATCCAAAATAGAAGTCTCCACGTTAAGAAATATAAATATTTCCGCAAATAAAATCATTATTTGAGAATGAAATCAATGAATTTATTGGACACCTTATCAAGTAAACTTGATGTGTTTATTTAGAAATAAAAAAGTAGCACCTCAGACTATATAGGTTAATGATTCTCGAAAAAAAACACCGCTCCTCATTCTATTTTTAAAGTGCAAAATCTATAAACAATTAGCTGTGGAATGTCTTACGAAAGTTTTAATTCAATTTTAAAGGCCTTGCCTTCAATTCCTGAATGGTTTCGTACCTGTTTTAATTATTATTATAGGCTTTTATAGTTCCCCGAAATAAATATTCCCCACTTTTTACGTTGAAAAACTATAAACACATAACCCAGCTGTGGTTGCTTGTTAAAAGTTTAGCATACTTCTGAATTTCAATGGCCTTTACCCTTGAATTCCTCCACTCAAGTTGAATGACTTACACAACTCAAAAATTACCCGAAAATGTGTTTGGTTAGCGGTTTGTTTATCTTTTGATACCAGGGCGCGTCGGATTTTGTTTGTCCGCTAGTCAGAATAAATAAGCCGAAAGCAAAAATCAGAAGGTAAAATAAATAACAAAATATCGCAAACTGATTTAATATGTATCGCGGACAGTCGAGGGGTCTTATAAATGGCGCACACCTGGCCCGTCAGGCACGGGCTGATAAAAAATTGACCTTATCAGCAGAACACTGAACGGAAAAGACGCTCCCATCAATATCAGCAGGGCGGACGTCGCTTATTGTCTCTGATAAATGGCCGCAGTGGCTTAGATCCATTGGGGGAATTGGAAAGTGCCTTGTAAAATCCTATAAGCTCATTTGGTCTCTTTCCCCGCAGAATGGTTGACTTTAAGGTCCAGCAACGTCGCTACCGGACCAGCGAAAAGACTGTCGTCAGCACCACCTACGGCCCCATCAAGGGAGTGAAGAGGAAGTCCATCTACGGCCAGTCGTACTTCAGCTTCGAGCGGATCCCCTTCGCGAAGCCCCCGGTGGGCGAGCTGCGGTACAAGGCCCCCCAGCCCCCGGAGGTCTGGACCGAGGTCAAGAGCTGCACCTCCCAGGGACCAAAGCCCCTGCAGAAGCACTTCGTGTTCGAGATGACCGATGGCTCCGAGGACTGCCTCTACCTCAATGTATACACAAAGAATGTGAGTTGAAGCCAATATTGACTAAAAATGAGGAAGTGAAACCAACTTAATCAACGGATTAATGATTGCAAATAATACTTTCAGTCCACTTTACTTTTAAAATCGCTTTTTATATAACACATCCTGCTTTAAACGGGATAATTTCCTGAAATTCTATAATCCTTTAAAATCGTTTTTATGCCTACTTATCAATTGCACATTATCAAAATTAATGAACGTTTACAGTTTTTAATAGATTTCGGACCAAATCAAATTTTAACAACTTTGAAGTACGTTTTCTGAAAAAGAAAGATGTCATGATATATAATTTATGATATACAAAAATAATAAATTATTTATAAATTTTGTAAAAGGCTTACTTAAACCTAAACTGATTTTTCATTGGAGAGATATTCATATTTTTTAAACTTGCTTGATAAGGTTCGTTTATTTGATTTGATATAAAATTTAAATAATTAATTATATAATTTATATATGCATTTTGGACTAACTTTGACATTTTCTCCGACAGTTATATCCCACCAAGCCCATGCCTGTGATGGTCTGGATCTATGGCGGTGGCTTTCAGTTCGGCGAGGCCTCGCGCGAATGCTACAGTCCGGATTATCTTCTGCGCGAAGATGTGGTGGTTATTTCTATTAACTATAGACTGGGACCACTCGGTAAGATAGGCTTTAGATTTTTCGGAGGAAAAAATACTCATTGTGCTTACAACTTTTAAGGATTCCTGTGCCTGGACGATCCAGAGCTTGATGTTCCCGGCAATGCCGGCCTCAAGGATCAGGTGCTGGCCCTGCGATGGGTCAAGGCAAACTGCTCCCGATTCGGAGGAGATTCGGCGAATATAACCATTTTTGGGGACAGTGCGGGCAGTGCCTCGGTCCACTATATGATGATAACCGAGCAGACGCGCGGACTTTTCCACAAGGCCATCTGCATGTCGGGAAACACGCTTTCGCCCTGGGCGGTCACCCCCCAGAGAAATTGGCCATATCGACTGGCTGTGCAGGCCGGCTATGCGGGCGAAAACAACACCCGCGATGTGTGGGACTTCCTGAACAATGCCAAGGGTTCCGACATCATCAAGGCGAATGGCGAGCTGTGCATCGACGAGGAGAAGAGGGAGCGAATCGGCTTCTCCTTTGGTCCAGTGATCGAACCCTACGTGACCAGCCACTGTGTGGTGCCCACGAAACCCATCGAAATGATGCGGACCGCCTGGAGCAACAACATCCCAATGATCATCGGAGGCGTTTCCAACGAGGGTCTGCTGCTGTACTCCGAAACGAAGTCCAATCCAAAGTGTCTTAACGAGTTGGACGACTGCCGATACGTGGTGCCCATCGAATTGAATATGGACAGGGAGAGCGCCCTGTGCCGCGAGTATGGTGATCAGTTGAGGCAGAGCTACTACGGCGAAAAGACGCCGAGTCTGGACACCCTGCATGAATACCTTCAGGTGGGTTCTATATACTGCGAAATAATTAACGCGAAACACAAACCAAACTAAGAAATTGACAATTAAGCCATCGATTTGAAACTGTTATCTGCATTACTCAACTCAGTCTAGCTCTAGTCTAATTAATTAATGCATTTTCAACCTTATTTATTTGAATGCATAAGAATTATGGCACAAACTATTAAATTGTCTGTAAATTTGAAATGAGTGACTAAATACGACTTGATTAATTATAATAGGCAGAGAAAACACATTAATAAGTTGAACCTAAAAAATAAAAAAATATTTGGAAGGCGATTAACAGAGGCTTTGATAATTAAATATTTTTTCGAAGGGATTATTACAAATCTCCGACTATGTACATTAACATTGCCTTTTTAATGGGTTCTTTTTGCCAATCCATTTATTAATTGGCCTTCATTTTACTTTATAATTCGTAAACAAGAAAGGAAAGCTAACTTCGGGCGGAGCCGAAGTTGATATACCCTTGCAGAATACTCTGTAAATTATATTCTCCAAAATTATTCATATGATGCATTCTTAATACTCATAAAAAATCCGAACTTCCTAACTTTAACAACAACAAAGTTATGGCATTTCCAATCGTTCAGTTATATGGCAGCTATAGGATATAGTCGGCCAATCCTTATGAAATTTGATAGGTCGGATTGATTGGCCAAAAATAAAATCCATAGAAAATCCCAACTTCCTAACTTAACAAACACCAAAGTTATGGCATTTCCGATCAATCAGTTATATGGCAGCTATAGGATATAGTCGGCCGATCCTTATGAAATTTGGTGGGTCGGATTGATTGGCCAAATATAAAACCCATAGAAAATCCCAACTTTCTAACTTTACAAACACCAAAGTTATGGCATTTCCGATCAATCAGTTATATGGCAGCTATAGGATATAGTCGGCCGATCCTTATGAAATTTGGTAGGTCGGATTGATTGGCCAAATATAAAACCCATAGAAAATCCCAACTTTCTAACTTTACAAACACCAAAGTTATGGCATTTCCGATCAATCAGTTATATGGCAGCTATAGGATATAGTCGGCCGATCCTTATGAAATTTGGTAGGTCGGATTGATTGGCCAAATATAAAACCCATAGAAAATCCCAACTTTCTAACTTTACAAACACCAAAGTTATGGCATTTCCGATCAATCAGTTATATGGCAGCTATAGGATATAGTCGGCCGATCCTTATGAAATTTGGTAGGTCGGATTGATTGGCCAAATATAAAACCCATAGAAAATCCCAACTTCCTAACTTTACAAACACGAAAGTTATGGCATTTCCGATCAATCAGTTATATGGCAGCTATAGGATATAGTCGGCCGATCCCGGCCGTTCCGACTTATATACTGCGTGCAAAGGAAAGAAGGGTGTGTGCAAAGTTTCAATCCGATAGCTTTAAAACTGAGAGACTAGTTTGCGTAGAAACAGACAGACGGACAGACGGACAGACGGACATGGCTATATCAACTCAGGAGGTGATCCTGATCAAGAATATATATACTTTATAGGGTCGGAGATGTCTCCTTCACTGCGTTGCACACTTTTGACCAAAATTATAATACCCTCTGCAAGGGTATAAAAACAACACCATTTCTGACACCTTAATTGTTAAAGAAATATAAAAAGAAATATTGAAATACATTATTCAATGTTGTAATTATATCTTATGGCTCGATGTTAGGTGTTGAAACCTAAAATACTTTCTAAAACTTAAATTTGTTGGATCATTTTCCAGATGGTCTCCCACGAGTACTTCTGGTTCCCCATATACCGCACAGTATTGTCCCGCCTGCAGTATGCCCGCGGAGCTCCGACGTACCTGTACCGCTTCGACTTCGACTCGAAGCACTTCAACCACCTGCGGATCCTGAGCTGCGGCAAGAAGGTGCGGGGCACCTGCCACGGCGACGACCTGTCCTACTTGTTCTACAACTCGCTGGCGAGGAAGCTGAAGATCCACACGCGGGAGTACAAGTGCATCGAGCGGCTGGTGGGGCTGTGGACGCACTTCGCCGCCTCCGGAAACCCCAACTTCGATCCGGAGCAGGAGGATCTGTGGCAGCCCGTCGATCTGGCGGCCGTCGAGAAACACCAGCTGAAGTGCCTTAACATATCCGACGAGCTGAAGGTGATCGACGTGCCCGACCTTAGGAAATTAATGGTCTGGGAGAGCTTCTTCCGACGCGACGAGCTGCTGTAAGGATCTGCCGGGTCCACCTAGACTAGATCTGTAGCTTGAGCGAGGGTGGGTCATTTTTGGAGGCCAGAAAATATAAGGGTTGAAAAGGATCTGGGGTAATCGGTCTGATTTTTAACAAAAACATTGAATTCTGTACATTGCTTTCCTGATATTGTCTTGGGTCTTCTCTAATCATGGGACTTTATCCCTTTTTTGAAACCACTTTTGCCCACAGATTGCAACATCACCCTCAAAGATTTTCAATATTTTTGGCAGTTGTGCAAAATGAACCCACCCTTACCTATATGATTCTAAAAGCTTTACGTTGTACGTTACGTTGTTTGAAACAATGCAAAGCGTAGCTTTAGACCTGAGATCAAGAGAGTTAACTGTTGTTAAGTTTGCCAACGTGGGGAATTCGATTTAGGTGTGTTAAAGATTATCCGCTTCTATCTATATCTGGTCGGATAGAATCTGTAGTCTAAGCAGGCTGTTTGTATGTTAGTTATGACTCATAACCTATGAGTGTGAATCAAGTCGCAACTGAAGTACCTTCTTTGGAAATTACCAAGCCAACTAAACCAAACTAAACAAGACAGCCAAGGAATCTGAAGAAAGAACTTATATTTAACGTTGTTTTAAGTCGCGCTTATATTTTTAATAGCAACCGTATTTTATACGATCCAACGTTTTCGGGATCGTATTAAGTTCTCTGCACAAGCCTGAGTAAAGGTTCCATTATATTTTCTTCCATTACGTACAGTACGCACACATATACAACAGGGAAATTTCCATTTGTGTTTCCTAAAAAATATTTATATAACTGAGACAACTAGTTAACTGTAACCAATTTATTTATATTCTTAGCCTAAGACTTTTTAGATATTTAACTTTTTGTATACATAGGTTGTTTTTGGTAAAATGTTATTTTTGAACAAACAGAAAACCTGTCCATGTTTTACATCGTTTTTAGAATACGAAGAAATAAAACTAAACAACAAAACAAAAACTATTTATATGAAGTCGTTTTTGAATGTCCACAAAATATACAGTTTAAAGTCAGCCGGCTAAAACTAGTTTACCTAAGAATTCTATATGTACCCGAGTCCGTTGGAAATTAAAATTTAAAGTCGAAAAGCTTCAAAGCATTGTGATGCAAATAAACTATGAAATTCGACAGTGTAAGAATCCATATTTTATTGAAACAAACTCCTTTGTGTTTTGAAACAAAGAAATAAAAGATTTAAAAAGTGCTTTGAAATAGTTTTCACAAAATTGAAATGAACAAGTATTTAGTAGCTCTTACCAATCTGCGTCACTTTAGCATCATCCAAAAAACAAATGACCCACAAGTTTTCACAAATGGCGATTTTATACAACAGTAAGTATGATAGCTTATCCCAATTTGAAATCAGCAAACTCAACACATGGCTGCTGTTTCATTATCACGTCCACAAAACTTCCCATCGGCAGCATAAGCCTGCGTCACGAATTTCTGTCTAGCTCTCATGTGAGTTATCAGACCATCGAAATACCTACAAATTATCGCATATGCGTTGGTGCGAAAATTGTAGAATTGATTTAAATCCCGAGATCAAATACAGCGTGACTAATTCCTTGCTAATTGGAACTTTTATTTTTTTTGCACTGGCTTGGTCGCGGTGATTAGTTCTAACAATTGTATAATATTATTGCAAGTGAATGTCAAAGCCCTGTAATCAAAATTTGTTTGATCAGTATGTCTTAATGCCGGCTATTGTGCCATTAGCTGTGAATCAGCTGCTTAGTGCTAATTGTTAGAGTAATCTATCTCGGCTAACTGGCATAGGCTGGCTATATCTGATCATGCAACTGAATATCTGTTTTATTTGGCACTAGCAGCTCGACAAGTCGAAATGGATGCAATACTGAAAATTATCTTCCTGATCAGGTAGGCCCGCTTGCTCACTGGGGACTTGTATAAAATTAAAGCAATTTTGTTTATAGTTTTTATTTTATTGCTGTGACCATACATTTGGGAATGTGTGATGACGTTCCATCCGCCGATGCAGACACTGTTGTAACAGAAAGTGAAGAACACTACACCGCACCAGATGACTTCAACTTTTAATAGATTCGTGAAGCATAACCATTTAAAGCACAACCATGGATAAATAAATAAAGTATTTTATAGCGCATAGGTTTTCGTTGGCACATTTTTTCAATAGATGAGTAATGTAAAGATATATATGTTAAATCTCCGTTATAGTTGATAAAAGGTTATTCAATTATTCAAGCTCAAAAGAGGCATGAAAAAATCGAGATTTTCGTAAACATTATGAAAATGCGTTTAATAGGTAAGGCATTTCTCCTGTTTAAAACAAAGAGCAGCAAAATGTAGTCGTTTTGTAATAACTGCAAGGCTATATAATCTTCGGCTTGCCAAAGCTTTCTTCCTTTCTTGTTTCTAGTTTCAGTAGAAAAGAAAGGACGGATCGACAAGCAGAACATATGTATTTATCTACTTTATGGGATTGAAAATGTCTTCTTCGCTGCCTTGCAAACTTTTGACTGACATTTTAATACCCTACAAACCTATTTAACAGAATTAGTTAGCTGTAGGAATTGTTTATTAAGAAATAAACTTGAGTGGCAGTGCACTAATCCATTAATTAACAATTACATTTAAAGATCAGGCCCAAAGGTATGCTGCACTCCTTATAATTGCTCATAACAATAAAACTTAAACACATACAAAAATATATATATTGCATACCTGCGCCGCCATCTGTGTCTTAAGCTGGTTAATATTTTTTAGTGGTTAAAATTTTTTTGATTTGTCTTACCTTATACTTAACTGTGTATTGAAATAAATTAAATCTATTAATTTTTTCTTTAGAAAAATGTTATTACGACTTTATCGCCCTTTAAAATTAAACAATCTTGATCTTCTGTTGTATAGAAGGTTGATTATATACCATTTTGCGTATGCTAGAATAATAGTCTTAATTTTAAAAATTAATTTGTAATTATTATTATAATACTAAGTGAACATTTTACAAACATGTAAACTGATAAAAGTTACCGATTCTGTTGAAGATCGTAGCAGATAAATGAGACACATTGATTTGATTTTTATTTTAAAGAAAACTTTTGCAACCAAATTTATAATTTTTTGAAAGTTTAGAAGCGGATAAATAATAGTTGGAAATCGTAAATTAGCCAGTTCATGTTCAATTTCAATTTAATTTTATTCAATATTTCTACAATCAATTTCACTTGTGTGTGACCAATCATGGAGCTTTTGTATGTGCTAAAAGAGCTTAAGCTTAGAATTTTAGCACTGCCAACCACAACCAAAAACGTTTGGTCGATAGTCTGGACAATATGATACCCAGGACGTAATTTATATGCAATGCTTAAAAAATCGTCAACAAATTTAATGTAATATGTAAATTTAAAAATGGATTTTTATCAATATATATGTACTAATGCAAGTAATTAATCCACGTTATTTACTTGCCCTATCAACTCCACGAATAATACTATATAATGTGAAGTAAAAATGAATTAATTGAAATGCATTTCGGAAACATTTTAATGAATCGGTCCTCATGTTGCATTCATAACGTTAACTCGAAGCATAACAGTGAAGCAAAATCGAAAAGTATGCCATAAAAACCGGTATTTTTGAGAGCAGAGAGTAAATAGCCAATCAGCTGATTAAGGTGAGCAAGGCTTCCGTCATTCAAAAACAGTGAGAGAGAAAAAGTTTGTTAAGTGGTATTATCGTCATCGCAAGACCCTCGATCACCAGACTTCGTTCAGTTGGTGCCGCACGCTCTGGAAGAGCGCTTTGTTTGTTCCGCTCGGCATCTACCGACCTTTTTTTAGCCGGTCGTGCTAACTTGGACTGCTTCGAGTTTATTGTGACACTTTCCCCAAATCGGCGCCCGTTATCGAATCGTGTGTTGCTCTACCATAAATTACCAGTGGGTTTTTTGATGTTAATGAATAAGAGTGCGCGGAAAGACATTCGAAATGGCAACGCGCTTTATGGATATGCTGAAGCTGACCTTTAAGTGAGTTTTCCCAGTCTCTGTTCCTTGTCAAACGGTTTTCTGTGTTTTGAGGTCTCGCGTCTTGGTTTTGCAATACATTCTGCATAGCATACACATAAATGCACACATGTGCACTGGAGATAACTTTTTCAATATTTTTTTCAATTTTATTATAAATTCTGAGTAGTTTATTTCAAACAGTTTTTGTTTTACAATTTCAAATTGTTGATAAATTTAAATTCAAAGAAATATTCAAAGTATGTTTTATTTCAGTAAGCAAATATATTCATGTTTTATATACGATATTTTGAAAAAAAAGAGTTTATCATCAACATTCTAAGAATTGTATTTTTTATGAAGTCTAAGTATTAAAAGACTGTAAATATTATATATGTTTATGCCTTTGTAAGATTCAAGTTTCTAAATTATTACTATACAAATATATTTTCCATTGCTTTAATATACAGATGGGTTTTAAACATGTTTTTGTTTCGATAGGAGTAATGTACTTTAGCTGTTACAAAAATGTACTTTTATTGTGTTTTCTCTGTGTACTCTGCACACACAAATTTATGTCTTGCGTTGGTGAAATTGTTGCGCAAACTTTGCTGCGGGTTGGTTGTGTTTTTTGTGTGTTGCTTGTTTTCTGTTGTTTTGCATAAACTTAATGATGCTGCTTCTTCTTCTGCTCATTTCTGTTCGTTTTGTTTATCTCGCCTTTGTTTTTCCCTTTTGTTTTTCGCCCATGATTCAGCGATGTTTCCACTGTTGAGGCATTCGTTATTTTTTTTTTGTTATTTTGATTTGTGTTTACTATTTTTTGCACGTTTTCGCAGGTTTATTAGCAGTTTTGCGGGTAGTTAGTATTTTTAACATAAATTATTGCAGAGCCACACAAAATCGTGTTAATTGCGTGTGTATATATTTATCTATCAGTATTTGTTTAAGACGGTTTTCAATTGAGGATATCAAAGAAGTAGGTTAGGTCAGTAAAGTGTATTTTAAGTTGGCTCACAGATAAATTTGGCAATAAGTTATTTAAAATTATAAAAATATAAAAAAATTTCAATTTCTTTGAAGTATTTTTCTGTTCTATTCTTAATTCATCATTAGAGTGTCGGCATAACTCTGATTTAAATTTTAATTGGCGAAGTGTACTTATATCTTCTAACTGGTTTTTATTGTCACTCGGTAACAGCTTCAATATTCCGTGTTAGTTAAATGCATATATTTATAGCAACACGTTTTTTATACTATAACACTGAGTTAAGTTAATTGTTTGTTTGCTCATGAACTTAATTAAACTGATAAGTTCCTAGGTACAGGGTTCATTTCACTTTCAGGTGTTCCGTAATTTCTGCTCTATGGGCATGACATGACAGGTTTTTCCTCTACGTTTTTATAAGTATTAATAGGGTCGATAAATAAATCTCTGAACAAATCAGCATTTATAGTTTTCATTTGACGTTATAGCTATAACCGCTTAAAATGGTAGTCATTCCATTTATATACATTTTGTTGCTAAGCAAATTACTTTAAATTACGTAAAACTCAATAAGAACAATTTCCTCACGGTATTAATTGATTTTCAAATGCTTTATGTTTTGATGATAAGATTAAATTTAATTTTGATTGCTGAAAACATTTGCTTGGTACTTAAGTTGCAATTTGAATGAGTTTCCACATAAAAGAGTGTTAAGCTTTGGGTTAAGTGAGCGAATTAGTCTAAATTTATTACCTTCATTTGCTTCGCTTGGCTTCTTTTTCAACTAGATATTTCGGGCGTTATGCCATCTTAAGCAAAATGCACTGGCAAAAAATATTTCAGTAACATAAGTTCATTTGAAATGTTAAAAAAGTATTTATTGGGAGTTGGCTTTCACAGACTCTCAGCAGTCACGTACAATCCAATCTGAGCCGCCTGATCTCGCCTTTCTCTTGATTCCAGCCGTAATTACCGATTTGTATGCATTCGTGTGCAATGATGTTGACTCAAACTATGTCAGTGCATTTGCAGAATGCCAGTTAGACATACAACTTGCGCCTCTATCGATGGTGCGCAGTGTAAACGAATAAAAATAGGCCATTAATTGCATTAAGCACCTCACGCCCACCCACAAATTACCCATAAAAATCAGATACAAACAATCTCAGGCATAAACAAAGGAGAGTTATAGAAAACAAACTGTCGTGCATGCAAAACTTGAAGCTTTGAGGTTGGTCAAAAGCCGTTTCAAATCAGCGAAGACCTCCAACGACATTGAAAGTGGTCCGCTATTGGTGTTCGTTGTTGAGTGTTTACTGTGGTCATGTCTCTAAAGCGTGACTGCCGTCGACCGGATTAGATTCGCAGTTATATTATATAAATATTTTGAAGAGGAGCTAACTTTTAATGATCCAGAGGGTATAATGACATTTCCACGAAGCTTACAGACGGATTTTACGATCGCATATGAAGCGAGCTTGACTAAGGAATGGTCCACCGCTTTACAACTAATTAAAATTATATTTTCTTAATATTAAAATCCCTTAACCAATAGTAAATATAAATTCGTTAAAAATGTATTTGCCTAAAACAGTTTTTACATCTATGTACAGTTGCGGTCAAGACCATAGCAACGACAATCGATCATCTAGTTTTTAAAGTTATATTTTGGAAATCCTAATTCTGTTCTCTTAGTGGTTTTAGGCTTATTGCTGAGACAAGCGATTCAGGAAATAAACATATCGTTTCTTTTATCTAGATATGTCCCAGTATGTCCGTTTTCATGCAGTCAATAAAGCACGACTCATTCGATAGCTTTAATTGTTATGTTGAAATAAAAAATTGATAAATATATTTTTGTTGTATTTCAAATACGAATTGTAAATTTACTTTAAATTCCCATTATCTGTTTTATTTATTGTAATTTGGAGGACCATAACTTTCTTGAAAAGAACTAAAAAAAAACAAGAGAGAACGCTATAGTCGGGTGCCCCGACTATCAGATACCCGTTACTCAGGTAAAGGGAGTGCGAGGGAGATGGAGATAGAAACTTTGATCACGCATAACTTTTTAATGAATGGTCCGATTTGAAAAATTTCTTCTACATTTCGATAGGTATTGATAAACACAATAAAACTGCATTTTTACTTTTCCGAAATATTTAAATTTTTAAAATCGTATATAAGCGATTGTGGGCGTTAAAGGGGGCGTGGCACCTTTTTGAAACAAACTTGCGCTGCGTAGGAACTTCTAGAATCTGCATGCAAAATGCCAATCTTCTAGCTTTTATAGTTTCCGAGATCTCAGCGTTCATACGGACGGACAGACAGACGGACAGACGGACAGACGGACATGGCTATATCGACTCGGCTAGTGACCCTGATCAAGAATATATATACTTTATAGGGTTGGAAACGCTTCCTTCTAGCTGTTACATACTTTTGCACGAATACAATATACCCTTTTACTCTACGAGTAACGGGTATAACTATGCTGCACAAGCAAGATGATTCGGAATATAATTAGTTTTAAGCATAAAATGAAAACTTCTGTACAAATTATTGCCATGAGTAATAGTGACTATGAAGCTAATGAAAAGGAAATAGTATTCTTGGTTGTTGGGCAACGGTATGACTACAAGAAAGCTGTAAAAAATACATATTTTAAATGGCCTATCTTGTACCAAACCGAAATAAAATCCAACCCGTTCAAGGGTGACGACATTTGTAAGGGTATCTTTAACACTAATACAAAGCCCAGATAGACCCTTTAAACAACGTGAAGGCCTGTTAATAGTCTAAAGTCTATGATATTTAAGAATGTATTTAACTGATAGTCCATAAATAATTTTATAAAGAAAGGAATCTTTTCTATCCTTTTCTTCCCACCACAGCAATATACACAAATTATTAAGCTTAAGTTTTGACTTTATTAATACTTTTATTAGTGTAAATTAATTGAAACTATCCTAATTAAGTACATCTGTTTTCAGATTTTTGTGAAATGTGGTTAATTTATTGTGTTGACTTACTATTGTTATTACAGGGTGCTCAGTTTTAAGTACGAACAGCGAAAGTTGGCCACTTCAATCTATTCTGTGATAAAGACTAAGTTGGGACCTGTGCGCGGAGTGAAAAGGAACACTATCTGGGGAGGAAGCTACTTCAGTTTTGAGAAGATTCCTTTCGCTAAGCCCCCAGTGGGAGATCTTCGTTTCAAAGCTCCTCAACCAGTGGAGCCATGGGATCGGGAATTGGATTGCACTTCGGCGGCAGAAAAGCCCCTGCAGACACACATGTTTTTCCGCAAATTCGCGGGCTCAGAGGATTGCCTGTACTTGAATGTATATGCCAAAGATGTAAGTATGAAATAATGTGCAGATAGAGTAAAAATCTTAAACAACAAAATTAATTAGAGCTTGTAAATGCTAACTCTACTACGGGAGTTTCTTGAAATTATTTGTCAGGTTGTTGTATGACTTAATACTAAAGATAATATTTTGCTTTCAGTTGCAACCGGATAAACTACGTCCCGTGATGGTTTGGATATATGGTGGGGGATTTCAAGTTGGAGAAGCCTCACGGGATATGTACAGCCCCGACTTTTTTATGTCAAAGGATGTCGTTATAGTCACTGTGGCCTATCGATTAGGTGCTCTAGGCTTCCTAAGTTTGGATGATCCCCAACTAGATGTGCCCGGAAACGCTGGTCTCAAGGATCAAATCATGGGACTTCGATGGGTGCAGCAGAACATTGAGGCTTTCGGTGGTGACCCCAAAAATGTAACACTCTTTGGCGAAAGTGCCGGAGGAGCCTCTACTCACTTCCTTACTCTGAGTCCCCAAACCGAAGGACTCATCCACAAAGCCATCGTAATGTCGGGCACCGTTCTGTGTCCCTGGACGCAACCACCGAAAAATAACTGGGCCTATCGTCTGGCCCAGAAGTTGGGATACACCGGTGACAAAAAGGACAAGGCCATTTTCGAGTTTCTGAGATCAGCGAGTGGCGGGGAAATTGTCAAGGCCTCCGCCACAGTCCTCAGCAATGACGAAAAGCATCACAGAGTCCTGTTTGCCTTTGGACCTGTTGTAGAACCCTACAGCACTGGGCACACGGTGATCGACAAGTCACCCCATGAAGCAATGCAGGATAGTTGGAGCCACAGGGTGCCCGTTATGTTTGGGGGCACCAGTTTCGAAGGGTTGCTTTTCTATCCAGGTGAGTGGCGTTCTTCTTCTTAAATGACAACTGCTTCACGCACTCGCCTTTTTTGCAGAGGTTTCGAGGCGTCCTGCCACTTTGGATGAGGTGGGAAACTGCAAGAATCTGCTTCCAAAAGATCTAACCCACAATTTGGATCCCAAACTACGCGAAAACTATGGCCTGCAACTGAAGAAGGCTTATTTCGGCGATGAGCCCTGCAACCAGGCCAACATGATGAAGTTCCTCGAACTGTGTTCGTACCGCGAATTCTGGCACCCCATTTATAGGGCAGCATTAGCTCGAGTCCGCCAATCCAGTGCCCCCACCTATCTGTACCGTTTCGATCACGACTCCAAATTATGCAATGCCATTAGGATCGTTCTTTGTGGTCATCAGATGCGAGGAGTTTGCCATGGAGACGATCTCTGTTATATATTCCACAGCATGCTATCACACCAATCTGCGCCAGATTCCATAGAACATAAGGTAATCACTGGAATGATCGACGTTTGGACGACTTTCGCCGCTACCGGCGATCCGAACTGCGAAAGTATAAAGTCTCTAAAATTCGCCCCCCTCGAAAACGAAACGGATTTTAAGTGCCTCAATATTGGGGAGCAGTTTGAAATCAAGGCGCTCCCAGAATTGCAGAAGATTCAACCAGTTTGGAACAGTTTCTATGCCCCGAATGAACTGTAGATGCAGTGCATCAATAAAAGGTTTTTTAGCTTTAACTGTCTCAATTGCTTGGATTTGGATGATCTTATATTGTGTAAATACGTTGTACATGTGTTGTGGATATTTTAGTTCTGAGACGTTTATTGTTTATTTTTAAATGCTGTTTTTAGGCTTATGAAATAAGTTTGATTTTACAGGGTAAATAAATATATTAAATAAAATGAAACATACAAAAAAACAAATGTATATTTATCAACATTATAATTGTTTAAAACGTAAATCAAATCTGACTTGTTAAATAAGTATTAATTTATTTTTGACAATACGACACTTCCAAATGGAGTTTTATAAAAATGTCGGTCATAACAGTAATGATAAATAGTATCATGCATTTTAATCGTTCCAAAGTAACTATTCGACATCATAATCAATTATTTAATAAAATAAAAATAAAAACATGCGCAAAATCAAATTGGTTGGAACATGTTTCGTTTTGGATTTGAAAAAATCCCCTACTGGCATTTTTTAAGATTATTAAAAAACAGGAAAAAACTTATCAATAAGGTTTGTCTTTTTGTCAGGAAATCTGGTGTTTCTTTTCACTACAATTTTTTTGGATGCCTATATTTTTTTAGCAAACAAAAACTAATGCTGAAAAATATTTCGCACTTTTTTATTTAAAACAAAAAAAATTTTTTTATAGTATTTAATAAAAAACAAAATTACAATCCATTAGTAAATCAAAAAAATTAATCAAAATGGAAACTTTTAGCCCCACGACCCCATTGTTTTAAAATTTTATAATCCAAAGAACTTGATACCTGTTTTATTTTCATTTTTCAAATTAGCTTACGTTTCTAAAAATGGAATACAAAAAGTACAATATATTGTAAGGACGAAAAATTACTTAAAATACTAATATTTACTGTCATGAGAGGCTAACTATAAAAATTCCAAAACGGCGAGTGAAATTCGAAGTGTCTTTTAATAGATTTTTTTAATTTTGGGAGGGAACCTTTAAGGTTTCTCTTAAAGCTCCGATTACATTTGCAAAAAAACGACCAATTGGTAGCTTTATAAGAAATGTCTAAGAACTTAAGATATATTAAATCTTTTTCTTTATTATCTTCCTATTGCTTCAAATAGTTTGATTAAATGTCCGATCTGGTTAGTTTTGTAAAAAAAAATCGAACATTTTTTTTTGAATTTTTTTAAAGCTACAAGTGTCTAGAATATCATACTAAAAGGGCAAATCGAAATACGTAATAGTTTAAAAGTTAAGGCGTCATGGAAATCACCATCGGCCCAAGTGCCCACAATTTCGATTGCACTCTCGACGATCGACATATCAGTCAGTGGTTGCAAGACCAAATCAATTTTGAGAAAGCCGAGGGTCTACTATTTGGCATTGGGCTTTTTATCGACAAAAAAGTGAAGAAAATTTTCAGTAAAAACGAAACAACATTTTTCAAACGCCACCATTTTGTTATTTTTTATTCAATTTCGATAGAAGTAGTCTATTCCATTACCACACTCCTACTAAACAATAAACTTTATGAATTTTTTTTTTTAGACGATTTTTACGACCTGTAGAAGAATCGCCATCGGGGTTCCCCTGCTTCCGGAAATGCTTCAAAATTTTTGAAATTTTTCAAAATCATCTTTACAATGTTTTTTTCTTTGTCCAATAAAAAATTCCTGACGATTGCCTATTTTTTGACACAACTAACCAGAATGGACCCTTAATTTAATTAGGAGTTATAATATGTCTTATGTGTGACTTACTTATTTATCGTTTTTAAGAGGTTTGTTTGTTTCTTTCAATATGGCATAGTTCATTCATTTTTTCTTTAAAAATATATATTTGGCACAATATTTGGATACGCCGGCCGATATACCATATATGAGCTGCTAAATTAAGAAAAATTATGTCTAAGTCTTAAAAACTTTGAAACATAACATTTAATGTTATTAAGAAATGGAGTTTGAAGAAAAGTATATCATAAATTCTCGCCCGCAACTTTTATATTTTATACTAAACTCAGATACATCTTCCATAGTATTCGAGATTTTAGTTTTGTAGCTGAACTTTTAAAATTTGAAACTACTGGCATCGACAACAATAAACTTAGTCTAACCAAGTATTCGTTTGTCGAGAGTTGCGGACTCTTTTTTGGTTGGGTGACATTCTTACGTATTTTAGATGTATTTTTAAAGTATTTAAACTTTCATGTTAAAGATACGATTAAAGCTTTAGTTCGATGTCAGTAAAGACACCGTGTTACTAAACCTGTCGGTTTTCATAAAACGTTTATTTTCGTTCATCTATACGGCTAACACCAGGCTGAACTATCAGTGCAACCCTTCCACCCACTTGGCTATATGCTGATGTGACATTTATGTGTGTAAGCCGACGCTTGACAATCAAAGGGGACAACAATTTCCGCAATGCCACCGCCAACAACGACAGGCCGGATGACACCAGGGAGCGTGGGATGTAGAAAGAATGAAAAAAAATTCCATTAAAATTTTTGCAAGTTTTTAATTCGTTTTTTTTTTAGGCGAAGGGGCTTTGCCGGAATACGCCCAAAATGTTTGTGTGGTAAATGCAAAAGGGGCTGGTTGCCCGTGTGTTTGGGATGCGTGTTCCCATCAGCAACGTGAAAATTTCATTTTGTCGACAGGCGGGATAGTCGCAGGGAGTTGGGCAATTTTTCGTTAAATTTTTCCTATATATACAATTTTTTTGTTCAGAATTAGACTGTGTTATGGTCACGGCTGTGGCAGAGGGGTTTCCAAGGGGATTCCAGGAGGGGTTAGCGCCCGAATCCCGTGCATGTGCACAGAGTGTAAAAATGGGCGTTAACTCAATAAATTAGAATTTTTTCCGTTGCACAAAATTGTTTGAGAATGCGATTTCTCGTTTTACACATTCCGTTTTCTGTTCCTGGCGCTGGCGTTTGATTAAATATTTTTATACCCTTGCAGAGGGTATTATAATTTTGGTCAGAAGTTTGTAACGCAGTGAAGGAGACGTTTCCGACCCTATAAAGTATATATATTCTTGATCAGGATCAATAGGGGAGTCGATATAGCCATGTCCGTCTGTCCGTCTGTCCGTCTGTCCGTCTGTCCGTCTGTTTCAATACCGTTTGCGAGCTCAGTTTAAAAGATAGCGATCTGAAACTTTCACACTCGTCCTAAAACATGTGTACGCAGATCAAGTTTGAAAATCGACCCGATCGGACGTCTATATCCTATGGCTCCCATAGGAACAATCGGATATATCTTACAAGAATTGATGATATTTCGCGCAGTGTAAAAGCTATTGACATGAATCTTTCCAAATCGTATTTTTTTATGCATACCTTGATCAGGGTAAAAGCGCGTGGCGATCGGACGTCTATATCCTATAGCTCCCATAGGAACAATAGGGTAAAATCGGTCCAAATTTTATGTTTTTCAGAATATTTCGCGCTGTGTAAAAGCTATTGCTATAAATTTTTTCAAATCGTATTTTTTTATGCATTCCTTCATCAAGGTAAAAGCGCGTGCTGATCGGACGTCTATATCCTATAGCTCCCACAGGAACAATCGGATATAACTTTCAAGAATGGAAGATATTTCGCGCAGTGTACAAGCTATTAACATAAATCTTTCCAAATCTTATTTTTTTATGCATACCTTGATCAGGGTAAAAGCGCTTGGCGATCGGACGTCTATATCCTATAGCTCCCATAGGAACAATACGGTGAAATCGGTTAAAATTTAATGATTTTTAGGATATTTCGCACAGTATATAAGCAATTGACATGAATCTTTCCAAATCGTATTTTGTTATGCATACCTTGATTAGGGTAAAAGCACGTGACGATCGGACGTCTATATCCTACAGCTCCCATAGGAACAACTGGGTGAAATCGGTCAAAATTTGTTGGTTTTCTGAATTTTTCGCGTAGTGTGTAAGCTACTGACATAGATTTTTCCAAGTCTTATTTATTTACGCATATCTTGAATAGGGTAAAAGCGCTTGCCGATCGGACGTCTATTTCTTATAGCTTCCGTAGGAAAAATAGTTAAAGGCTGCGAATGTATCCCTTTTTTTCCATTTTTATATGACAATTTTGCAGTATAAAAGCAATTGACATCAAACGACGCAAATCTAGTTTATTTATGTATACCTTATTCCTTTCGCTACTTTTTCAGTTTTAGCAATTTCGGCAAAGTCTGCAAGGGTATTAAAACTTCGGCTTGCCGAAGTTAGCTTCCGTCCTCGTTTCAATTTGATTTTAATGAATTTGTGCATAAAGTCAGGTTTTATTTTAAGCTTAAGGAATAAATATAACTTATATTTTAGTTTTATTTTACAACTGAAGTTAACTTATTTTGCTGTGACTTTTCAATTCCCTTTTATACCTTTGCGAAGGGTATTGAGATTTAAGTTTAAGTTTGTTTACGCATTGAACGGAAAATTCCCGACGCTTTAATTGATCAGGAGCTTTACAAAAATTATAGCTTTATTGTTCTTATACAAATTCGCAGTCTTTTACAATTTCAGATATGTGAATAAAAAAATCTCGGGTTGTCGGAGCTTAATACTTTTGTTGTTTTGTCTGATTTACTCTGTAACTTTACAAAAGGGTTATGTAGATAAATTTAAACATGTGTTCTTTAAAGGTTTCGTTTGAAAAGTTAATTCTTATTCTCCAAGCATTGAGCAAAAGAATTATAATTCAAGCCCTAGCCAGACGTGTTTATGCCAGTAAGATCAAAAACATCCTTAAATTTAAATGGAAAAAGTTTACAAAAAAATTCCTTGAATCCAAAAAACTTTTTTAAAATTCAACGGCCAAAACAAATTTTATATTTATGTTATCAAAATGTTTATTTTGTGTACAAATTTTTTTACAGATGTATTTTTTAGATCTCCAATTTAGTTTAAATATGAATTTAAGCAAAATAATATACTTCTCTTGCTCCTCGGTCACTTTTTAACTGCATATTCTCTAAATGGACACTTTATTTAATATGTTTTGAATGCCACATATTTTTGCACTCATAGTTTTGCGTTTATTTTTTGTTAGCAGTTCAGATGATGAGGAATTTTTTTCGACACCGCAGGAAAGTATGCAGCGCTTGTAAATGTTTTTTTAGTTTAATATTCCCATGTGTCAATGTGGGTGTGTTTGCTTGCATAAGCCATATTCATCCGCCGTGTTGTCTCTTGCCGTACGGGAGCTTTTCCCCTTTGCTTGTTGCTTATAGCTATCGCAGTCACTCGTCGGATGTCTGATCATATTTGTTTGCGGTCTGAACTGCGGCGGCCGCTTAACAAAAAGTGGTCAGTACACACACAACGACCACAATTATAATGGCCGACGACCATGGCAACTTTGGCGCTTATTGAAGTTCAACTTTTATCAAATTAAATTTGCCGGATTACAGGTATTTAGAGCTGAACAGTCTGTGGCC